GTTTGTTAAGAATTGTATTAGCAGGTCCTTTACAATATATATACTTTTATCCCTTTAAACCCAATCTAAGTCCTTTAAATGTCCCTTAAAAATTGCTATTTTTGTTCACTTTTGGGCGAAATGCAGAAATAAACAAGAGTTCAAATTTATTCGTCGAAACACAGAGCCGCACATTTAATTTAAAAATAAGTTTTGCTCGAATAACAGGGTCGAACTTTTATGTTAAAATATTATTTTGGTCGAAAGACAGGGCCGTACTTTTTTGTTAAATTATTTTTGCTCAAAAGACAGGGTCGAACTTTTAAGTTAAAATATTTTCGGTCGAATCTTACGAATCCGTTAAAACCGCGCCTCCACCAGCAAAAACTTTAAAAATTTTAATTGCGATTATCTAACTAACTAAAAGAATTAGAAGAAATAGGATTTTGAATTCATGATCCTTGAAGGATTCTCTACACGATGGCATATATTTTGTCAAATGACAAAAATCATATAAAAAAATTTAAAGAAAAGATTTTGATATAAAAAACGCCAATCTTTTCACGTTTTTTTTTTTTATTCAAAATTAAAAGTTCGAATTTTAAACTTTTGTTTACGGATTCGGAATCAACTATAAATTTAAAACAATAAATCTTAGTAAAATTTTTATCAATGATGCTTTGTTTAGGCCCTATTGAGTTGTAAAGGTTTAATTTAGTCTGAATTAATTTAAACTGTTATTGTCGTGTATCTTCTAAGTTTTCAGTCAAATTACATTTATGTATTAAAATAATTACTTCATAAAATTGTGTTCTTTGTTAATAATCAATTAAAACTTGCGTATTTTAATATACTAAATATTTTGATTAATTACAATAAATTTGGCGGAGGCGCCAGGCAATTAATGGCTAAATTATTTATTAAAAATTAATAACGCCGTTGTGTAGAGGGGCTATTAATTGCCTTATCTACTAAACTTGCTGCTAAATAGCTTTTATTGTTTACCCTGTAGATAATTTTAAATTCAACGTGTACTTGCCGCACGACTTAAATACCGAATATCTCTTAAACTAATAAAGATAACTCAGAACGGAAAACTGTATTGCATTTAGCACACAATTCTACATTGAACAAGATTTTAAAATTTGTACTTTTAATCTAGTGAAAATTGGTTTTCCAATGCAATTTTCTCGGAAACTATGAAAGTTACAGACAAACTTTTTGCATATTCTTCATGCCCTTACAATAATCTATAAAATGGCAGATTTAGTTTTTTGATTCTAAGAAGTTGATAAAAACGACTCAAAAAACGTCAAGAGGTTACACTTGATACTTTTGTGGCCCAAAAATTATTTTTTAAGTTAGAACAAAATGAAAAACGCCAATCGATAGAGAATTGCAATGTGATGAAAGATGTCCAATTAGTTTTCCTATAACATCAATATTTCGGAAAATGAGTGTCGAATTCAAAACTGACTAAATTAAACCACAACTCGGATTTCCTCGAAACTTTCTATACTGGTATATAACAATGCCAGGAATTCAATAATAAAGGTTTAGATTCGGTATCTCAATTAGTTTTCAAGTTATTGACCGTTTTCATTTATTACGTAAGAGTGGCAAATTGAAAAATTTTAAGTGCTACATAATGTAAAATGTTACTTTAAATACATATCTGAAAACCATTTTTTGTTAACTTAAATAGTTTCCAAGATAACCGAAAAATACCGAATTAACACATTTTCCCATCATTTCTTAAGCAAAAAGTAAATATGTGAAATTTATAATTTTTATTCCTGATTCTGGAAGAAGACGAGATTCTAATTACTTTATCTTAGTAACATTTTGTTATCAGACTATTTGTTTGAGTAGTAAACACACTTTTTATTTAGATATTCGTCATTTACAATGCAATCTTTACAACCAAATAGGGCCTAAACTAAGCATGATACACAAAAATTTTACTAAGATTAATTGTTCAGAGTCCATAGATGATTTAGAATCCGAAAACAGATCCTCAAAATTCCAACTTTTAATTTTGAATGAAAAAAAGTGAAAAGATTTCAGTTTTTTATAACAAAATCTTTTCCTTAAATTTTTTTATACAAATTTGGTTGTTTTACAAAAAACATGCCAGCTGGTAAAGAATCTTTTAAAACTTAAATTTCTGAAGTCCTTTTTTCCTTAACTTTTTTTGCTTGGGAGTTATTAGCGTACAAAGTTTGGATTTCGAGCGAAAATATTTTAACAAACAAGTTCGACCCTGACTTTCGACCCAAAATAATTTTTAAGGAAAGTGCGGCCCTGTTCTTCGACAGAAATTTAAGAAATTAATTCTGTTTTTCAACCAAAAATAATTTAAATAAAAGTTTTAATTGATTAATACTATTTCTTTAGAGTAAGTTAAAACTTAACCTACCCTTAGATTTGATTTAAGTTTATTTCAATGGATTAAATCAACCCAGAGATTTAGTCATTATACCGACAAATTGTATAATGCGCTATCCCAGGGTGCGTAATAGCAGGGTGTCCACAATATTTTACAACCCTTGACTCGGTTATTCACTCAATCTAAAAAAGACACACAAAAAATACAAGATAAAAGGTAGTACCTGCTAATGCCGGGCGGATTCCAGTTGAATTTTCGAATATCATGTCTAAACAAATAGACCAAAATCGGGGTTCCTTCAGGGCGTTGTTTCAGAAGTAAGGTATGCGATATCTGGGCGATCTAGATGATTGAATGACAGGTGCATCGAAGTGGGACGATGTGACAACATGCACGTTATAACAAAATAAGGGATTTTATTTCTATGTATGTGGGATGCTTTTCATTGAGTATTTTGTGGGTTTAATTTGGTTTTTATTAAGTTAATTGTATTAAATCAGCCCTTAATCTAAAGAAAATTATTTCTCAGAGAGATAAAAGTAATTTCATAGTGGATGGAACATTAGAAAATAGTTAATGTCAACTTTTAACACCGGAAATTAATTAATTCACTCGAAAAATCAATAAAATTTTATTTTTATTTTTAAACTTAAATTACGTAGCCAGTCATCTAGCACCTGTACAATTTTTTATACTAAATTACTTTTAAATAACAAAAAAAATTAAGTGAAACAATGAGATAGTAATTTTTATGCAGATTAAGCAAAGTAAATAAATTTTTTGTTATGTTAAGTTAATTAAAAGTTAAAAATAAGCGAAAAAATCAATGTTTCTGTTGTTCGTGCACAAGTGTTGTATGTATATGCGTTTGTTGAAATTATAATATTCATATTCATATGCATGGCGTTATTAATTTATTGTGTGTCCCCGGGGCGCAGCTCGCGCCGCTCTTTGTGCGTTCGTAAAGGAAGAAAACGAAGAAAGTACAACCACTTATTACCATTAACGGCGTAACGACCGTATGGACAAAACTATGAATAAATTAATATCGCGCAGTTGCGGCGTTTCACATTTTACATTTAAATTAATATTGGGGAACAATTTTGACGGCACGACGCCCATTCTGTTTGTCGGCAACGAAAAGTGAAGACGATACCGCAATAAACACCGACTTTATTTAAACATCACTTAACATATTGATCATCACCGCTGCATATTTATTAACAAAGAAGTTCCGCATATGGTGTGTGTGTTCGTGTGTGTTAAAAATGAAATGATTTCGTGATTTCGTAACTGTGTTTGCGTTTTGAAATTGCGACACACGAAGTTTTGTCGTCGTTTTTTCGGTGTCCTGTGTTCCGTATTCGACACGACATGACTGACGCGTTTATCGGCCGTGTATGTTCGATATTCGCGTTCGCTCGCGTGTTGAACAATTAAGCGACGAACTTTACCAAATTGGCCGTAATTGGCGCCGAAACAAAAAAGCGCCGGCTTCTTACGTAAGCCGCTCGCTGAGCATTTCCACGTTACGACATCGAACACTGCGCACAAACATGCCAAAACATGTTCATGTTACTAGTTGTGTTCAAAGCTGTTGGAAATTATCAACAATCAAAGCGAGGACGGAACCAACATCGAAGCACACACTTTTTGGTATGGCGTTTCGGTTTACGCAGCTACCGAAATCGTTGTGTTGTTGTGGAGCAATTACAATTAGGCTCATTAATGTTTGCTATGAAATTCATTGCGCATTATTATTTTTTATTTCAATTTTACGGATGTTTTATATAAATTATATGATTTGTACAGTTTAACAGTTTAATTTAGCTTAAAATTTATTCTAAAAATAAACTTTTCGCATAAAAACTGCGAAAGAAGAAGATTTGCGTTTAATGATTCAAAGTTTGTATTTTCTTGAAGATAATTAATGCCGGGAATAACGCTTACGTGTTCAACTTTAAAGTATTTGAGTTTCTAACATTGCTCTTGCGTTGCCAGCGACTGCAATTTTTTGTTGGTACTAAACGTTGCGTTTCCCGAGCTGCCGACTCAACCACCATCGTGTGGAGCGTAATATTTTACGAAATCGATCATGATCACGCGAACTTAATGCGCTAATACGGCTTCTTGGCGCGTTTTCCTATGATTCTTGTTCGATTTGTCAAATAACTAATAAGTGGCCGCCGCCATGAATGATCATGCACAAGTCCGGGGCGTTTAGTTGGAAGCTAGAATAGTTACCAATGATTGCAGGATGTAGAAATCCGCACGTAGAAAATAAGTTTTTAAAAGTTTTTTAGTAGTATACTTTGTACATCACAACAAAATATTATTCTGATAAAAGAAATGCATATATTTTCGTACTAATGTAAGATAAAAGTGTTTAGGATGTAGAATTGATTATATCTAATTATTTCAAGTGTAGCTAAAGTTCTAAGACTCTAAAAACTCAAGTTTAAAAAGACATTTTATATAATTACAGATTTAGCAAAGGAAACACCCTAGTTGATAGACATTTATGGTAGGCAACACATAATGTTCATTAAGTGACTTAAGTAACTCTATTACAATTCAAATATTCGATTTTAGTGTATGTTTAACCATTTTATCACTGAAAACAAAACATTGATTGCTTTAATAGTTTGTATTGTCATTTCTCCTTATTTTATATGAACAATATATAATTATAGAATCGCACTATAATTTGATCTAATACTAAAAATATAAATTTTCATTTCGTAGCACATCTTTCACTATTTGCAGCAATATGTAACAAATATTTACTTTCACAACATCATTCAACATGTTTTATCATTGCGCTAATAATAACTGCAGTTTCGGGTCTATGTACAATATAATACACGAGTAAAAAATCACTAGTTTCTATCAATATTGATCGATCAATCAATAACAAATATATTTTACTACAATATTGCGTATTTCGTTTCATTGTTCGACAGACAGATTAGCTAATATAGCCAAACGTAAACTTTTATATAATAAGAACCCCAACATTTAAGAATAAAGACACACAGATACGATGCAATTGCTTGAATTAATTTCAGGTTTTAAGTAAGAAACATTAACATAGTGAGTGGCAACACAAGTGGATTACAAATAGTATATAGATTTTCAATGTTTCATTTATAAACAAATATAAACAAAATGTAGGTACAAAAAAACAGATGCAGAACGTTTCTCGCGTAATAATATTAAGAGCTTTGTATAAAAAGTACGTGTTTGAGTATTTTCCATTTCGTGTGTTCCGCATCAGACTCAGATCTCGATTTGTTTCGTTTTTAAGGCACATAATCACAATGATACAATCAATAAACATTAATAGATGCAACTAGTTCATTACGAATAACAATATCATTTACAACTCGTTCGAAAATATATCTATATACGTACTCTCTATGCTTTTAAATATGCATATACATATAAATGTATGTATAATTCTTCAATCTAGACGGGGAGAGGCGCACTTAAACTTAATTTTTCATTTACATATAATTTTTTTACAAAAGAAAACTTCGTTCACATTCACACTGATATGTAATAAATTACATTCACACATCATCTTTGCTCGGTTAGCATTTTGTGGCAACAATAAAATTTTATATACACTTTCGGCATTCGTGAAGTATTTCGAGCCGAAACGGAGAGAAGCAAAATGTGTTTGTCTGGTGTTTAGATAGATGAACTCCACTAATACCACACTTTTTTCTTTGCTTAAAAACGCTTTTAAAACTTTTGTCGGTGCGTGACGAAATCGTGCGTCAAATGTCAATTGAATTGCAAGTTTGTTTAAAATGTTTGAAACTTGGTTACACTTCGACACCTCGAACGCGATCGACGACGTATTCGAAGCGTGTGGGTTCTTCGCCGTTCTGGCTAGACTCGACGCCATCCGCCTTATCTCTAATTTGTTTATTGTCTTTGGCGTCGACGTTGTCCAGTGTCGACGTGGAGGTGGAGCACGTCGCATACTCTAAGTCTAGATCTCGCCTCGTAGACGTTGAGGGCGAGACGGGTGGCAGCGAGTTTGTGTCTTCTTGATGGCACTGGTCAGAAGGCAAGAAAGGCACATTCGAACTTAATTTTGTGAAAAACGCCATTTTCTCTCTAAAATAAAAACAATACAATCAATTAATTAGTACCTATATAAACATTCAATACAAGTTGTATAAAACTTACTTGAAAGAAATTACGTCGGGTTTTCCATTGCCAGCCTTAGTTTTTCGCAGTTTGTAAATCTCCTTGGAGACTTTCTTCAGCATCCGGTCCACCTTCTTCTCCTCACCGCTCTTGCCAAAGCGATCGCTCTCTGCCTGTGCGACTAGATTCAGAAAATGCTTATCCTCAAGCACCCACGCAGCCAAATCAGTATCCCCATGATCCCTAGCCTTTTCTAACTTCTGCTTCAACACCCGCAACTGGCTCAGATCCTGCTCGAGCATTATCAACCGCGTGTGCTGTGCTTGTAGATCAAGTTCGAGATCGATCGAAGTACGCGCTGTCGTCGGCAAGTGTGTTTGACTTTTCCTTGAAAGGGTCGCCATCGAACCAGACTGTTTCCTGAATCTCAAGCTGCGCCGTTCGACGGCGTTTCTTTGGAATGGATTGCCTCCTCGTCGATACAGAGGCATGGCGCTGTCACTATCACTGCGATTCAGCTTGCAAATATACTGACTCTTGTTAACGGCTGCACTTGGCGAGAAAGTTTGAGACCTTTTGATCGCACCTCGTTCCTCTATCGTTCCACCGGCTGCCAACTTCAACTGTTTGGCGTGGTCCGGCTGGAAGGAACATTCGGTGTTGGTTTGCGCATCGGAATACTCTAAGCAATCTTCGTCGTGTTCATGCTCTTGACAGCAGTCTTCAGCGAGCGTGCCGAGTTTATCGGCGTTCGCGGCAAGGAAATCTTCGACATCTTCATCATCCTCATCGTCAACTTCATCCTCGTCTTCATCTTCGCTGCTTTCACCGCGTTCGTACTCATAAGCTTCGAAAGGTATATCAGCAGCAGGAAGACACTCCTGATTACGGGTTAAAGTGGATGTTTGAGATGAAATTATGGTGGAATCATCGGAACTTTCTTCCTTTGCACCACTGATTTTTGAACGGTAACCCATTCCAAGGCTCATGATATCCGAGTCTGATTTGTCGCGATATAAAGAAATGTCTGATTCTTGTTTGAGATGTGACAGACGGGTTTCGTCTTCAGCAGATTCGAGATAGTGAAGGGCCAAAATGTTATACCATTTTTGCGAGGTGTTTTCTGGATTGTAGTCTGCTAAACTCACTTGGGCAGAACCCTAATATAAAATTTACGTTAGTGAAGAAATTCAAATTTTAACGCTGAACATATTTTTATCCAAACTAAACTTACCACGCAAATTTCAGGTTGACTTTCAGATTTACTCCAAACATTAATTTGCAGCGTCTTCGTAGGTATCCTATTTGGTGGAATGGAAACTTTGAAGATGTCTCCAAATGTAGGTTTCCGATGATCTTTGACTGCGTTAGTTGCGTAGACTACTGATCGTGAACTTGGGATTAATATTGCTTTAATATACCTGTTCACAAATAAATTAAAAATTAATATTTTAACGTAAATATGTTTCTTTAAGACTTACACTTCAGCATCTTCAGGTAAAGTCAGTGCCATCAAATTCCGCGCCCGCTCAATGCATATTGTCAACATATTCGATGTGAAAATATACCTGAACTTGATTTGTACTTGTGCAGTGTCAATAACATCGTTTGCGTCGAAAAATCCGCTTGCTCTGTTCTTCCGATTGGAAGCTTCAAACACTCCACTATCTCCAGCAACCGATTCGTCGCTAACAGCCGCGCTAACTGATCGGGTGTTAGTTCCCGAAGAACTCGTCCGACTTAAAGTCGCTCCCTGCATTCCTTCGTCATGATCAGACATAGGTGGTGGTGTTTCAGAGATAGGTGATAACGGCGGGTCAGTAGTACTCTCATAAGAATGTCTCGCTCCGGGCCTTCCCAATCCAGATCCCTGCGACATGTTGACATCCAGTAAATCCGCGTGTGACGGCAAACCTAATGGCAACCTGTTGCTGAAATCTGCGTTATGCAGGGGATTGGAGAGGCGCAGCTCAGCGCACTGCAGCAGCCTGTCTCGTTCAACCTGGTCGTACGCCGGGGGCGGATTGGCGCATTGCACGTTTTCATACATCGGCGAGATGGGTGGTGATACAGAGGAGAGGGAGCTGCGCGGTGAGAGCGACGGCTGAGATCGGCCCGTCGAGGGCGTGTGTATTGTGCTGTCGCTCCCCTTGAGCAAACGTTCAACCCTCCTGTGTAGATCCACCATATCCACAGGTTTGTCCATCAGCGTCGTAGATCCACTAAACTGCGGCCCACCATAGATATCCGTAAAACTCAGACCGGAACTGAGCGAACCTTTACTGCTGGTCGTCGATAGCGAACCGAGACTAGAACTGCTGCTTGCCGAGAGTGTACTGTAGGATAAACTCTTCAAATGAGACTCAAGTTGCGTCATAGATCGCAGGGCATCGCGAAGTTGTTGCAGGAGCAATTGTTTTTCCTCATGCGTCCTCAGCCGATCCGCAATCGCCCTATTCGACATTTCCAGTGCTTTATTCAACTGCTCTTCAATTTTCTTGCACTCGAGTTGAATCCCACTCATTTCTTCTTTACTCCGCGTTCGCGGCGTTATACTCCTCAACTCCCGCAAGAGCTGCTCTTTTTCTTGGAACAAGAGCAATCGCTCTTGGTCGGATTCTACTTGACCGGGTTGCACTTTTTCTTCGAGATCCGCCAACTTCTGCTGAATGTGCTGCACGGTTTTCCTAGCCTCGTCGTATTCCAACCGTTTCTTGGCCATTTCAGCAAGGCGGGTTCCGATGGGCACTAACACACAAGACAAGTCCGTTTGGGAAGCCGTGCTGAACTTTTCCTGCGGCAAACTGAGCGTTGAAACATCCGGAGAGCTTTCTTCGCAAAGTTGCAAACGGGTGAGGTCATCTTTGAGCTTGGCTAAAGACTGCATCAACTCGGCGCGTTCCTTCTCGCCCCATGAGAGGGACTTTTGAATGTTGCGCAGCTCAGTCATAATGGCCTGAGCTTCACTGATATTGTAGCATGTTCCTTGACTGCTGTTGAGTTTATGTTCAACACTAAACAAAAATTCAACAAAAAAATTAAAAATTTGAAAATTTTTAAAGCCTGAATACAAGAGATGAAACTGGAACCTACTTTGATAGGGTGTCCACGCCTCGTTGGGTATAGAGCATCTCGGTCTTGATACGTTCCAGTTCCGACTTGAGCCTGGACACTCTATTTTTGGCCATCGCCACGTCGGACTTGAGCAGGTCCGGATCATATTTTGTACTAACGCTGCTCGTCGATGAGCAAACTGCATACGCAAATAGAATATTATTAGCATCTTGTTGGTTTTTCTGATAGCGAGATAACTTACGGCTGGTTCGCGACGTCGTCAGCGTTGCCAACGCGTTGTTCAAGTGATTGTACTCGTCCTGGGCCAATATTAATCGCTGTGACTTTACTTCATAAATATCCTTCTTGGCCTGTAATCAAAGCAGAAAAAACTTAGCACGCACGCACACAAAAACAAAAACACCAGCCAGGATTTAAAATAAAAAACTGCACAATTCACAAATAATCCTTACAAAGTCGTATCCATATGGGATTTGTTGATGGCGTTGTTGTTGTTGTTGTTGATGGTGATAATGATATTGTGCACTTTGTTGATGATACTGATGATAGGCGGCGTACTCGCGAAAATTAACATAGGACGCGGGTAACGTTTGGTAGGCGGGGGCGTCAACGCTCGGCGGCGGCAGATTGGAATGTAGGGTAGCAGGCAGCGTGCGCACCTGCAGCCGGTCGGCGGGCAGCCGCACATAGCACCACATCTCGCTGCAGCGCTGGCCCGAAGAGTGTGCAGCAGCAGCGTGTGCGCGCGCGAGAGGCTTCCCGGTCCGGCGGATACTGAGCCGGCCGGACCGGCCTTGGTCCGTCCTTCGCACCCCGGTCCGGGCCACTTTAATTTCCGTGTGTGCATTCCACGAGTTCACAGCCTCGGGCCAGCATTGTGTGGCATTTCAAAGGATTCACGCGGGCCCGACCTCTCTCTACCTGCGCGCGCGAGACGCGGCCAGCTGCAGCGAGGCCCTTCAGCTCTACGCTCCATTCTTCATGCACACTTCGGCCGGCATTCTTCGGCCCGTGTACCGTTGCGTCTTGTTGTTCTTGTTCTGCGCTGGCCGCAGCGAGAGTAAGTTAATCGCGTAAAAAATCGTATGCCCCGCGAAAATTACAGAACAAGAAACGCAACAATGTATTCCTCGCATTCAAATTGCCCACGAGCGCTCAGCTCAAATTGATTTACTTCGATCAGCGGTTGTTGATGACGACTCCTGGAGCCGAAGAAATTATAACGTCGCTATAATTGCCTTGCCTTGGCTCCAGTAAGTCGCGCAAGACTATTTTCTCTTTTTAATTACGGCCCTAATTAGAATTTTCTGCAAAAAGCAACGAGCAGTTCCTGTCACTCCAGATAAACTCTAGTAGAAGATTGAATGAATTAATCAAAGTTGGGAAATTTGTATGGAATGTAAAGAATTCATGTTTGTATCCATCTTCTTTTATTTTTTTGTGGTAAGTCGCCCGTTGTCCTTTGTTCGTTCATTATATAACTCGCGTTCCTCGTCGCTTCCACTCACATCTGCATCTCTCACCGAAATAAAAAATAAAATAAAAAAGAAGACCAGCCCAGAGATGAAAAGATGCATACGAAGCAGCGAGGAGGCCCATCGCCAGCACGCACATGCAGGCCTATGATAATGAAGCGAACCTGTTGATTTAGGATGGAGGAAAGAATGCGCTCCGCGCGGCGGAGATCGTGTCGGTCCGGCTGTGGAATGCGGCGAGCGGGCCGAGGCCGCGCCGCCGCTTCTTCGCCGGGATCGTGCGGTGTAACACAGGTAGCGACTGCACAAGATATACACACAATGCGCTTACGAGGAGCCACAAAGAGAGCAAAAGCCATAAAAAGTGCGCCTCCCCGCGCGCACCTTCCCTACCTTCGGTAACGACTTCGAGAGCCAAGCAGCAAGACCAAAGAGTACTTGGCATTGACAACAAACACACAACCAACTCCTCGACCCGAAGGAACAACAAGAAACCATCGTGCGCTCTTTCACTCCGACAGTACACATCTAACTACTCTCGGCCTACAGCGGGTTCTGATTAGCTGATCATACATAATTGATATAAAAAAGCGCGTCGGGTGATTTGAATAAAAATGTTCATATTCCGCGCACCGTCGACTGTTTTGTTCTGGCTACCTGCGCCCGCTGTTAAGCTGTCTCTTAAATATGTAATGTATAAATTGTCGGCAGGCAGACGACGATGCTCTTGGCCGGAGCCAGGCCGAGGCCGAGGAATGCGTAATATGGTAGTGCCAGTATCTTACTCCATATAATTAAATATCTCGACTATTTTTTTCCATCATTAATATACGAGCAAGAAGCCGTGGCGGGCGAGAAGGAGCAAACGATCGAGAGCCACGGCAGCTGGAAGGAAGATCGAGTAGATTGGTCCTGCGGCGATAGACGCAATTGGAATGCGTAACTCGCGACAAATGTTTCCTCTCCGACTGGTATCCCAGATAACATGTAAAACCACTTCACCTCGATTTCAAATTGAAATTCCGACATTTTCAACGAGATTTTACCCACTTTTCTGGCCAATTTCAGACTCGTCTATTTAGTTTAATTCAAAAATCAATTATTTCCCATTCGTTGATGTGATTTTTAGTATGAAAAGTGTGTTTAAAATGTTATTCGTCGGAATTTGGATTTCTGAAGTGACTTAAGTCATCTTTACGCACTTTTCTGACCAATTTCAGACTAGACTCTTATAGTTAAACTCAAAAATAAGTCATTTCCTTTCCCTTCAGATGATTTTGAATATTAAAAGTGTGTTTAACGCGTTTTTTACCAGTATTTGAATTTTTAAAGTGACTTAAGCCCTGTTTACGCACTTTTCTGCCCAATTTCACACAAATGGCTTTAAGTAAATACAAAATAAGTAATTTCCTATCCCTTGAGATGATTTTTAGTACAAAAAGAACGTTTAAAATGTTTTTCTGTCAATTTTTGAATTTCTAAAGTGACTTAAGTCCTGTTTTGGCAACTTTTGTATCTTAAAAGAAACTTTTCCCTGTGGGTCTCGTTTGGGAGTAAATCTCCAAGGTGTAAGTTATCATTGGTCGTGAGGCGCGGTCCCGCACGTCTCGCACGACCCGGCGTGTATTATTTTGACAGGCGCGCGCGCGAGAGCAAACCGGGCGTCGCATTGTGCCGCGGCCCGGTCGCAGGGGTCAGCGCTGGCTCGTGCCATCGAGAGTTGCCACTCAGGAATGTCGAGGTTGTCCCATGGCAAAAAAGAAAACCGAAATAAAACGAACCCAACAACACAACACACAAAAGAAACCCAAACAAAATGCGCGCCAGACACGGACAAGCAAACAACACGACGAAACAATTAAAATTTTTAATCAAATTCTTTTCAGAGCAACTCTTTTCTTTCTACCAGACTGAAATGACTTAAGTTAGAATTACGCTCGCATTGAAATCAGAGAGATATAATATTCATGAGCTCATGTGACACAAAGGTGACGAGCAAACAAAAAGCACTTTCTTTCAGCGCGCGCGCGCGCGTTACTTACGTAATTCGGTTTCGTGCGTTACGCTTTGTGCAAGTTCACGAAAGTGACACATTAGTCATTCAAATTTTTTACGCGCGCGCGTTTTGTAGGTCAACAAACTTTTCATTATCTGTCGCGATGTGCATTCGCCAAACGCGCTGCATTTTCGACGTAATTAACTTGATTATGCGCTGACACGTTCGTCAAAAGTGACTTAATTCATCACTATGTACCATACTAAGTGGCATGCGCGCGCATACCAAATCGAGATCGAGTAGCCCCTCAACAACAAAACACATTAGCATAGAAATGTAAATATTGTGAAAATGAAGGACTGCCAGGCGCAAGTCTCTCAAGATTAACACGATTGTATGCAAAATATGAGCGATGCAAATAAGAAATAGATAACATTGCGATTTCCCACGTACGTGCTCGGATGGAAGGTCATGAAAATCACTCCACGGGCATTCGAGTGTTATTACCGAGCGCGCGCGCGCTCGCAAAGAGTTGGCGTTGTTGGCAATAACGCGCATGGAAATGTTGGTTTTCTAAAGTTCGTACGGCTATTATCATGACTACTTCGGTTACCGGTTGCATTGCTGCCTTCCCGCAGATCGATGGATATGCGAATCCTTGAAGTCATACAAGCCATTGAAGCCAAGCATGACGGGAATATCGCGAATCGTAAACATGCATAATAATAATACGCACGCCTTCGAATGACTTTGAATGATAATGATTATTGGATGAAGTTGCAATTGAAAAACATTATTTGGAAGATAAATTACATCCCTTTGTTATTTTATAGCTTGAAATAAATCATTTTCGAAAATTATTTTAATTAAATTAAATCCAAATTCCGTTAATTTCCAAAATAATGATGTCGTCATGCATTGTGGAATTTTCGCTTATCTCGCGAGGTCCGAGCTGTGAATATCAATGATTTCCTCAGCGCAGGCAATGAAGAGATACGTGCAGTTATGTTATACGCGACCATATCTAGATACGCTCGACTCGCATTACCGCAAATCATTACGCATTCCTTCGCCGGCCTACCTTCGCCTGGCAATATTTACATAAAATATTATGAATATGCGATGCGCTTGCATTTCTGGAATTTTCGCCGCCTATCTCCCAACTACTACTACACAACACACACACCGAATGCGAATATTACATTCTGTTCGTGACATCGTATCAGGCTGCTTCTTGTGAGATTGCTTGAGATACGAGGACTGTTATTCGCACACGATGTTTGATGTTCAAGCGTCGTTCAATTAGCCGACACCCAGCCACCAGACGCGATTCTAATCAGCGTCGGAATTTTATTTAACGTCTGGAAAATTAATTAACGCCACTGCGGCTAGATAAACACACGTGAGTGTGAGAAAAAGCGCATTGTCCTCGACAACGAATCTTTTGCTAATTAATTGCGCAGAATGATTTTGATTCAAGTCTAATGTGGAAAACTTGTTGCGCCGCACAAGAATGCAGCATGTAAAGTCATGTTAATCATGTAAAGTGGAAATATTCACCGGAGGCATTCCGTGCATGCGTTCATTAATAAGTCGTACGAGTGTGCGCGCCATCTAATCGTTATTTAATGAACGGCATTACGGCCAGACGCATCCAGAAGACACTCGAAACACTCGAAGCTCGTTTACGTTTTGTTTAATTGACCGAAACCTCTCTAATCGTCGAAAAACTCGTATGACTGGAAGTCAAATTGCACTGTTTAAGAGGAAAGATAAAAACATCCTGTGTGTATCGAATAAAGATAATTCATTGTCTATAAGCAGTAACTGCGAATGAACACAACACAAAATACAACTGCATTGCGAAATGTTGCATTAAATTTTTTAACTTTTTTTCTCCTGGCTGGTTTTTTTAATATAATTAATTATAAAAATTGTTATCGTGTTGGCACTCACCTCTAAAACGTCTTGAGCAGTTTCCAGGTATTCGCGTAGCATCGCCTCTTGTATCACACGCCATTCTTGTCGTGGATCCTCCAGTTGCGTGCACTCTGTAACACAGCGAAAAAAAGGCGCGATAAAACTACGGTTCTTCTTCGATGAGTGCGCGTTGCATAAGACTTAAGTATTAAGCGTTTTCGAAACGTTTACGAATTTTAAGGCGATTACATAAATCTCCCGCATTCCTCCCTAACGATTTGTGCATTCTCTCGCGAGACACGAGAGATCGACCGACGAAATCTCTTAATATCTATAAATTGTTTCCTCGTACCGCGCGCGCGCGTTTTTTTTCTTTCTTCTCTTATTCATCGCCCGCGTCTCTTAGGAAATTGAGATTGAGAACGGGACTCGCGCGTTTCGCTTAAGATATTTATTATTAAATCACGATCCGCGCGTGGAACGTGGAAGCTAGGCCGGGAACGGTCGAGCAACGGCACACTAGACATCAAGAGATACTCTCGAAGAAGATGCCATTCAATAAGAGTAAAATTTTTAGGTTTTAGATTTTCTGTACTTACGATTGTGATGGTTGATATAATAATGTCCTATTTGTCGATCATAAGCCTCCTCCCATCCGAGAGGCAGTTCATTTCCTATGCAATCGGCAAAACTTTGTGGTTTCGTGAATCTGGAAAGGAAATAAATTTCATTTCAAATTAAAAAGCGATTCACACGTTGCGGAGTTGTTTGTTGAGGGTCAGCGCATAGGTGGCAGTCGTAAAAATGTGTAATTCGAAAAATATGTAATGAATTCCACACTCGGCGCTGCTGCCAGCCCGGAGATCCGTAAGCAAACAACGTGGGAGAATTCCGAACGCCGCCGTTTCCAAGTTTAAACAAACGCCTAGGCGCCAGACTCGTTATAAAGATAATAAACTTTTTTCTTCGTTGCAAATTTCAACGTATACAATCAACTTTGACTTAAGTATACATTTTCTGGTAGTATTACTCTATTTTCTAGTAAAAAATTCATTATTTTTTCATTTTTATATTTTCCTACTGTACTTAAGTCAATTTCAATTTTACAACAATTTCCATGTTATTTAATAGCATTTTCACGTGGAAAAAGTGAGTGGAGTAAAATTTCAGATTAAAAATTGTCCGTTTTATATGAGTATATGACCAAAAGCCATAAAAAGAAGAATGTGCATTAGATGCACATTGCAAGAAGAGAAAACGCATTTCCTTTCACCCGAGACTTAAGACAGTTCGGCGAGTGGCGTGTACTGCACACGGTGTGCGCGCACAGCAGAAAAAAAAAAGAATCAAACGGTATGCGCATTGGTTGTTTGCTTGTCGGCTTGAAAATGTGCGGAAACGTCGAATTTCAAATCGGCCGCCATTGGTGGCAGCGCGCAGCGCAATTGCATTAGAAAGAAGCGAACGGCGCGGTCGCAAACACAACGGCACGCGGCGAAAACAATGCGGAATATAATTTTATCAAATCCGGCTTCGCTGGCGCGCACAACGTGTTCGTGGTGTGCCTCCTTGGTCGCTGCTTATATGGAATTTATTAAATGCGCACGTTGCGCGCGCGAGATTTTTCTTTTTTCGACGTGTTTCGTTGAATAATAGACAAAAATTATTTTTTAAATCATTTTTAGTGATATTTTAAACCAAATTTTAAAAAATTAAAAAAAATTAATATTTTGCAGAATTATTTTCAAAATATTTAAATTTAAATTTAAATCAATCGAGAAATAAAACCGCGCACACATTTGAAAATATAATTTCGCAATTTGTACGTCGGCCACGCGCGCGTCCCTTCGTCGTCGCAGTCGACCAATTGAATAGGACGAATTATAAATTATGCCGCGCGCATACGCTTCGTACATAATCACAATACAATGCGACACACGATACGCATTATGAATATAATAGGCGCGTAATACAATCCACTCTCCTTAGCACGTATCTCTGGTGCGGCGTGGCGCGAGCCCCGATTGTTTGCGCCGTGGTCCCCGAGTTAGGCAGAAGACAAAATAAAAAAAAAATAAAATAAAAAGAATGTTGCGCAAAGCACGCGAATTCCAACGCGAGTTTTCTCCGCACATACACACGCGTGCGATTTCGAATCGATGCAATCCAATAAATGCTTATTTTATTATTCCACAAACGTTTTGTCGAATTTGAATTTAAATTTCAATTTAAATACGCATTCCGTAATAAGTTGAGTAAGTTTTTTTTTACTTTCTCATTTTCTGTTTTTTTCAGCGTTTTTAATTTTTGCGGAATTTGTCGAGGCATAAATAAACAAAGCGCAAATTTACTGCGAGAGACGCCCGGCTATTATTAAAATGTTAAAATTTGCAAAAATATGCGCGGAATGTGGAAAGTAAACGAGCGCGCGCGTACGCGAAATGTGCGTCGTAGTATTGTGGCCGTTTACAGTTGAGTAACGTGTTTGCGCATGTTTCCACCGCCGCCAAGCGAAAAAGGACAAACACAAGCATTTAATTTTAGTCCCACAATGACTCAAGTCAACTTCAAGTGACTTAGGACAGATTAGGACAGAAACGCACCGCTTTAAAACACAAAACACACTTTAGTCCATCAGGTAAGCGCTGTGCGTCTGCGCGCTTTGGCATTTCATTGGGCGCGTTGCCCGAAAAGTGCAAAAATATCAGAATGGAATGCAAGGTATGCGGTGCCATCCGCGCGCCTGCGTCTGTGTATGTGTGTTTTATGGAACCCCGGAAGGAAGGTCGTGCGGAGGTGGGGTAGAGCCGCGACGGCGGCCGAGGGGCGCCCCTGCTGCCCGCTGACCGTCACCGCATTCCACTGCGCGATTGTCTTCCTCTCACTAATTTAAAATCCACAACTGAACGCAGCGATCTCTGTCGCGCGCGACTTACATATGTGCGTTCGAACGGACCGCGCCGAGTCGACGCGATGTGTGCTGGCATGCTGGCATGCTGGTACGCTCGAGCTTCATTCCATCGTACTATCCAGCCTGAAAACATCGACAAACGCGCGCGTTTTTTTATTTCACCGAAGCGCGCGCCAGTTAGTATACGCTAGGCTCGCTACTACTACGTCTACGAACTTCTACTACTAACTAAATTCTACTGCACCAAAACACACTAATACGCACAAAGTTCTTTCTCTCAAATTTACACCACCTTTTTGTGGAGGTGGAGGTCATTATCAAAATTCAGAAATTACATTCAAGGACTCGCCAAGAATCAAAAGGTAAACACACAACAAATTCCCTGAAACATATTAGAGAGATATAGTTCCCAGATTGCAATTCGCCGAAGATTTCGCTTCCAGGAATCATTTTGTTTATAAATACACGTCGTTTTTGTGGTGGTGTGTGCACGGGCAGATGTTTTACGATTTTTACATTCTCGCCGCGACCACCATATTCCATCCGGGATCGTAAACTGCCGAATTCTTGGAGTTTCGTTGGAAGCATGCGCACGAAATTGAAAATTTCTATGCGGACTTATCATATAAATTGGAATACTTTTGGTTTTCTCGCGGCAGAGCGGCGGCGCATTTTTTTTTTTAATTAACCGAACGGCATATTTAAATTAAAATATTTTGGCAATAAAAAAGCGGAGAGTCGGAGAGTCTCGGCCTCAGTTTCCAAAAATACGCGTTTCCAAATTCCATGCGTTGCGCGCCTGTCCAACAGAAGCCAGATACACACATTCACACACACACATGGAAATACTGTTGCTATTGACTTGACCGACGATTTTAATATTCTCATCATAATTTTTTCCCGTCGTCGTCGCCTGTCAACTCGCGTCTCGCCGCGACGCGATCTGTATAACGCGCTTTATGCAACGCGCCGCGATGCTTTACGACGAAAATAGTCCGAAAAGAATCCGAAGCATGCGAGCGATTTCGAAATTAATTAGAAATAAGAGTTGGCAATATTTTCGTGCGTACACGGGAGGATTTTCGAGGCGCCGACCGGCTCGAGAGTTAATTAAATCCGAGATTACGGACACTCGCGGCGTTTAAAATCTAATAAAATAAATTACGAATCGAACGAGCGTGCGATTTCCACACACATCAACACACACACATCTAGAAACCAAAGAAATTGCCAAGGTATTTATATTTAAACCCCCTCGCGCACATTTCGAGGTATTCGCAGCGCGCGCTGGTATTGGAATACTATAAATTACGGTTCGGTTATGTAACGATGTAATGGGTCCGCATTTTTGGAATAGCGCATATGGTATACCAACGCCGGAGCGCAGCAAGCCAGTGAACGCTGCTCGTAACTCTCGTGAAAATATCAAAGTTTACATTCCAGCGAGCGCGCGCAACTTCACTTCCAACTTTTCTTATGCATTGCAACAACAAGCCAGGCGCACGCGACTTTGTCTCTGCATCTGTCCAAATATTTATTGCAAGCAATAAATGTTACTAAATCATACGATACGCTGAAAAAAAAAACAACAAACACAACACACGGTTGCTTAATTTATTCATTCAATAATTTTTGAATGGACAATTTGTAGCCGTGACGTTCGTCGTTTATCATATCTTATCGTAACGCAAGCCACGGTGGAATCACTAATGCGCCAGTTAACAAATTCTCATGCTAATCGCCTTCGCAGCATCAATAACACCGAGGAATTTGTTTATTTTCGGCTTTATTTTTGTTGATAATTTATGCATAACTCCGCTCTGACGTCAATAATTATTATAAACAATCGGCAGACGTTCGTCAATCGATGTTACGCCAAACTTGCAAAGAATTTGAAAATTATTGCGGATTTGAAGGTTTTCTTCAATGGAATCTCAGCTATGCATTGCTAAGTCACTTAAATTTGAATTAACGAATAAGGCAGGCGACGAACGACTTAAGAAGCTTACGTTATGAGACGAGACGTAATTCAATTTCAAGAAGACATTCTCCAGGCGCGTATAATTAGGAGTTGGTTGAAATGTCCGAAATTGACACCTTCGGGACGCTTGGAAATGTCTCAAGGACTTTTCAAGTTGAAAAAGTCAAAAATTTCTTCTAGAAAATTAATTACGACGTGATTTACTCTTCTTTTCAACATAACTCTGGGTTATTTATGACTTTAGCACATCCCCTGAGATATTTTCGGTAAAAATTTAATTAAAACAAGTTTACGTTGAGAGAAAATTGTCCCACGTTTGGATTTACAATTTCCATTCGATAATCCGTGCGCGCGCACACCGCTAATGAAGTAATGAAGTTATTAATTGGGCTAATAAACGAGCATGCAATTAGGAATGCCGACGACGACCGGTTCGCTCCGGCTGCCGCCACACGCTGGGCGCAATTCGCGATGTCACATAAATTATCATTCATTCATCGGCGGCCGCTCAATGAAATATTAATTCTGCAAGCGCGCCGGAAATCGTGCATCATTTATCCGCATCGTTTTATTCTATCTATCACCGCGAGAAAAACTCGTATTTTACTACTCTACGCAAATTTCGTAAATAAACACACAAACTACGCACATGCTGTTATCGCGTTTGTGAATGCGCTTCGCTGCGCTGAAAATTCCGCATTCCACGCGACCCGCGACGACTTTCTGCGACGTCAAGGGTCACGATTGTTTACATATTACTATATTTGGTGAAATTATCAGCGCGAGGAATCACGCCACTTCGCGTCACCAATGTCCACACACTTTTCTGTGTGCTCACACTCACAACAAACACAACTCTCTTATCAGCGATATTTCAATTTCAAACATGAAAAAGGAAATTAAAACGAAAAACACACCGCGGGAGGAGAAAAATGTTGCGGTGACGTGTCCTTGGACGAGGTCATCTGTTACTTGACACCGCGCACACATGCGAGCATACAATTACCGCGCGAGCGGGAAAAAAAAAGCGCAACGCGCACTGCACACGCAGGAGAGGCAGGCGCGCATAATTGCAATACTGTGCCTCGACACCGAAAAATAAAACAAAGCGAGCGCAACGTGAGCCCCGTTCTTCGAAAACGAACTATATGGGATTTCAAGTCGTAAAATATTACCTTGCAAGTACGTCCAGTCCGCATTCCTAGCTGATGAGATGTGGCAACGAGTGCAAAACGAACAGATTGAATAAAAAGCAACCTTTTAAGGGACGTAGAAGACTCATAACTTCCTCATCTCGCAGCGATTGATGAACTTTCAGGTCAAGACATTTATTTTTATTCAGAAAAAAAAAAAGTTTTTGGTTGTTGCCTGTGGCATTTCCTTTTGTAAAACACTTTGAAATAAAAGAAACTGTTGCGTGCTGCGTGTAGGTGGTGAACGATCAGTGGAGTCGAAAGCTCCAAGGATGGGTTTCACACACGCGATAATGCACAACGTAAAAATTTCCAAGAAAAATTCAAAAACATCGCCATTTTTTCTTCTTTTTCTTCTCTCAGACGTAGAAAAAACACTACACAACTAACCATAGGGCTGTGTGTTGTGCGTTTGCGACTGCCAGATGGATGTGAAATTTAGTTTTCTTGTAAAAGCCTCGCGAGAGGCGATTAAAGCTCGATCGTGCGGCGTCGAATGATAATGATAAAAATGGCGTCTCCGCACGCAACACACTCGCGGCCACATCCGAAGCGAAGATTCACAAGAAACCCGAGATCGCCGAGAAAAGAAGCTAGAGGATACAGAACCAGTTCCAGCCACATGCGCCCATCCTTGGACGCATGTAAATACCCCATGCGAGTGCAATTCAGCGAGCAAAACCTTGCGCATTCTGAAAATATTTTCTACGGCTTGAATGTACCATTGTGTCTAACACTCTCTCACACATTATTATTGCATATACGCAGCAGCAACAGCAGCAGCACCCAACCCGTTCAAATGTCAATCTTGTAATGGTTTACTCTTTTATAGACATTTTCGTATTGTGGCGTGTTCGGTGTTATATCACAATACTCCATAAGTGCTAGGTGCTTAAGAGCGTATTATACCTCCACTCGAGAGTTTGTAAAAAAATGCTCCTCGCTCACTCGAAATTCCTAACCGATGAATCCGTAGCAGCCGCGTTGTGTGTGCGCGCGCGCGCGCGCTCCGTATTTTTATCAATCCACAAACAATATTTTATTGTACATTCCATTCCGTTCAATGAGTTTTTACAACGCGCTGCGCGTGAGCATATAGGTACATTTCGAGTTTTATTTACGCCGTGGCATGCGAGGAATTTCCATTTTTTCCTCCTCAAAACGCAATTACGTTTAATCTTATCACGCGCACAGGGCATAATACGCCTGCATTCAATTTTCAACAAGTTATCAACTTTGTAAACCAAATTTACAATAATAAAATAAAAATACAGAGAGAATGAAAAAACGCTATGATTTGTAGTGACGGCGTTTATCATGACTACAACGAATCGGAATTTCCTGCAAGGCATATGTAAACAAACAAACATTAGGAAATTCAAATAGTGTACTGATATCGTCGCTTGGCAAATACGCTAATCTCGTTCTGTAACCCGATGACAATTAATTCCGGTGACGAAGACCACAACTATGCAGTGATTCACGAAATTCTGCATCGATTAGCATTCTTTTGAGCAGGCATCATGCAAGTCCACAAATTATGCGGTTTTTTACTTCATCTTTTGTGAATAAGAATGAAATAAGAATGGTAATTGGAGCAATTAAAACATTGTTTACTTCTGACGTGCTGTGTGTCATTCAATACTCATGTTAAAAGAATGATATTTTCATTGTAAAAATCGGAAATAAAATGATGTTTGAAGATAAACATCCGAAGGCATTTCGCACTTTCGCCTATTATCGCCGCGAGAGCAGGAATTTGACGAGTTTGCTCGCACTAATTGTTTGCGTCGAGCGCATTCCGCAGCGTTGTTTGCTTAGCCGTCTATTTATTGTGCGTATCAATGACTAGACGAGTCAAATCCGCGCGTCACGAATCCTATGTGCATAGTCGAAAAATTCTGGGAGCGGAATTGCATGCTGATCGCAATGTCACGCCAATGGTATGTGTAATTTGTTGTCTCGGCTTTGTAGGGACATGCCGTGGGCAGAGCGAAATGTTGATAATCCAAGGCTACTGGACTTTTAAACGCGTTTAATTTTAAATACCTACTACTCACGTTCAAGTTTGATATACGCTACACGCACACTTTACATACAGCATGTTTTAAAAAAAAATTAAAAAATGTCATCTTAAGCTTTTTTTTGTTCGTTTTGGGTTTGCGATGTGTTTAAGGCGTATAATTTTAATTTTATGTCGAAATCACCAGCGGAAATTACCAAATTACCGCGGTGAGATAAGGTTAACGCAAGACGGGTTGACTCTTGGCGGTCGTGAGTTCGTTTTCGGCGAAGTAAACCGGTCCAGTTTTCGCTCATTTTTTGTTGCGCGAAGCAACCGAAAGTAGATCCAGTGTCCAGTAGCCAAGCGCGTTGGAGCAACGCGCGCGCTTATCGCCTCCATCGGTAGCGAACATAAATATACGCACGTCGACACCGCGCCGAAATATTATGCTTTCTCTTCTCTCCCAAACCCAAAGAGTTGTGGAAGAAGTAAAGCCACAATCAGCGGATGCATAAAATCACACTGCGCCACTTTTACCATTGCAACACCTTCAACTTTAAAGATTTTTAGTTTTTTTCTTGTGCAGGGTGTAAGTTTGTATGATAGTTAGTGAATGTGACGCTTGGCGGTGCTGTTCGCTGACGTTTGACGTGAGTAACGGGTGCGCTTCGATCGTAACCGGCGCGTAAATTTAGAATTATGATAAAATTCTCGGGAGTGTTCCCCGCATTCCCGCATCGGCGCATTCCGATGGGCAGGCGAGCGCACGCACAAGGCGACGCGCAGAGGACGTCGTCCGTGAAGGCCTAAATTCGTCGTCGACAGGCGGCGCGGCGGGCGAAATAAATTTAGTATTTAGCACTTTCGCCAAGCTTGAGCTATTGCATTATGTGCCGGGACGCCAAGCCGTCTCACGCGAAAATATTTCAGTTTTAGGCTTTTTCCCATGCATTTTTTGAGAAATTATGCTATTTCAAGGGTAAATAAATGACAAATTGACGTTTCTAAATCGCAAGCTTTCAAGTTTTGATCATATTTCAACAATTGCAAGATTTCTCTTAGTGCCCTGTCATACTTCAAGTGACCTTTGATCATGGAAAATACATTAGAAACATAAATTATCCACAGATGTTTATATTTTTCATGAAAAATAATTAATTTCGTCAGAAAATGACTTTTTAGCCAATATTACAACCAAAATTTACAGAAAAAACAACAAAATTTAAACAGTTTTCTACAAAAAATGATACTATTTCTTGATGTGTTATACTCTTCACAAGTACTTTTTGTAAATTTCGTTCGCGTTTTCCGTACCAGCAACGAACAAAACACAATTTTATAGGGCATTATAACCCAGAGCATGCTCGCAGCGAGCGTCAGCACACCATGTGTGTACCGTTGCACCTGTCATCCGTTCTTTACGAGTCTTCTAAGCGACCCATGCTTCTTCCATTCTTCACCGGCCTCTACCTGTATACAACCCGCCATGGCCACAACACACAAGTGCGTGTCGCGTTTTTTGTTTACCTGCTGTTTGCGTGCTTTATTGCGCCAACTCCCCTCGGGCAACGCAACCTGTTGGGATAACTTTACTACGTAGGGTGAGAGAGCTCACTCACCCCAACACGAAACAGATGAACTCCAAGGTTCAAATTTTGCGTTGTATGCTAACGGTACGTGCTTAGAGTTGCATTACAGGTAGAAGTAATATTTTGTGAAGTAGAGTGAAAAGCTGCGTCAGTTGTAGAAATAATGCGCCTAGGTTTGCAGAAATGCAGTCGCGTTTTTAATTTCAATCTTTAATTTTAATTTGCATCGGAATGCTCGATGCACGTTGCACGCACGTTGTAATTCCAGCGAGTTAGAGAACCGTACGGTTGTAGTTGGTAGCAGAGAACAGTCCAGAAACGTGGAATTGGCGCGACTTTTGAAGTCACGACTTCATGACTTTGTTAATAATATTGTTGACAGATGAAAGTACTACTGTGTCTGCTTCCACCTCGTCCGAGAAAGTTTTTATTCGGAAAGCTATGCACCGCTGTATTTTTGTTTTCGTGGAGTTATTTTGGTTATTCTTGTGGATGACATTGACCTGGTCGAACGCAGCTAGGGAATGCTTGAGACTTGTCGACTTGCGAACGCGTCTCTCGAATGTGGTACACATGAGAATCTTCAGCGATGTAGTTTAGCCGTTAGAAAATGTTTAGTGATGCGATGTGGATGATGATGATTGAGGAAGTGTCGTGAGGGTGGTGTTCGGTGCTCACCTGTCTCGCGGATCGATCCACGACGTCTGCTTGGAGTTGTGGTCGATGAAGTAGAGCTTGCCGTCGTAGTCCTCCGCGCAATCCCAGCCATCGGGCAGCGGTATTTCGCCATTGCGTTTCCTCGGCATTTTTCACTCCGCGTATTCCATGCAACGACACGGCACTCGTCTGGCGGCGCAGAGCAATTCCATAAACACGGCCCCACACGGCCACCCCGCGGACGGCAGGCGCGCGCGGCGAGAATTCTTACGTCGGCGGTGTCGGTGGCGACTGAGCGGCGGACGGCGAACGCGCCCGTCGGTCGGATCTCTATGTACACACGCACGCACTACTAACTACTCTCGGCCATGTTGAATACCACGGCATTATCGGCGAGCAGCAGCGCGCTGCTCGCAGGGCATGACGTCACGTGGCCACGGCCAATCGAAGCGCGCCGCCTCGGGAAAGGAATGCGGCCCACTACGCGCGCACTGAGCGTACGGCGCGTCGTTCGCTACCAGCACGACGAACACGACGACCGCGACGGCGGCAGCGGCGTGCGCATAGCAGACTCAGACTCAGCGCGAGCGGCGCGTGGCGAAACTTGAGCAGGCTGGCGGGCTGGCGACTGTGCGCAGCGGCGAGCACGCATGCACTAATGCACTAACGACGAGCGCGAGGACTCGCCCGCTCGCGGTGCGCGCACTTTGCTAGTCGTTCCTAGACGCTACTTATCTACTGTCCCACCAGTGTGCGAATTTTACTCATTTTGCGTTCATTCAGACCTTTCAAAAGAAGATTTATGTAGGTATAATAACTTATTCGAGTCAAAGGTATGTACTTTCTAAGTTTATTATGGCATAAATTTTGATATAATGTATCTTTCTAATGTTTTACTTATGGTAGTGACAATAAGTGTAGTATGCAACTCTTACTTATGTATTTGAAAAATAATGCCAAGCATTGCTTACAGCGCAGTCTAGGTGTGACTTACCACACTAATATAAACGCAGACATCGGTAACTGCAACCATCAACTGTTTTATTTTTATTTTTTGCTTTATTTTTAATCATTTTCTTCAAAATGTTTTAAAATTAAGTAGGTTGACGTTGATTTTTTCTGATTTAAACTTAAATCTCACTTTAATTGATTGTATATTACTTAAATAGTGTTATTAATGTTTGAGTTACAATATAAATGCCGAACATAGGATTACTCAGGCGTTTTAAGGTATTTTGCAATGACAAATCAGTTTCCTCTATTATTGCTTCATATACTGACTGAATAAGTAGTTAATTGTGGGTGTTACACTAAACAAACACTAAAAACATTTTATTTATTTAATTTAATATTTATTATTACTGGAAAACATGTCACAAATAAATTGAATGCAATTTGACCTATGCTCTTTCATAAGGAGTCTCGCCGTGCACGTTGCCACTAAAAGTATTAATATTACTGTATGTATATTGATTGTATACAATTAAACTTATATAATACTTACGCAGGACCGTAGTTACAAGCATACAACCTCGCATAAGGCAACTGCGGTGTTTGCCAATCATAATACGCGCTGAAACTGCATCCAACTACTTTAGTTTTTGCCCAAACAAGCTGCAACACACAAAATTATATGAAATAATTATTTTGGATTTTTCTTATTTTTTATTAATTACTTGACTGTAATGTAGAGCATTTCCAGATGCATTTGAATATCTATAGTTTCTATGTTCATCAAACCAACTCTTCACTGCTTCATGCCAATCCATCGTTGTATTCTGCACAGATGACCAAGAAATGTACAAGTTTTGGCCAACACCAATACTAAAGCGTCTATCCTGTTGTTCTTTGTGTCTTAATTCGCAGGATTTGACTACTTCTTGAGCGCCATAGGCGAGGTTATTGTCATGGGTCAGCATGGGGATGTTTTTGCCACGTGGCTGGCCATTTACTCTGCCGTTTAAGATCATTTTGCGATAGCGATTGTGCTCATTAACTGCTGCTTGATTATCCCAATTATTCATTCCTATGTCTATATAATAAAATATTTTTTTTTAAATTTTGCGACAAAAGTTATTTTTTTTTAAATTTCGTATCACTTACTGTAAATATCTGCACCATTTGGACATTTATATCCATCAGCGAAAACTAGAGCCGAGAGTAACCCTAATACTAACTTAAACTGAACATTCATGGTGAATTCTTTGCAACAACTATTCTGCAACAGTTAAAAATCTTGCTTTTATAGCAAACATCGGAATAACAAGTGCAAATATTAATTATTAGAATGTAGCTTGAGGTAAACCATTTACTGTCTCAAACGGATAGGTAATTACAAAATTATTATTTAAGAAAACAATTAAATTCATGAAGCAAATAGTTATTATTTGCTTATTATACTTAATAAGGGATAATCACTGATTACGGGAAAGATACTGCGCATAAATATTTTTACAAATGTAGCAACTTTGTAAAAAATATATTTATATTCTCAAATTTACAGGAAGTTAAGCAAATCTATTGTATGTTGTATGTCTGTAGTTTATAGACTTTAAAATGGCTGGACCGAATTTTATGAAGCAGACATTATTGCTTAAAGAATACAAAATAATGAAAGTAATAAAAGTTTTTATATGAAGATTCAATCAGAGCTATAGTTATATAATACATAATCAGATGGCGCTAAAATGCGGTTATTTGCCTAAAGTTTACGATAAAACTAATTAATATGGGGTTGAAATGCATTTATTTGCCTAAAATTAACAAAATTAACAAATTTTTCTCAATAAATTTGAATTTATTCGTCAAATTCTCTTCAAATGCATAAATAATTTATATAAATTATTATACTTCTTCATATGGGGCCTCTCCTTGCATATTACCACTAAAAACATAATTATTAATAATTATTACCTACATTTAATTATTTAACACTTACGCTGGACCATAGTTGCAACCATACAACCTAGCATACGGATATTGAGCCATCTGTGGGTCATTATCATAATATGTAATAAAGTAACAGCCAACCAATGTAGTTTTAGCCCAAACCACCTAAACAAAAAATATTTATGTTGTGATAAACTATATGTCAGTTATCGCTATTAGATATTTACTTGAGTGTAATGAAGAGCATTATTAGATATTTCTGGATAATTGTAACCTTCGTTCTCATCAAACCAATCCTTGACAGCTGCTGGCCAATCCGCAGTGGTATTCAAATTCGACGACCACGAAATAAATAAGTTTTGACCAACACTGAAACGTTGATCAGGGCTGATCATATGTTCCATTTTGCAGGTGATGACCACCTCATAAGCGCCATATTCTAGGTCATTGTCGTAATCGAGCATAGGCATTTCCTGAGCTTGTGGTTGACCATCAACTTCACCATCCAGAATCATCTGTCGATAGTGATTGTGTTCAGCTAAGGCCACCGCTTGGTCATCATCTGACATATCTAAAGCTATTTAAAACAAATAATTTAAAAATTGCATAAAACATAACCTAAGTTGATGGTTATGTATTTACCATAAATTTTAGCGCCATCTGGACATTTAGGATCAGCCTGAGCTACCTCAAACAAAGCAACAACCCCTAAAATAAAAACTACATTCATGATTATATTGTTTTAACACAAGAAACAGAACTGCATTGATTTCTCACTAAAACTGTTCCATTTTATACTAAACTTCAGTGTTACAAGAATAGAAAATTATCTTGGAATGCAATTAAAACAAAATATTGCAGCAAAAATAGATTTGTGTTGTTGTTTTCCCGCCGATATCAACAATTGCTCGTTCTGTAACAAATTGCAAACTGCTTGCAACAAAAGAAAAAAGTATGTAATTATTTTAAAATATGTGGTGATGATTAAAATTTCATGAATGTTTATTATTATTTTTGTTTTCACGACATAATTCTTAATGAACAACACATTTTGTATCACTGGTTTCTTTTTTGGTTTTTAGTTATTTTTCTTCTTAAGATTCTCCTCTTTTTCGATCTAATATCCGATAAATTATTATTCGTACAATATATGATTATAAAAAAGACACGAAAACGTAAACATCTCGTCGTTATGTTACCCAATACGCTTGTGCATAAAAATATAATCTTTGAATATTATTTGTTCATCTCAATCTTTTTTGGTAGTTTTGGTATTTCGTTTTTCAAGTTAAAGTTTTCAAGAACGTAGAAAGAAGTTTCTAGAAGGTCAAAATGGGTTCTTCACGATGATCCAAAATATCTAAAACACATAACCTTAAATATTTTTCAACATAACCTCAATTTACAACTACCTTTAGCAATACTCCACCATGGCAAAGTAACATAAGTAAGGAATGCATTAAGTGGTACCGATTGAGCACGTTTGTTCTCCTTCCAGAAGTGGAATGTCTGCGTGAAGCCCCGCATAGTCCATAAGGGGTTGTAAGCACCGTCGTCTAACTCTGAAATGAGAAATTCCGTGATTATTGATTAATCCCACGCGCATTAAACTTTCATCTACCATGATTGGCACGTTTCGGAATATCACACCAATAATAGATGTGTGTTCCATCGGGTGTAACCCGTTTGGGAGGACCTAACGCCCTTTTCGCTGAATTCTTGCGCTTTGGCAGTGTGCAAAAGCCGTAAATTTTACTATTATTACTCGCATTACTATTACCGCTTGCATTTAGCTTATCTAACTTATTATAGTTATCATCTATAAAACTATGATTGTTGCCATTTTTAATACTGGTATGGACAGGCGTCAAGGTTTCATTAATATTCCTTGTACTTCCGCCTTTAATACTCTTATTCTTATTGCAAATTAAATCAGTCTTAGCACGATTAGATATGTTGTACTCTTTGACTTCCTCAACCCGACCAGGAAACTCTTCTCTGCCACGCACTGTAACGTACGGGTTTTCTGTAAAACTAGTTTCTTCATTAACGTCAGAATTCTGCTCGTTGGATAAACTCATTGCTGCATCATCAGCGAATTCAAATTCAGTTAACTTTTTCGGAATGACCTGAGGTGGTTTAACTCGTAACTTTTTCGTCTGCTCCTTGCCAATTTCATAATCAGAACCGTTTAAGATTTTGCTCAGGGCGGGGTTGTTGCACGTGCAGTTACTCTCCATCGGGCCGATGGGCGCACGTTTGGCACACTTCTCAGGGGATTGGCAAGCGCGACGGTTGTAAATCTCAGACAATGCAATCGAATCGCGTTTGCCGCGTCGCCGGAAACAACCGCAGCAGGCTTTCGCTTTCGAAGCAGGACCAGAGACATCTACAACAATCACAAAACACACACAGTATTAAACTCAGAGTGATCATCTACAAGTCTCTCTCTAGTCCTGCTTCATGCTTCAATTTGGGTCTTTACTATTTAAATATTACAATACTTACCATCTCTAAGATCACCGCCTTCAATTTCACTCAGACCATTGTCCATGGAGTCAAGACCTTCACACTCCGAGCGTGATTTGACATCCAGTTTAGTTTTCCATCCGCCACGTACGAAATTATTTATATTGGCGCTCGGATCGCTGAGTCTGCGTTGTTGGCGATAACTGTAGAAATCTTCAGGGTCCTCCTCCCAGTCGGAGTCCCACATATCAGTTGCACAGAAACCCGGTTCGGATGTAGGTGTTTCCACACCTGAACCTTTCGGTTTTGTGACTGCCATTTCAGCGTGACCTTTACCTTGAGGTCCTTTCATGCGTACGAACTCACAGCGTTGAGCGCTTGAAGTCGAAAATAATCCGAAGGTCATTCGTTGTGCCATTTTTGTACTCAAGCTCGATTGCTACACAGATAAAGCCATTTAATGTCTACTATCAAGTTCAATATCAAATTACTTACCCGCGCGTCATAAACCTTTTTCAGAGCATCGTATCTAATAGATCCGAGGAATATAACACCTTGAATGGAGCCAGCACGATCGGCGGCAACCAACTCTACACAGACCATTTCACCATCCCTAACGAGGATATCCTGGAAGACCTCATCAAAGTTATCCACCATGAAGCATATATGCGGATAGGTGATTTCCTCCACTTCACCTTTGGTGTCCATGCGTCTTCTGCTGGGTGATGCGTAGACTTTCTGGGAATGTCTTTTCAGGACTTGTAATTCTTTGGGACTGGTACGAGTGCAAATGGCCAAGGTGAGAGTATACTCAAATTGATGGATAATCAAATTCAGGTAGACGGTTTCCTCCCAGTCGATGTCCGGATCTCCGATAGGTAATTTCCGGCTGTCTTTGCGGAAAACGTCAACTTCTGTTTCGAACTTGGGCAGGTATCGTGGTGAACCCTTGATGTGCTTCTTGCGCACGAAGAAAAGCAGATCATCGCAGTCCATTGTGCTGTCATTTTGGAAAAGAAAATGACGCACGAAGAGATCTGTCCAGTAGGTGGTTCCTTGGAGCATGACAAAGCCAGAATCTACAAGTTATATTTACAAAATTAATAAATATTTTATGCAAAATTAAAAAATATTTAATTTACCATCTTTTAGAAGTTGTCGCATTTCCTTTGTTCGTTGAAAATTGATTTCTTCTAATAGCTGCTCCAACACCGTGGGGGATCGTAGGGCTGGGTTGGAGAATGCCATTTTGTGTTTTACAGAATTAAATGTAGATTTAATACGTTAAATTCACTAATTCCACCATTTTGTTGGCATTTGTGTGTTGGTGTTTGAAGTTTACAGTATGCACTTTTTCATTTCTCCGCGAAAATTCAGGAGATAAATAAACAGCGCGCACCTACGTGAGCGAAGTTGGAATGTTGCGTGGGTGACATTTGCGTGCTGCACGCAGGGGAGTTTCTACACCAACAGCTCCTAAAATCGATGAGCTTCCTCGTCTGCAGTACGCATGCGCCGCCACCCCACACGCTTTTCAAAAGCTCCTTTTAGGAATTCCACTCGTGTTCGACAACTACGCCGTTCGGGTTTTTCCAAAACCTCTCGAATCGAATCTGATTTTAATCTAAGTCAAACAACGCTGAGCACTCTTTGATGTGAAAGATTAATCTTATTTAAAACTTCATAAAAGTCTGTTTGTTTTCAAGCTATTTTGTTTACGTCTTCTTTCTTTCACCTTAACGCTAAATATAAAATTTTCACAGCAAGATCACTTTCAAAATTTTCGGAATTTTAATTATGATTAGCAAGTGCCAAATTCTTTCGGTGGACAGCAGATGATATTTAACTTTTCGGGGAATCACATTTTCGTAGCACTTGAGGAAAACGCAATGATTTCCAAGAAATCCATGTTAAGCGCACTTAACGTGAACACTGTGTAAGATGAGAAAAACGACGATTAGTAAATAAATATCCGACGTAGAGAGCTACTAAATCCTCTTCTCGTCTGACGCGCGTACATGCTCCAGAAACACGCCAAATAATTATATTAGCCCGAATGTTTATTTTCACAAGACAACATGCTTCCCATTCGCATTACATAAATTATCGCCAAGCAACGCTAACAAAACTCGCGAATCTTGTTCGTTGATAACTAAAGAGTGACGTCCTAAATAATAAAAAAAACATCTCGTATAACCAAGCGACACATTTTCATTGACCTAGGGACGCCGAAAAAAAAGTCCTCTGTGCAAGTGCCCGGACATGACGCGACTAATGATGCCATGGATGCGCTTTTTTTGCAGACGCGCACGCCAATGATTTCAGAATAAATAATTTAAGGCGTGGATTAAATCAGATTTTCGGCCGAGGAGGTGGCCAGTACGTTTCGTTAGCTGCGTTAAACAGGAGGCGCGCACGACGGTTAACTCTGCAGTTAAAACCGCGATAAAAATAACTGATTATTTATTTTAATTAGAATTTGCTGCTGCTGGTGCAACACACGACAGAATGCATATTGATCGTGTGATTCTTCTGTTGGTGCTTGTTGCCGTTTTGTGCACCCCGTTGACGGCGGTGAACTCGAAGAGGAAAAATCGCCGACCGCATGCTAAGAGCCGTAAACAACAGTTTAACGCGAATCGGATTATGGAGCAGAATCGAACGAAAACTAGACTCAGCGTTCTGGGAGCCGATAGTTTGGGTTTACCGATGGTGAACCCGCGACCTTATACAATGGGATACGAACAGAGTGTCCTGGAACGGGCCCCTCAGGTGAACAATGTTCTGGTGAAGGATCACATTTTACCTTTGGGTGATTTTCAAAACAACGACTTCGACAAAAGTAAGTTTATTAAAAATTCTGTGTCCATTGATGATAATTGGTAATTTTTCGCTAATTTAGATCAATGTCACGGGGCGAATTACAAAAAAGATGACAATTTGAAGTTTGGCTGCGAACCGCGAGACACCATCGTGCATCTGGTCCACGAGGAAGGCCTAATCGTAAGTGTAGAATTCTAAGTCTAGAAAATTTACGAAACCATTTTGTTTCGCAGCTATCGCCAAATGCGGTTGCGGTCAAACGATGTGATGGCGGATGTACAGTGCACAGTATGTGCATACCCGTCCAGATGACCAACCGAACCTTTTACATCCGCCAAATCCAGAACAATCAGGTAACCTGCGGGTCAATCCAGGTAGTTGAACACCAACGCTGCAAATGCAGCTGTCCCGAACGATCATCGAACTGCACACCAAGTCAAATCTATGACCAGGAGGAGTGCAAATGTAAATGCCCTAGTAATGTGCGTATCTAACCACTAATCAGATTATATTTTGAAAAAAAAATCTTGTTTTATGGTTTAGGTTAACCAAACGTGTGCATCAGCCAAAATGGAATTCAGACCGCTGGAGTGCAAGTGCATGTGCAAGTTGGTCAAGAAGTGCTCGACAGGCTCATACTTTGATCATCAGAAATGCAGGTGCATAAAACCAAAATCGACAAAACCTAAAAAACGCCTAGCAAAACCCTCCTCATAGACGTAGAATCTAACCTTGAATAGAAACATTATTTATTATAATTTAAGGCATATTTATTGAAGATACATGCAGATACTCGATGAAAGTGATGTAGAATAAATGTATTATATTGTATTTCAGTTGCCCGGCTACGCTCCCCTTGGATAATAAGAACAAGCAGAATTTGTGATTAGACATTTGTTGTTAGATAGATTTTTCTTTTTGTATAAAAAATATTATTTTTAAATTTTTGTATTTTTTTCAAACAGTTTGTGGTTGTACATCAACATAATCACCGAAATTGGTCCACATGTAATTCCAGAATTTTGGGTTTCCTTTAGGATCCAATGGTTTGTTACCAGGTGCTATGGAGGTTCTATTAAACCCTTCCAAAGTGTCCTCTAGGTGATTTAGAATATTCGGGTATAAAGCAGCCAGGTTCTGACGCTCGCATGGATCCTTTTTTAAATTAAACAAACAGGGGGCTTTTAATGGTTCACATAATGTTTCTTCACCTTTGGGACACTTTACATCAGCTTGTTCCCTCATTTCGGAAATATCTTGCAAACTGGGCGCCATTTTGATTTGTGCTAAGGCTTGACCTGCTTGACTTTGTAACACTAACTGTGGATCATATTCTCCTTTGCGTCCTGATGGTCCATACCAATGATCCCAAGCACCTTGATAGTTGGTACCTTTTACCAGCTTCCAATCACCGACGGTAACAGCTGAACTACCATAGATATTATCAATATTATGTAATATCGTGTCACGTTTTGATGTGTAGTCTTTGGAAAGTTCATCCCAGAGATCAACACCGTCTAATTTATATGGTGACGTTCTAAAATAACAATTTTATATAAATACAAGGTGGTAATCAATGTTTTTAATATTAACATACAAGTTTTCTGAATATTCAGGACCTAGAGCTGCATGTAACAAAGTAGGCAACCAGTCAACCATGTGCATCATTTGTTTAGCCACCCGTTTAGGTCTTTCTAGATTAGGACTCCAGATTAATCCAGCTCCTCGCACTCCACCTTCCCACAACGTATTTTTTACTCCTCTCAATGGCCAATTGGAAGCAGCATTTATGTTAAACCCTTCTGCAGGTCCGCCATTATCTGTACTAAACACAATGACACTGTTTTTGAGCATGTTGCGTTTCTGCAGGGCAGCAACCACTTTCCCAACTGATTCATCCAGCTTTGAAAGAACTCCCGCAAACCTCCGACGGTTATATTCAGTAATATTAGAAAATTTAGCAACCAAGTCATCAGGTGCTGCTAGTGGGTTGTAAGGATTCCCTGAATGGACCGCATTGTGGGCAAGATACAGAAACAAAGGTCTTGTAACGTTATGTTCTCCAATCAGACGAATTGCTTCGTTTGTATAGAGATCAGTTACGTACTTCCCATGAGAATCATAATCAATATCAAGATTTCTACGCATATCCAGACCCCAACCTGGGCGTTCCATTGCTGTGTGATCATTGTAATCTAAATGACCTGTCCAACACCCAAGATGAGATAAAAATCCACGATATATTGGTGTGTATTCCTTTTTATAGGAACCAAGGTGCCATTTTCCAACAATTCTATTTACATAACCAAGTGGTTTGAGAAATTCAGGAAGTAATCGTTCATTTAATGGTAAACCACGTGGTTCCGCACCAAAGAGAACAGTGTGTTGCATACCCGTATGAATTGGATACCTTCCAGTCATAAGAGCAGATCTTGAAGGTGTACAAATTGGGTTAACGTAATAGTTTTGTAAAATTAAACCGGAATAAGCAAGGGCATCAATGTTAGGTGTAGGAATTTGATTGGAACCATGAAAACCAACATCATTCCAACCCTAGAATGGAAAATATTGCTAATATGTATAAAATAAACAGCTTAAATTAACTTACCAGGTCATCAGCCATGATGAAAATAATATTTGGAGAATTAACCCATTTTGCAGCACATAAACCAGAAGTAGCACTCAACATAAGCAGGAAACTTATCAACATTGCTACTTTATTGCTCAAACTAACTTTCAAAATGTAAAACTCGGGTGTTTTACTAATCGTCTTTCACTATTTTTGGAATAACTGGTCGACACGTCGTCGCATGGATCGAAATGTAAATGCCGACGACATGAAGAGAATAACAAGAAGTAGTTTGGAGTGTTTGTGTGGACACCAGTCCTTGTGCTCGTCTGCACTGCAGTGACCAGTGGTCTCTTTGTGTTTGGAGGCGCTAATCTGTTCATGTTCGACGCTGATTGCAAAGTGGGAGGCGACACAACGACTTCGACTTCATCATCAGTGACAAATAAACATAACATTACAACGCTGCGGTTTGTTTTGCACTGTTTACTGTGCACAATTCAACACCGACACATTATATGATCAATGACCAAAGCGAGAAAAGAGATGAGGATGAAAGCGACAAATACGTGATTTATTTATTTCCGCTGTGAACGGGAAGTGGGAACTTACATTCTCGTTTTTTATTTTGTATGCATTTAACACAAAAAGTTAATTTGTTTTCACATTAAAACCAGTTCCCTTTTATTGCACTATAAATCAACAATCTAAAAATGCATTAAATGTTTTTATTTTTGCAATATATGAGTCCCAATTCTTGGGAAACTTCTTCAATGTGTTTTAATGCATAGTCCAATTGTTCTTTGGTATGATCTGCGGATAAACAAATGCGGATTCTGGCTTGCATCAATGGAGTAACCGGATATACAACTCCAACGATTGCTATTTTGTGTTTGAGTAATTTTCTAACTGTTGCTCTAAAAAAAACATAATAAAACTTTAAAATATATAAATTTAAATCAAATAGATAATAATTTACAGTGTTTTGGAGTGTGAATAAGTCAGAATTGGAACGACTGGTGAATCATCATGACCATAAACAACAACACCAATCTGATTTAATTGCGTTCGGAAATATCTTGTGTTCCTAGCAAGTGCTTCAATCCGTTGACAGCCGATGTCAGTCCCATCTCGTCCCATAAGTATCTTTAAAACTGATATTATTTGTGCGCAAACTGGTGGTGAGATTGCTGTGGCATATTTCGATGCAAAACTGTGTTTTCTCAAACATGAAATTATGTCCTAAAATATGATGCTTTAAAAAAACAAAAAATATAATTATTAAGTAGATTATTACTTTATTTCCGGCTATGTAACCACCGGCAGCTGCAAAACTCTTGGTAAACGTCCCCATAAGAATATCAACATCACGAGGATCACAACCACAATACTCAACAACTCCTCTTCCGGTTTTGCCCATTGCTCCAATCGAATGTGCTTCGTCCAGATACAAATAAGCTTTGTATTTCTTTTTCAACGCTATTATTTCTTTCAAACGGACTATGGTACCTTCCATACTATAAATTCCTTCTACAATTATTAATATTTTCTTCCAGGGAATATAATCATTCTTTGCGCCTTGACCATAGACAATAGCTTCTTGTAAACGAGCTTCTAAATGATCAACATCTACAAATCAATAAATATACTTAACTTAAGCAATATAGTTATGTTTTTATTATTTAACCATTATGATCAAATACTCTGACTGTAGCTCCAGATAATTTAATCCCTAGGATTAGCGAAGAGTGATTTTTACTGTCACTTAAAACAAGACATCCTTTAGATAATATAACAGGCAAACTTAAGACATTGGTAGCAAAACCCATCCCGAAAGTAATCGCATCTTCAACGCCTAGAAACTCAGCCGTTAGTTTTTCAAGTTCTAAGTGTAAAGCACAAGTGCCAAATTGTGTTCGAGTTGAACAAGTTGAGATTCCATAGGTTTTTATTGCTTGAATTGCTGCTTCCGAACATGCACCTTCGTTTTGAGCAAATCCCAAATAATTATAGGAACCTAGGTTTATGCATTTTGTCGTTGTTCCAGTAAAACTAGAATTAATATTTTTGTATTATGTTTAATATTCAGGTTTAGATATGTGTTACTTCAATGTCCAGCCATCATCCAGTGTTTCTCGGTCTTTTAGAACAATTTCCGCACCTGGTAAACTGCACACAACAAAACTATGCCCGTCTTGAACTCTTCGCATCACATAACGACTGTACAACTGGAAAAAGTTGTAGGAAAGTGGTGGATATCCATGACGATTCACTTCTTTTTTAAATTTTCGTGGAAATAAAAAACTACTCAGCAATCCGACAATTATCAGTATATAAAAACCCAAATAAGTTGTTAGAAATGTTAAGAAACTTGGATATTTATCATCACGAGACGTTGTTTTGGATTTTAGTTGCATTCTTAGAAAATGTAAAGGAACACTGCAAGTGCAATAGGTAAAAAAGGTATATATAGGTATTTGCTTAATCTATGAGAGTTATTCATGCAATTTCCATAAAGTAATCAGACTAAATTAAGCATATTGCGCATAAATTGTGTAATATTTTAGGAGCGCTGCGTTTGGTGCTTACGTATATAGGTCGTGAATAGGTATACCGAGTATATTATAATCTATGTTCATAACCCAGTGTCACAACTACGGTTTCTGTTGTTTCGCTGTTTGTCAGCGCCAGAAACGGCAATAGAAAATGCAAACGGAACGAAAATTCGATATTCAAAGAATTACAATGATAATTTTAAAGAAAATTAAAATAAATAATCAATAAAATTATATTTGCCAATTCTGCATCTTCAGACGATACATAAGTTTCCACCAAAATATCGAAAAACGGTTTTTATGATCGCCATGTTTATGTTTACGTTAACTTGATAAAAACCAAGTAAGTTTAAAGCGTTTTAAAAAAGAATGAATATATAATCTCCGAAACTACGCAAAACTAAACTTTAAAGTTTTTGCTCAATTAAAATAAAACACAGAATATTGAAGATAATACTAAATACAAAGTATTGATATACATATTGTATGAAAGTGAAATTAATTCCATATCATACGCGCCGAGCAGTTTTCAAATAATTGCATTGCTTTGGAAATGCCAAGCAAATAATGTTGTTTTTGATAGTCGCTGCTATGCTTCGCAATCCGCTTTTAATAACATTTGCATATTTGTTTTATTTTCAAGGATAACATTAGAGTTTAATAGTATTCTTCACAATTTGTACTTGAAATTGGATAATACTCGAATGAGATAGTAATGATTTCAAGTAATTATTGTTCGAATCAAATATTGGAACAAAATAATAATAAAAGCATAACAAACAAAAAACCACTTTCACATTTATAATATTAATAAGAACACTGTATGATTCCGACACATTCCCACAGGAATACACTGGTGGTGAATAGTTTCCACGAATGATAGTATATGCATATAATTATTGGAACAATGTTTATTGTAGCAAAATATTGTGTACAAATATACAAATAACAAGCACGACCACGTATGAAAAAAGCAAACAAATTTATTCACATCATCATGTTAAATTCGGCATGTCTTCTTACAATTTCACCGTTATACCGCTCACATTATGCATCATGTAATACTGCCTTACATATAAATCAAAAAGTTCACTTCGTCATTTCGTTTCGAAAGTTTTGTATTGCATGCAGATATGTCCCGTTGTTATCCTCACCACATGTTAATGCCCAGTGTTTGTGTGAATGCGAATGGTAATGTTTAATCATCGGTATTTATCACAATATCTTATAATTAACTACTGCGTGGATCAACAGCGTAACAATCCGAAAAGGGTGTGGGGGCGAAACGTTCGTTATGAAATCGCATGGCACCTGAATTATGTAGTTATTTAAGTTGTGCAGGACAATTGTTCTATCTAGCTAGATAAATAAATAATGATATACCTGTATCGAGAGAAGTGCATGGAATGCTTTGAATATTGAAAAATTGTCTAGAAGATCGGATCTAAATCCGTCGTGAAAACAGAACAACCCTAGCGGATACTGCGTATTAATATTCCTTTAAACTTGAACTTTTTACGTCGCTACTGAATAACCTAAGTTTCGAATAGCCTTAAAGAGCGAGTAAGTGTTATTTGTACTTGCGATCGAACCGTCGACAACTAGCAAATCTAAGTTACAAATGAAGAAGTCATAAGAGCACCGCCACGTCAATAGCAACGTGAATAGAATTCAAAAAAATGAAACACACAATTAAGTCGCAAACGCAACTTGCGTTGAATTTTGTACTGAATATCAGATTTAGCAACGTTTTGTGAAATTTGTCTAGAAATATAAAAATGTTACGAGAACAGATTAAAACACAAACGGAAAATTTATAAAACAAGTAATCAGACATAAATCACATTGAAATTCGCGTGATTTCAATCTCAATCAAACGCAGTCCTAGATTTTGGTGAATGTGTTCGTCTTATCTCGCGTCGAGTGTGACGTCAAATTTCGCATTACGTATGGAATGATTGAGCACATTCCAGATTAGACTTCGAGTGTGTCATAGTCAATGGGTGTAAGGTCCCTCTTTTTGCGCGAGTATTTCAGCCCCAATTCATCGGCAACCTTGTCAATCGTGTCGAGAGCGTAGTCCAATTGTTCTTTGGTATGCGCCGCTGACAAACAGATACGAATTCGTCCTTCCATCAGTGGTGTAGCAGGATAACCAACACCAACGGAGGCGATTTTGTATTTAAGTAACGTCCGCACCATCGCACTAAAAATAAATATAAAACACCATTAACATATGTTTAATATTTACACATGGTGAAACTTACGTAATTTTTGAATACATGTAGACTAGAATTGGTACAACCGGTGAGTCCTCGTTGCCATAAACGACGACACCGATTTGAGCCAGGCGTCGTCGGAAATATTTCGTGTTACGTGCAAGTGTATTGATGCGTTTCAGACCCTCGCCAGTTCCATCTTTACCCATGAGAATTTTGAACACGGTGATAATCTGTGCGGCTACTGGTGGAGACATTGCTGTTGCAAATTTGGACGCTTGGCTGTATTTTCTTATACAGGAAATAACATCCTAAAATAATTATAGTTAAATCGATCGGTTAAGAATAAAATTGAAATAATTTACTCTGTTGCCCGCAATGTAACCTCCCGCTGCGCCAAAACTCTTGGTAAAAGTCCCCATCAATAGGTCAATGTCCCTTGGATCACAACCGAAATAATCCATCACGCCACGACCTGCTTTACCCATGGCCCCAATTGAATGCGCCTCATCCAAATACAGATATGCCTTGTACTTCTTTTTCAGTTTAATAATCTCAGGCAAACGCACAACAGTGCCTTCCATACTGTAGACACCCTCAACAATAATCAATATCTTTTTCCAGGGAAGATGAGCTTTCTTCGAAGAGGAATTTTGACCATACACAACTGCTTCTTTGAGGAGTCTTTCCAAATCATTTATATCTAATCAAAAAGAAATTTATTACCTTTATAAAAACAAAAATTTAAATATAATGTTTACCGTTATGTTCAAAAACTTTAACTGTCGCTCCAGATAACCTAATGCCCAAAATCAACGACGCGTGATTTTTGCTATCACTCAAAACAAGGCACCCCTTAGACAAAATCACGGGCAGATTCAAGGCATTGGTAGCAAAACCCATGCCAAAGGTAATTGCATCCTCGACGCCTAAAAACTCAGCGGTGAGTTTCTCCAACTCCACGTGCAGATCACACGTGCCATACCGCTGTCGACTGGCACACGTCGATACACCGTACTTTTGAATTGCATCGATCGCTGCGTTCGCGCACGGGCCCTTATTCTCGGCGAAACCGAGATAGTTGTACGAGCCCAAATTCAGGCACTTTGTCTCACCACCGGTGTACCTACAGAAAACGATAATAAATCATGCGATAAGCACGAGTCCGCACGCAATGCACACGCCAACTAATCGACGGTACAAGGGAGTGCCCGCCGTAAAAATAAACCTTCACATACTTGAATGTCCATCCGTGATCCTCGGTAATGCGGTCTTTGAGCACAATTTCAGCGCCAGGCACACTGCACACGGGATAATTCCAGCAGTCCCTGATGCGTCGGTATAGATACAGCGAATAGAAAGTGACGAATTTATTGTAGAGGGCTGGATAACCAGCGCGGTTCTTCTGCTGTGTCATTTTCGGTGGAAACAGGGCCTGGCTCATGTAACCGAGGAACATCAGGATGTAAAATCCCATATACGTTAGGAAAGCCGTTATAATACTCGGCCGCTCAAAGGATTCGAGCATTTCCTTCTTTGGTTTAGCGTTGTATAAATCATGATGTGCGTCACCCTGAGGAATTATTTAGTTAACAACTTTCTTGTGTATCAATTCATATCGTTTTGCTTACATTTGATAATGTAGTTTTGTTCATCCTCGCTTTGTTTGATTTGGCTGGATCCAGAGTGCGTTTAGTCTGGAAACAAAGCATTTTAATGGAAAAAAATTAAATATTTTATCAAAACATACCACTGTATAGCCATTGGTGCCATTTACCACTGTGGGGACAACCATTTTGCCGTTTTTCTACAAAAATTACAAAAAAATATTAATTTTTAATGTAAAACTTCAATTTAGGTACTTAAACATACAAAATATTCCATATAATATCATTATATTCAAGTATTTCTATTGACTACAATCAAATGTCTGGAAAAAGTCTATCTGATCCACTTAATAACAAGCACGAGCTGCGCATTTGGATGTTTAATTGATAATAAAACAAAATACCCAAATAAACGCTTGTGAGTAGCCGAAACTGACATTATTTATGTAATAAATCGATTTAGAGATAAAAAATAGACAAAATACATGATGAAATTTATTTGCAATGTTGTTATTCAAGTGCTGAATGATGCACAACATGTGATACTTTATTATTTTGCATATAAACTCGTTTTTTATGCAAAATGCAGCTCATCCGGTGCTAAAAATTGTTATCCAAAAGGAAATAAGTCGATTATATTTATGTAAGCCTCAGAAATCGTATATTTTATGGTATTGTAATGTCTATAACAATATTATTCCATTATTTATGTTTTAATTCACCTTATAAAGTGATAAAGCATAACTTATTACAGAGACCACATTAATTATGCAATATAACGATGTAGAGATAAAAAGGTAACAATAAATAAAACATTATTAAAATGATATCAGAATCTGCGTCAATAGTAATGAATAATTCAATAATTATTCCAAATATAAGTTAATTATTCTAATGTTAATCTTTTAGGTGTCTAGCCAAGTCAATTGAGTACATGTGCACCGAAAATCTCCCCTCTCAGGTATATTAATAGCTGAAACGAGTGCGTAATATTAAAAAAACGCACTTTATTCTTGTTTGCTTTAGAGGCTTAACTTTTAGAGGCCTGGCTCTAATTTGTCCCCGAACTATGATCGAAAGCGTGCCAACTGCCAGCCAATTTGTGCCGACGCACGAATTGAAAGCGCATGATTATCACACTCACTGCCTGTTTGGACAATATGTGCTCGATAACTCGATATTAAGCAAACATTGCACACACGCCTCAAAGTTATTAATTTGTTACATTTTAGGAATTTCCCTTTGGTGGGAGATAAGCGAATAAAAATTGAAAAAAATAAAAACATAATTTTGCGCTAAAAAAGTGAGGAAAGTGAATGTTGCCTATATAATTTGAAAATTAAAACGACATCTATCTTTATTCCAAGCCTATTGTTCAAACATGTAACGCATAGTTTAATATAGCATGTGTGCAATCATTGGGTTAACACGAACTTATCACGCTCGGGAATTTGCTGACGAACTTTACGATCGGAGTCAATTATTAAATTAGAAGTTATATAAACTTTTTTGAGTGATTAGAGCGTGAATGCTAGCGAAATCTATACTAGTAGTATTCCTAAAGATAAGCACTCATAGGATATGCAACAACGTAAACGTTTGAGTCATTAAATGAAACAAATACAATACTTGTTGATACTCAACAAAAAAATATCACTCGCAAGTGGTGTGTTTCGTGTCATGCGACTATTTTATTTTAGAATTCAATTGGATTTTTTTTTTACTTTTCATAGTGATTTACCAATGTTGATATTTCTGAAGTTCAGAAGTCGCGCGTGGTTACGAAATGATAAATTAATCGATAAAAAAATACGCCTTTGCCTTTCATTAATGTCAGGTGAAATTATAATCCATAAATTAATAATCGAGTTCCTAATGCGTTACGAATGACATCGCACACACGCGGGCGCAATAAATATTCAAATCGTCGTTACACACTTGATGATGATTTCTGAACACGTTGCAAACAAAGTTTTCAATTTGTCGCGTGTGTTTAGATTGTAGGTGCGTCGTGTGTAAGCAGTCGCCTTGTTCCCTGTTCCTCTACTCCTAGAACTATAGAAGGTTGGCAATTTCCGCAACTCACAATGTAACCATTGGCTAAATCCCCATGGTACCGGACATCCGCTTTGTCACCGCGAATATCATCCATATTGTCGATGAGGTTTTCCTTCTCCATTGTGAAGTTTGGTTGTGCTCCCCCAAGAAGTACACACTCGCGGCACGCACCACGCCACCTTGCGAAGAAGGAATTCCAAAACCCGGTTCGCTCGGTACGAAGCGGTCTCGCGCACTGTCGGGCAGCTCCACAGCTGGCTGGGCCTGGCGCGCACGCGATCCGCGCGCACGGAAAACCGAAAACTAACCTGACGCCGAGGGCATGCGCACGATTTTTGCGGCACTTTTCGGCCCCGGCGCCTCACACACGCATTTGTATTTTGTCGCAGAGCGGCAACGGAACCGGCCGCACGACTCGAACGCTTCGGATTGGCTAAAATCACGCACGACGCAACTCACGTGATGCACGCCGATGCAGACTCAGGTTCGCAATTTATTCAACACTTACACTATCAACAAATTTTGGTTTCCGCTTACACTTTACACGGCCGACGAATAAAGTGGGAAAAAACGCGAGCCATGCTGGTTTGACTGGTTGAATTTTGACTTGAATTTTAACGACGTTTGAATGTCTAACGTAGGCAACCAGTTTCGCACCAACGGTTTTTATTACTCGAGTCAAAGTCGTTTGAAGTGGTGGTAACTATAGAATCGCGCGATTAATTGTTTCGAACGGTTAATTTCATTGCATGTACGGTTTTAATTTGTAATTCAAATGATTACTCATCGCATGGTGAATGAGCAACGAGTTGCACGTGGTGACGTGTCGATTATCAAAAACGCCTCTAGAAGCTATACTATGCTAGAAGTAAAAGGAAGTTGGTAGCCGGCAAATACAAGTGAGTCATTCACTTGAAAATAGCATTCATGCGGCGTTGACTCCGACGCCGCATCGGGGGATACGCCAGCGTCCCCACTTCTTGTTGTCTGCATGAAGGAATAAGGAGGCATCGGGAAGCGTGCATGCTAACCCACTGACAGATGACAGTAACCGTGCCGGTGCCGGGCTGAACATTTGACGAAACGCGACTGGAATTTTCATCTCCACCGAAAGAGATCACAAGCAATAAAACGTGCCGGGGCGGAATACATTTAGAGTAAGAAATACGTGTTGTGTGCATTGTGCGTGCCAGTGAATCTGAGGCCTTACTTCGTCTGTCGATAGCGCGCGATTGTAGATTTGTAATAGAATGGAAGGCAAGGGAATGATGCAGGAGACGATGGATCTGTTGGGATCGTTGCGGGAGGATGCGTCCCAGGCGCACGTGGAACTGAAACGAGAGGTCGATTCGCTGGATGACTTCGAGCACCTGAGCCACGAGTCGAAGTCACCGGTGCGTGACGAAGGTAAAACGTTGTTGGATGAGGATGTTTTGATGGATACGGCAGCACGTGCGGAGGCGGCAGCAGAGGTGGCGTCGTCGGCGCTCACGAAGGCGATCGATAAAAGGGTGGAATCTGCATCGGATACAGCTGCCAGACTTGCCGACGCGCTGGAAACCAGGTGGGAGCCGACAGACATCCGGCCAAGTCCAGTCGTTGCGTCGCCAGTTCCACCGCCAGCCATGGACTCGAACCTCCTCGACTTTGAAGACGCTTTCCCCGATCGGAAAGAAGCCGACGCCAAACTGGACAAGTTCCTCAACGAGATGGCCCTTGGCCAGGAAAAACCAGCCGAGAAACTCGACGATATGAAAGAAGCGACGATGGATTTCGTTGAGAAGGAAATGCAGCGTGCGTTTTCACTTGAAAAGGCAGACCTGCCACCCCCGCCCCAGACGGATGACATTCTCGAGCACTATTCAGATAGTGACGCCGAGGATGACTTCAAACACGAGGACTTCCACGCGGACTTCCAGCATCATGAACCGGAGCAAGAACCGGAAGAGTCTGCCAAGTTTGATCAGTTTAAGGATGTGCACGACTTCGAGGCCAAATTTGATCTTCCGAATTTCAATCTTCCGCAAGAACAGCCCTTGTTCAAGACCCCCGAACCTGAACCACTCATTTCCGAGCAGGTGATTCTTCCTGAAGTACCCAAAGAGGAGCCCAAGATTGCAACGCCAGTTGAAGAGAAACCACGCGAAGTTATCGAGGAAATAATCCAGGAGGAGACTCCTCCGGCACCGGTCCAAGTTGAGAAAGTCGAGAAACCGAAAAAGAACGTCATTGAAGCAGAGGCAATGTTTTGCAAGATGGGACTAGGTGAGTTTGAGCGTTTTTCAGTTTTTGCACCTTTTACATCACGCTATTGATCCGGCACGCAGTCAAGTCACTTGCTTCTCTACTAAAACTAGCTGATGCCAGGCGCAGCAACAGCACATTAACACGATTAACACATCTTTCGTTCAACGTGTAAATTGTGCGCTGCTGGCATTCACTATTATTTCATTCTTCGTGGCGTTACTCACGGTCACATCTAGCGAATTGAAGAATTAAAGAAGCACCATAATGACGTTCGTACATTGAACGTAACTGTTCATGTTCATGCTCTCAGATACGCTCGCTAGAGCTAAAACAACGAAATACAATATCATACAGGCGAAGGAAACCGCAGTGTCGGGCAAAATACGATAAAAGAAGCACGCTGCGCTCGTTCAACAGCGACAAACAGCAAAAAACCAGTCCCTTGTGGATTATATTTTATTTCAAACGTCATGGAAAGCATTACAGAACAAAAACATGCAAAATAGGCGAATTTTTCGCATTGTCCTAGTTTCCTGATGGGAATATCGCATGTCTTACACACAAAAACAAACACCACTCCTGTTTTCCTCACGCTGGTGAAACTAAACCAGTTGTAGAGTAGTAGTTAATCGTGGTTAAATATTGCACCATGTCTCTTCATGCTATGAAACATGAAAATTAATAAGAATAATAAAACTGGCTGCGGAATGCATAAACACGTTTGATCATCAACCGAAGGTTATTTTTAACTTTATGACGTGTTTAAACTATATTTATTACCGGCCTAATAATTTAGGTTATCTTCGTTTTATGATATTTGGTTAGTGTTTGAACTTTTGGAGTGTGGTAATAAAAAAAAGTTCGAAAAAAGTCGGGCTCAACCGGGATTTGAACCCGGGACCTCTCGCACCCAAAGCGAGAATCATACCCCTAGACCATTGAGCCGCTTGGTATAGCACGTTTCGGTAACCTTCAACGCCGAGAATGTGCGCTAGATTATTTAAATTTAAACAATGCATAATTTATTACTACGTATCGCGCACAATGAGGTCTCTTATCTGAATTTTAGACTCAGAACTACTATACTGAGCGTATTGTTAAAAATTCGGCTACTCAAATGATTGGGTTTTAAAGTTTTGACTTTGCGATTTAATTCGTTTGACCTGGACCCTGGGTAACAAAGTCCTTGGGCGCTAATGACTCGTCGAGTAGAGTTAAGAGCTACCAGCATAAAATGTAGGTACAAAGTCGAAACCGTGTACAGGGGGGCCTCCCCACCCACCGGCGGACTACCAAAGTTGTAGCAGATAACTCTGTGGTGCTTCTAAATTGCATCCTCTCATGGTAACACGAGTAACACGACAATTACCTCATTTGTACCGTGTTTCTGCGCGTGTGTCGGTCGGTTCGTGGTTGTCGTTTTCGCCGCGCGGACGACACTCGCGGAACAAGAGCGGAGTGCCACCAGTCCAGAGTGGTATTCCAGTCGACCCGGGTCGATAGAGCGACGCTTGCCCAGAGTACTCGCCGGTTTGCTTCTCTCCTTGCTCTGTATGTGTGAGTGAGTGTTCGTGTTCGATTCGCATTCGCGCTATCGCCGGCTCCGAGCCTCCGAAACCTGCACTCGACGGGTGCGTGCATGTGACCCTGTGCCACCGATGCGTGTTCCTCCTGCTGGCGCCACCAACAACCGACATTCAGTTCACGATCGGCGACGCGCGCAACCAGGGGCTGCGAATTTGACACGGTAGTCGAAAACCGGGTTATTCTACTACCAAGACCAATAGTATCTCGCAGAGTGCGGTAACGTAAATTAAAGCACCTTCAATCAATCATGGACACTTCCGAAAAACTCAAGGCCGAAGTCGAGGGCATCATTCACGACGCCAGTGAGACCGTCTGCAAAATTCAATCGAAGGGCGCCTGCACCGGCAAATCCTCATCAGCCTGCCAGGCGAGGAGTTTACTCTGCGTCTTATTTACACCTAGTACGTGAGATCATATTAGATATTAGATAACTTGGTAACCAGTAAGAAATATTATTTCCAAAGTCAAGTAATCAAGACGCTAGTGTCGTGTTACCAGCAGCAAAACGCTGCCATTGTGTTGTTATTATTGTCATTTCAATTGTTCACTCGGACATATTATATCTTTAATAATACGTACAAGAATCATGAACACTTGACCTGCCAGCGATGTAATATTTCGACGTGTCTCAAACTAAAGTTGCGCAATAATTCAATTCATACAAAATCAACTGATAGCGACGATAACAAATTTGAAAAAAACGCAACACACTTGAAACTTGACTTTCAGACGTGTCTAGGTCTAAAAAATTATATAACGATTTTATTATTTCATTTTCGGAGGTCACACGTGTTGATATCCAGCATGGTTCTGGAATGTTTCGTAATATAATTGGACATCAATTAAGGCGAAATCATGCGTGCTTCAAATGAAGTTCTCACCACGCTGAATCAAAGAATAGTTTTTTACTAGTTAATTAAAGCCGGTTCTGATCGTATTTGTTTGTTTTCGAAACAATGTGCAGTAAAAAACCTACCTCGCTTTGCATGCGGTTTCTGAATTGTCATTTTATTTACGTTGTAATTTTGCATTCCGCCCGAGGCTGTTATCGATGACGAATTGTCATTTGAGGACTTTGAATGTCATTGTCAATGCACTAAAGTTCAACTCATTTGCTAATCGTCAATATTTTAAATCTATTTTTGGTAATTTGTCGATAAGGGTGGAGAAGTAGTTGGAAGCGATGTGATGCGTGACGGGTCAGAATATTCCATTAGAATTTCTTATCAGTTTACAATGCAGTTGATGCAGTCCATAGTTCATTGACACGCAATGACTTGCTTTTGTCTTTTGCAGATGCGTGGTTCAACCCCGAACGGCTAAATCCAAGAGGTACGTTATTCGTTAAATGTGTGGGACGTCATTGTAAAAATAAGAAGTTTAAAAGCAGACACAAAGTAGACTTCAAATTACTTTTAGACCATTGGACTCTAATTAAAAAGCGGCGGACGGACGAGATGCTCGCACCGTTTGAATGTCGCGTCGAGAGTTTTAATCTCGTGACGACGGATGGTCTATTTCGTCGTTGCATGGTGCAGGTCTCCTCTCTATTTATTACGCAGCGGAGACTCGAAATAGCGGTTTTTGTTTTGTTTGCTTTTGTGCGCGTTTTCCGCTTTGAAAGTTTGTCGTTGCGCGCTCAAAACAACTCAATATCGTTGCGTCAGCCCAACAGCGTGTTGTAAAGTAAGTTGGGTTGCATACATTGAATTTAGATATATGACTAGTATAGCTAGATATCTTTCGGGTTGATTACTGCGCTCACTGCTTGTGATGTTCATAGACCTAGACTACGGGTGGGATTTTACATGTATTGAGAACAGGAGATTAATATTTAATAGTTATGACTCTAGACTAGGTTCTGAGCGTGTGCGATGATAAAATTGAAAGAGTTCAGGAAGCATAACAACAAAACACGGATATACGTATCCAAGGTATTGATCGCCCCCGCTGGTAACGCCGAGGCATGCGCTCTTTGCGCTTCTCCTTGAAACGGAGGGGTAGTAAGGGTAGTAGGGTGTATTTATCGTCGGACGTAGGGACGCGCAGGGTCGTGGTTTGTAGTCGTGCCGTTTTGGAATAGTGAACCCATTGTGTGCTACCTGTGACGCAGTTGATTCTCTATCGAAATTCAAAATTTTTTTGAAAGTGAAATCTTCAAGTGAGGTTATTACAGCGTCGAGGAGTCCACATACATACACAGAGTTAAGATACAGGACGCGTTCGCTTGGTGTGTGCGTTTTTCAAATTTAGCAGCTTGTGCCTTGATCCGCTGCCAAACGGCGCTTTCCCAGGCGGAGGCAGAGATAGCGAAGATTCCGCCGCTTGTGGCATTCGAAGCTCGCCGCCGTCGACGACGCTAACTCGATCGAGCATATACACACACGCAAAACGCGGGCGCGATGAACCTCTTCGATTTCCGCCGGGATGAGCGTAAGTCTAACCCAATCCAGTGTGCCGTGTTGAGTGTTGCGTTTGCTATTGATATGCAATTTCCCCCTACGCGCCAAAAATGCCAGCCCAGACCTGTGGCGGTGTAGGGAGTTAGTTGGAGCTGTTTGCGAGTGAGATGACACCAGGATAGGCGTGCGGTTCCAGCGGTTTGACTCGTTGTTTGGTCCAGGAATCGGGACCTATTTTTGGCGCACGCTTCGGTTGCCACCGATTTCGATTGGATGGCATATGAACCTCTCATTTGAGTTTGCTTTCATATTCACGCCGGTTTATCAAGTATTACTCTCTCGCGCTGTTTTTTGCTCCTTAAGTTAAGTCGTTACTTTAGAAACAGTTTTTAGTGGATTTGTTCTACGTCGAGTTTAAGGATTACTCAGCTGGAAAGGATTTAGACTTTGGCGAACAAAAGTAAGCAACTTGTGCATTGTGAACACTTTGTATACAGATACATCTGTTGGGTCTATTCTATTTTCGATCGTTATGTAAATCTAAATTTTCCTCGTCATATTTCGCGCATTTTCTTTCTAATTCTAATTATGTCCGCGATCTAAGAATAAAATTTTTATTCATAGATCTAATTAATGGCGCACATGCCAACTTTGTGCTAGTAGAGTCCAGCTTAATTTATATCGACTCGAAATACATCAATATCAATCAGTTCTCGATTCATGCTTTTATTGTCCTAGCGTAACCGCCGCTGGCGCGCCGCCAAATCTAGTTTACTTTATCGCATTTTATCGTGTGCTAAGGAAGGGTAGCAGCCTTGGACGAGCGTTACCCTTCAATCTGGCGCCTTCCAAGACATTAAAGTGTCCTGGCATTAAATTATTTTTACGAATTCGATTTAGATTTACTATAAATCCGGTGTTACACTAAGTTGGCACTTTGTTCCTACCGAAATGCTAAAATGTTATGAAATCGTTACATCTGTTGGCTTCATGTTTGAATTTTCTTGACTTGACTCGAGAAATTATTCCTGCATGTATATCAGAGAGAAGCAGTTAGGTAATAAAATCGAGAGCGCATCGTTTCGCCGCGATTCCACGACGGTATATTTATAACCAGACACGCAGTTTTCCGTGTTTCGTTCTACAGGCAGTTTTCCGAGCGTGTTTCGCTTTTCTGATTTGTGTTGCTTGAAGTTGGTCGCGCGTCACCGAGCGCCGAGGAATCAATAAAATATATACGTGGAAATGCGAGTTAGCGACTCGCTGGTGCTAATGATGTTACCGGTTTTTCTGTTACAACTCTCCAGCGTGCTTTTTCCGCCAATTGTAATTTAATTAAGCCGGGAATTGAGAGACGCCGAGTGTAAATGGCGATCTGGCACAGTAATAACTTATATTTTTAGCGCTGGCGAGTTTGGGCTATGCACGAAAAATTAATTATCCACTAGATTAAACGATTTAATTATAATTAATCTTGGCCTACGTTTACCTGAACATGCACTCGGGTGCCTCATAAAGTTGTAATACAACTAAACAAGGCAGAATGTTTAAGTAAAGACTTGCGACGCATGAGTGTTAATGTTAAGTCGCGCATGGTTAGCTTCCAAGTGAGTTGGAAGCATGGAAGCCAACGTGGAAGCCGTGTGTACTATTCACGCGCACACCGGTTGGTACCGGCGAGTGCGCCATCTTTATCTGACGTTACTTAAGTTAAGTCAATACACGTCGGCATAAAAATATATATACAATGCGTTCGGGGATTTCCGCTGCGATTTGCGTTTTTGGCGTATTATCACCAGCAATCACCACTCCACGTTGCTAACATTGCGCTATTTAACGCTGACACTTTTATCTGATGCGTATGTGTGCCGCGCACACGTTGGCGACCACGAAGTTAAGCTCGCTGCGCGTTCTTTTCGCCCTGACCGCGCGTCCGCCAGCACGACGTGCGCGTTGCCCACCAGAGCACCTCTTGCCTCTTTCTTTTCAAGTCCACGCGCGGACGTGTTGCTTACCTGGCATCACCATCATCCTTTGCAGTCTTCGCTCAGCCGGAGGAGGAAGACCTTTGCGTTAGTATAGTGCCGTTGTTGTTGCTTCTGCAGAAAGCATATTACCGAGAAATAAAAATGGTGCGTGCCAAGAACCAGAGATACCAATCCGAACCGCTGCCCGAAAGAGGACCCGGTGAGATATTCTATTCCCTAAATTCATCAAAAATTCATCAATTTACGGCCGTGAGAGGAAACCCTTTGTTACCCTCACCAGCCTGTTTGCTGTCCAGTCAGAATCCGGTTTTATACCTACTACAACATGTAACATATGGTTGCCTCATGAACGCATTGATCGTCTCGGTTGTATGCGTAGTTTTCAATGAAAAGCTGATTTATTTAATGTGAAATTTTAAGGTCTAGCTAAATGTTTACTTCGCTACGTGGTTTGGTAATTTACAAGCCGCAAATTGTTGATAAACCATGTTGAATCTTACATTTCAATTGTTCGAATACGAGTAAAGCTGCTATCAGTGTAAAAAACCTTGTAAATGTTGATAAGACTTTGTGTTAACCTGAAAAATCAAAATGTAGTTTTAGCCATAGTTCATTTGAATTGCGTGGAAGTGAACTTCTAGGTCTAGGACGCTCTCATACCCAGGTTGGAGCGTAACGCGTTTTTTGGGCGAAGAAAGTAGGAGTTCAGTGAACCAGTTTCGAAAACTGTTCGATAGGCACCGTCACCTTGCCATAATACCTGCTATTTGTTAATGAATTCAAAATATGCATCAATTCACAAAAACTTTCACACATAAAATTAAGCATAACTCAACGTTAATTGTTAAACTTTGTGAAGTTAGTTGTAATTAAGTTTTTAATAACTATTGTTCAATTTTCGCCATTGCTTTGTTTGCTTGAAAATTGCTCTAAATTACTGTAAACGGCTCTAAAATGGGGGGTGAATATTCTATAATATGTGCTGACCAGGGACAACTTTACCAACGTCGACAGTTTGCTCCCCTATGTGCAACCGAGGGTATTTTACTACACATCATAATGTGCGGTGAAATTACAGCATTAAAAAAACATGCGCTCGTGGCGCCAATAGTTTTCCCCCCTTTGTAAAGTGGAAAAATCAATTTTATCATCGCACACGTTTCAAATTCACATAGTCTTTGTTTGCAGGATGGTTTTCTCTGAAGGGTGAAAATCAGTAAAACAAAGAACAACAGTTTATATTGAAAACGACGCCATTTTTGCAAACATCTCAAAATGTATTTAATATTTATGGAAATATACTGCAATATTGGCAGTTTAAAGTCATAAATTTACAATAAAATAAAAACTAATCAATCTAACAAGTGCGCACGCGTAATCGTAATCAGTTGTAAGAGTGCAAGGCAGCATTCGATAAATTGCCCACGCTGCGCCCGTTTCGACCGCGATCAGCGATAAACTTGTTTACGGCTGCACATTTTGAGATTACACGCCGACTCAACAAACCCTAATTAGTTCCATAGCCTTTTTTTTATAATCTAGAAAACTGAATGATTTCATACGTAAATAGAACTAGTGTTACTTTATTCACATATAAACTGATTTGAATGATCAGCGAATGGCTGGGTGCGAAATGACATTGCTGCCCAGTAAAGTGCATCCAAATGTGGCGGAGTGAGTAACTCAAAACCGTGAAGTACAACACTTTGCGCCACTTGTAATTAATATTTATCCGGTTGGGTATGAATTTCTACAGGCGTAGCGGGCAACCAGGTTGCGCCGCTCTCAATATTCAACGGAAATTGTTTACGTTAATACCCACGCAGTTTTAAATAAAAAAGTATGTAAATACTAAACTTAAAAACACTGGAGAGTTCCACGGTTTATGCATATTTTCTTTTCGGCAGGCGAAAAACTGTTTCGCTTTGAATATAAACGGAAAACATTTTCTGGTGTTGAAATGCGTTTAATTAGCATGTATTTTTGTTTGTGCTTGACCTTGACTTTACAAATCGAACGAATATTCATTGTATGATGGCATCGATGCCCGTACGCTGAATGTGAATCACTCGTTTTTTATATTTTTGTACGTACAACATATACGCCTCCTCTTGTTGCTGTTGCGTTTCGTACGGCGCATTTTCGCGTTGAGTCGGAAAGTTCTCAGTCGCTTTCCGGCCTTTCAGTGGTGTGTTTTGGCACCGGCAGCTAGAACTCGCCGCCACACAATGAGCGACGCTTTCTATTATTATCTACTCATCTGCTCTTTGTGTCTGGTTTATCTGCACAGTGCGTGAATAATTAATCAACGAGTGCGTGTGTTAAGATGTGTTTTTCTTTTTGTAGTGGAGAGCCTCATCTACTGGAGGGACCCGAAAAAATCTGGCCCAGTCTTTGGCGCGGTGTTGGTCATCCTTCTCAGCTTGAAGTTCTTCTCGCTGATCAGCGTTGGCGCATACGTCTCGCTGCTTGGCCTCCTCGCCACCATTTCCTTCCGCATCTACAAGAATATTGTGCAGGCTGTCCAGAAGACTGGTGATGGACATCCATTCAAGTAAGTTTATTATATATTAATTTAGCCGTAATGTTTGGATAAAGAGGTAGCAGTGTTTAATGATTGTGTTTTTAGGGAATATTTGGAACTCGACGTTGTCATTCCTCAACAAAAGGTCGAGGAGGTGACGAAAATTGCCGTTGCCCACATGAATGCCGCGCTCGTAGAGTTGCGTCGTCTTTTCTTGGTCGAGGATTTGGTTGACTCGATCAAGTTCGCCGTTTTGCTGTGGTGCTGCACTTATTTGGGCGCCTGGTTCAATGGCATCACCCTCATCATTCTTGGTACGTTCCCTCAATCGACCGTAATGAGCCACAGAATGATCCGCTCTAATATGTCTTCCCCAGCGTGCACAACTTAACTTAATTAATTTGTTTCACAGCATGGATCGCCCTGTTCTCTCTCCCGAAAGTTTACGAAACGAATAAGACGCAGATCGATGCCAACCTCGACATCGTGAAATCTAAACTGGCCGACATCACGTCAAAGTAAGTGATTTAGTTGTAAACAAATAAAATTGTAACTTATGTTTGTTTGTTTTATTTCTACAGGGTGAAGGCGGCAGTTCCGATCGGCAAAAAGTCCGAAGAGAAGAAGGAGTAAATCCCACCCTCAGAAACAAACGAAGAAGCAATCGACATCGTACATCATCGGATGCCAAAAACAGACAGTAACGAGAGTAAAAGTAAAAAACAAAAAACGCGAGAGGCATCCCACAAAAATATCTCTTTTAATTCCATTCTAATCTAAAAAAAAAGTAAAGAAAGTAAAAACTTAAAGTAAACAAAGTAAACACCATCTTATCTACTACATAATAACTCTTCTCTATATACATATTGATGAAATTGTTTTGTTAATTAATTTTTTTTGTACATAGAAGACTATATTTTAAACTTCGCCTGAGGATCATGCTTGTTCGATAAAGAAAAAAAAAACACATTAAAATTGTTGGAAGCGTTACTTTGGCGATTCTCAGCGCATGTGCGAGAATTTATGTTCGTCATCGTCTCTTAATTACTCTTTTTATATCAAATCAATTTGTAATACATAAACGTTACGTTAAACGAAAGCGAACCGAAGCGCTGTGACAATGCGACGCTGAAGGATTTCCCAGCCAGATTGAGATTTATTACCTTAATTTATGTTTTAATTTATGTATTGCAAGAATTATATTATTGTACTAAATACACAGAAATAAGTTACAATCGCTTTGTGTTTATTGATGTTTGGTGGTACGCTGAAGTGAAATCAATGAGGTAAGAACATGACATTTCAACTAACTTTGATTTACTAACGAAAATCTCACGAAAATTTGAACGTAACGGATAGTTGATAGGATATTTAACTATGTAACGATTTATGATAACGATAACGTTAAGGAACATGCGTCAAGCACTTCGTATGAATGATGAGAAGCACTGAAACTTCAGCTTGGTTACACCGCTTTCCTTTGAGAATCAACGCGAACGATTTCATTCGAATTTAAAGGATTGATTGAAGATAGATGATGAGAGTTTACTATTTTAATACTTGTCGTAAAAGTGAAGAATTGTTTCGCGAACATAAGACATATTGGGAAGAATGTAATATTTTCGTAAGTTTAGTGAAAGTTAGCTTTTAGCAGCGAATATAAATATTCGCCCCGTAACTGGAAACTGAGTGTGTTCCCATATGAAGCGTGCAATATTCGAACAAATCAAAACCCACTCACACACATACACGCTCTCGATGAAACTTGTTTGTCACACAACAAAGTAAAAGTGTATTCTGTAACTAATAAAACGCTAAAGTATATGATTATCAAGTGTAATATTAAGACCAAGATATTAACTTAAAATAGTTCAATGAGTACATTATTCGAGGAGACACACAAACCAAATAAAAATGCAGCAAAAAAAATTAAAGAAACTAAAGTATATTATGATGGTGTTAATGATATTGTATATGTTAAGTTAAAATTCATCTTTGCCCTTTATATAATGATATAATATGACTGCGTATGTTTATATTTTCGAAAGTGATTTATATGTGACCAAGAGTCCAAGAAATGAAGCAAAGGAGTGTGGCTTTACCTGTGCACTCCAAATGATATGATATGTCTAACGTTTTAATTCAATTTTTATTCAGAAATGCTTTGCGTTTACATGGAAAACAGATTGTGAAGTTGTATGAATTGGACGGGTTATTGTTGCTGATTTTTTTATAGACTGCTATGTATTTGCTTATAAACGTTTGGAATAATTTCAGTCTATTGTTTTATTTATAACATACCAGTTTCCTTCTACCTAACAATGGTAAGTAGTTAATTTATTTGCAACGGCCCTTCCAAAATTTTTATTTTATTATTTGTTAAGAAGGCGTCAAAAACATACAACATCATTACATCAGGATACATTTTCCTTTGAAATAACAATTATCATCAAGTTGCAATTGGAAATGACTTGCCAACCTACTGTTATTACGGTTGTGTTACAGGTTCCTGTTTACTCTGAGTGTAACTAGGTGCAGCAGTATTATCAGCATGCGTGTTTGTTGTTGTTTTTTTCGATTTAGTCGTTGGTGCGCAGTTGTGCGATGTGCGCGTGTCCACTTGTTTTAGTTCTAGGGTTAGGACTAGTTTTGCAATTGAGCCCGACGTCGTAGGAGAACCATTCTTGCATCAGATTGTAAGTATTTAATTTTTTAATCATTTCCATATACAACTATTGTGATGAGTTCATTAATTAGCAACAAAAATTACCTTTTTGTGTTTCAAAGTACTAATGCTTTTCTTGTTTTAGGGATTTTGCACTTGAGCCCAACATCATAGAAGAGCCATTCTTGCATACGATTGCTGGTATTAAATTTCTTTATCATCTTCATAAAATATTTTGGTTATCAGCTTATTAATTGATAAGGAAAATTGCATTTTTGTGATACGAAGCACTAATTTTTGCTTGTTTTAGGGATTTTGCACCTGAGTCTGACATCGTAGAAGGACCATTCTTGCATCAGAATGTAAGTATTGAATTTCTATATCATTTTTCTAAATTACTTTTGTGACTACCTCACAATTTGACCCCCAAAATTGCGTTTTTATGCTTGAAGGACTAATTTTTGCTGGTTTTAGGGATTTTGCACCTTAGTCAAACATCGTAGAAGGACCACTCTTGCATCAGATTGTAAGTATTAAATTTATTTATCATTTTCTTAAATAACTTTTGTGATTATCTAACAAATTGACTAGCAAAATTGCATTTTTATGTTCGAAGGACTAATTTTTGATGGTTTTAGGGATTTTGTGCCTGAGCCTGACATCGTTGAAGGACCATTTTGGCATCAAAGTGTAAGTATTAAATTTATTTATCATTTTCCTAAATAACTTTTGTGATTATCGTACAAATTGATCCCCAAAATTGCATTTTTATGTTCGAAGGACTAATTTTTGATGGTTTTAGGGATTTTGCACCTGAGTCTGACATCGTAGAAGGACCATTCTAGTATCAGATTGTAAGTAATTAATTCCTTTATCATTTTCTTAAATAACTTTTGTGATTATCCTACAAATTGATCCCCAAAATTGCATTTTTATGTTCGAAGGACTAATTTTTGATGGTTTTAGGATTTTGCACCTGAGTCTGACATCGTAGAAGGACCATTCTGGCATCAGATTGTAAGTATTAAATTTCTTTATCATTTTCCTAAATAACTTTTGTGATTATCGTCACAAATTGATCCCCAAAATTGCATTTTTATGTTCGATGGACTAATTTTTGATGGTTTTAGGGATTTTGCACCTGAGTCTGACATCGTAGAAGGACCATTCTACTATCAGATTGTAAGTAATTAATTCCTTTATCATTTTCTTAAATAACTTTTGTGATTATCCTACAAATTGATCTCCAAAATTGCATTTTTGTGTTCGAAGGACTAATTTTTCCTGGTTTTAGGGATTTTGCACCTTAGTCAAACATCGTAGAAGGACCACTCTTGCATCAGATTGTAAGTATTATATTTCTTTATCATTTTCCTAAATAACTTTTGTGATTATCCTACAAATTGACCCCGAAAATTGCATTTTTATGTTCGAAGGACTAATTTTTGATGGTTTTAGGAATTTTGCACCTGAGCCTGACATCGTAGAAGGACCATTGTTACATCAGAATGTAAGTATTACATTTCTTTATCATTTTCCTAAGTAACTTTTGTGATTACCTCACAAATTGACCCCGAAAATTGCATTTTTATGTTTGAAGGACTAATTTTTGATGGTTTTAGGGATTTTGCACCTGAGTCTGACATCGTAGAAGGACCATTCTAGTAACAGATTGTAAATAATTAATTTATTTATCATTTTTCTAAATAACTTTTGTGATTATCGGACAAATTGACCCCCAAAATTGCATTTTTATGTTCGAAGGACTAATTTTTGATGGTTTTAGGGATTTTGCACCTGAGTCTGACATCGTAGAAGGACCATTCTAGTAACAGATTGTAAATAATTAATTCCTTTATCATTTTCCTAAATAACTTTTGTGATTATCGTACAAATTGACCCCCAAAATTGCATTTTTATGTTCGAAGGACTAATTTTTGATGGTTTTAGGGATTTTGCACCTGAGTCTGACATCGTAGAAGGACCATTGTTACATCAGAATGTAAGTATTACATTTCTTTATCATTTTCCTAAGTAACTTTTGTGATTATCTCACAAATTGACCCCAAAGTTGCATTTTAAATGTTCGAAGGACTAATTTTTGATGGTTTTAGGGATTTTGCACCTGAGTCTGACATCGTAGAAGGACCATTCTAGTAACAGATTGTAAATAATTAATTCCTTTATCATTTTCCTAAATAACTTTTATGATTATCGTACAAATTGACCCCCAAAATTGCATTTTTATGTTCGGAGGACTAATTTTACCCTGTTTTAGGGATTTGGCACCTGAGTCTGACATTGCAGAACGATCATTATTGCATCAGAATGTAAGTATTAAATTTCTTTATCATTTGCCTAAATAACTTTTGTGATTATGTCCCAAATTGGCCCCCAAAATTGCATTTTTCTGTTCGAAGGACTAATTTTTGCTTGTTTTAGGGATTTTGCACCTGAGTCTGACATCGTAGATGGACCATTCTTGCATCATATTGTTAATATTTAATTTCTTTATTATTATCTTAATTAACTTTTGTGATTATTACACAAATGTATTCCAAAATTAATACTCGTGTGTTTTCTTTAATAAATAATATTGTTTAAGTATTTCTGATTTTAATTTGTTCTGTTATTTCAACCCGATCACATATTAAACGATCCTTTAAACCATTTATTTTAAAAAGTGCATGCTAGCGCCATCTGTTTATTGGCAACTGAAACTACTGAAAGTTTTCAGCTTCGACCCTTTGCCACTAGAGGCAGCACATTACTAGTTACCGCGAAAACTTTATCAGCCTCCTCAACTTTCTGCTCTCCTAATATTCAATCATTATTTTGTCGACTCTGGGAGGCAAAATGACACAAAATTTGGACTCGAAACAGTCGAAACCTCAGTTTTGGTATTCGGATCGCAGAAAGTGTAAGGAGGCTGATATAGTTCTGGCGGTAAATGGTAATGGCGGGTAAAATTAATGTTTAAAATTCATTTATCAGCAAGTGTTGCTTCTGTATAATTGGAATTTTTGAATTCTGTTTTCGAATTTTGTAAGCTAAACTTCTATATCGACTATTTATGTAATTATTTTTTTAACATTGACTATGTAGACTGTATTTGCAATTTTAATTAAAGAATTGTATTTTACATGCCAATAGGGCCTTAATCTATAAGTGTGTTACTAGTTTCCGATTCTGAATTTAATCTACTTTCAAAATCCGAAAGCAGAATTTAAAAATTTCAATTATTACAGAACCTGCATTTGCTGAAAAAAGATTTCGTCATAAAAAAGGCAAAACATTTTTCTTTTTTATGTCGAATGTTGTTTTCATTAAAATTGCAAATAGGGCCTAAACGGTTAGCATAAACCAAAAAAGTTACTAAAATTATCGATGTAGAATTAAATTATCAATCATAATCCGAAAACAAAATTTAAAAATTCCAACTTTTAATTTTCAACATAAAAAAGAGAAATCTTTTGCCTTTTTTATAACAAAATCTTTTCTTTAAAAATTTTTTTTTTTTGTGGTTTTCAATAATGATGCCATCTTGTCCAGAATTCTTCAAGGATCAAGAATATGTAATTATTTTTATTCTAGCCCTTTTAGTTGTCGAGATAATTACCATTTAATCTTCATAAATTAGGCTATCTCGACAACTAAAAGGGCTAGAATAAAAATAACTACATATTCTTGATCCTTGAAGAATTCTAGACAAGATGGCATATTTTTCTCAAAATGAAGAAATGGGCACAAAAAATTTTTAAAGAAAAGTTTTTGTTATAAAAAAGGCAAAAGATTTCTCTTTTTTATGTTGAAAATTAAAAGTTGGAATTTTGAAATTCTGTTTGAGGCGGCTGATATATAATTTAATTCTACATCGATTATTTTAGTAAAGTTTTTTGCTAGCATTAACCGTTTAGGCCCTATTTGCAATTATAATAAAATACGTGTATCATGTCGGAATAGTCTAATTTATGAAGATTAAATAGTAATTATCTCGACAACTAGAAGGGCTAGAAAAAAAAGAACTACATATTCTTGATCCTTGAAGAATTCTGGACAAGATGGCATCCTTATTGAAAAACAACAAAAAATGGCACAAAAAATTTTGTCGAGAAATTCCAGTGAAATTATACATAAAATTCTTTTGAATATTAGGATCGCAGAAAGTGCAGTAGGCTGAATCTCCAGCAATCTTGAATAGCTGCGTAGTTTCGTTACTAATAGACAGATGACACTAGTAATACCTTTTTTAAATTAATATTGATACAATATAAAATTGATTTTGAACTATTTGGCATATTTATGGATTTATGGATTAAATAAAGGAGTAACGATGTTGCGAGCTAAGTTCTCCGTTTGGAACAAATAAAACGATAAAAATTTATAGTCAAAATATAAAACTACCTTTTTATTCAAACATGTAGAATATACACAATCACAAACTCAATTTCTTAATGTATACAGCATTTTCAACAATACAAGCAAGAAAACAGGATAATAATATGCAATTATATAATTCTTTTTTTATAACTTTTAACAAAATAAACAAAAATGATAACAATAACAGCTTCAAGATGTTGTAAATTCATTCAATCGCGTTTGGAATCATCATCAACACCGGCATCCAATCTTCAATTTCTTGTACACTATAAACCAGAATGAATAACAGAATAGTAAAATATAAAATATTATAAATTGCCAAAATATAACATACGTTCTTGGAACTTAGGTCCAGTTGACACATCCATCTTCAGTAATTAAAACATAATCCTCAATACGGACTCCTCCACCAGTACCACGGAACCTCTCCAGTTGATCCCTATTGATAGACTTGGTCATCTCAGGATGAGTCAATGCTTCATCCAACAACTGGAAAATATTTATGTAAACATAAATTAAATTAATTATTTTTACAGGAGCCATAAAGATTCTCATTTAGGGCACCGTACGAAGGTAGCGGTAGAAGTGACTCCCATTCAAGGCACCGTACGAAGGTAGCGTTAGAAGTTACACCCACCCACTTTTGTACACCATGCAATAAATCAAACCTATATTAGTCGTAATGTTCAAATTTACGCAGGTTGCAGGTCAAATTCCTGCATGAAACAATTACTACGTAAAAGAGGGTAATGGGGGTCACTTAAGGGAGAACTCAAATATAATTTAAATTATAAACAAAATACTTGTTGCAATCGCTTATAAGCATTGTTTACTTAAATACCTATTATTTGAAATAATTTTCAGTCACTTTGACAATCAATTTTGGATATTATTAAAGTTTAAAAAAAAAACAGATTTGACTCCCATTACACCGACATGCGGGTAATGGTGGTCACCCTGGGGACAATCGGAATCAAACGAAATCTAGCAGGTATCGCGGACATAATATTCCGCAAAGTCCCACCCAGTGCATTTCACATGAGCTCATAGCCCACATGAAGTGCATCTGAACCACATTTAATTGTTTTTTTTTTAAATCGTTGCACATTAGACATCAGTTTTCCAAATCTTCATCCTCATCGCCCTGGCATAAGTCATCAGTGCCAATATTGGAATCATAAGTTTTGTTACTTTCCTGCAGTATCGTTTCTGCAAGAAGGCTATTGAAAAATAAGTCACATTGCTTTTTATAGGCCATTTAGAGCGGACTAAAGACAAAAACGTCCATTGGGAGTCGCATGACTCCCATTGCCCACAATTGCAATATTGTGAAAAAAAAAAACAAAAAAAAATATTTCTTCAAAACATTAATGTAATCTGAACTGCACATCACGATTTTGAATGTTTAACTAAGACTATATAAAAGTTTGATTCGAATATTGCAAGATATTCGACACTTATCTTCTAATTTGCGTGGACGTAAAATTAGATCAGCGGAGCTCAAAAATAAAATATTGGCGTATCTCAATGATACACGCACCGATTTGCATGATTTGTCGGGGGTGGCACTGGGGGGCCAGAACGGAGGTAGGAACACCGTTTACGCGTTACTCGTAACTATTGTTTCGTGGATATATGGGTGACTCCCATTACCCGCTGACTCCCATTACCCTACTACCACCCTACGTGATGGAGAATTTAATTCAGCATCTTTTGATGTCACGCTATAGCTATTGAGATGCTAAGATCGTGTGCAAACTCAAAAAAATACAAACATTGCAGGAAAAACGGTGAGTAAATCACCTTTTAATACAAATTTTCCCGGGTTGCAAGTCTAATTCCTGCATCTAACAAATACCACCCGACGGAGAATTTAATTCCGCATCTTTTGATGCCATGCTGAAGTTATTGCGACGCCAAAATCGAGTACAAACCCGAAAAAATACAAACATTGCACGAAAAACGGTGAGTAAATTATTTTTAACACAAATTTTCACGGGTTGCAGGTGGAATTCCTGCATCTAACAAATACCACCCGACGGAGAATTTAATTCCGCATCTTTTGATGCCACGCCGAAATTATTGACATCCTAAGATCGCGTGCAAACCCGAAAAAATACAAATATTGCACGAAAAACGGTGAGTAAATCACCTTTTAATACAAATTTTAGCGGGTTGCACGTGGAATTCCTGCATCTAACAAATACCACCCGACGAAGAATTTAATTCCGCATCTCTTGATGCCGCGCTGAAATTATTACGCCCCTAGATCGCGTGCAAACCCGAAAAATACAAACATTGCACGAAAACGGTGAGTAAACCACCTTTAAATGCAAATTTTTATGGGTTGCAGGTCGAATTCCCGCATCTAACAAATACCACCCGACGGAGAATTTAATTCCGCATCTTTTGATGCCACGCCGAAGCTATTGAAACGCTTAGATCGCGTGCAAACCCGAAAAAATACAAACATTGCAAAAAAACGGTGAGTAAATCCCTTTTTTATGCAAATTTTCGCGAGTGCAGGTCGAATTCGTGCATCAAACAAATACCACCCGACGGAGAAGTTAATTCCGCATCTTTTGATGCCGCGCCGAAATTATTGGGACGCCAAGATCGCGTGCAAACCCGAAAAAATACAAATATTGCACGAAAAAGAGTGAGTAAATCACTTTTTATGCAAATTTTCGCGAGTTGCAGGTCGAATTCGTGCATCAAACAAATACCACCCGACGGAGAAGTTAATTCCGCATCTTTTGATGCCGCGCCGAAATTATTGGGACGCCAAGATCGCGTGCAAACCCGAAAAAATACAAATATTGCACGAAAAAGAGTGAGTAAATCACCGTTTAATGCAAATTTTCGCGGGTTGTAGGTCGAATTCCTGCATTAAACAAATACCACCCGACGGAGAATTTAATTCCGCATCTTTTGATGCTGCGCTAAAGTTATTGGGACGCAAAAATCTCGTGCAAACCCGAAAAATTCAAACATTGCACGAAAAACGGTGAGTAAATCATCTTTTAATGCAAATTTTCGCGGGTTGCAGGTCGAATTCCTGCATTAAACAAATACCACCCGACGGAGAATTTAATTCCGCATCTTTTGATGCCACGCTGAAATTATTGAGACGCCAAGATCGAGTGCAAACACGAAAAAATACAAACATTTCATGTATTTTTAATGCAAATTTTCACCGGGTCCATACGGTGCCCTGAACACGAGTCACTTTTACCGCTAGCCTCGTAAGGTACCCTGAATCGAGTCACTTCTACCGCTAACAAATACAACCCGACGTAGAATTTAATTCTACAACTCTAGACACCCCGCTCGAGTTTGTGTGACGCCCAGCTCGCGTTCAGTGATTAAAAAACGTACATATTACCAGCACGTGGGGATAAGTACAAAACAAACACTTAGTTACACATACCACATACCAGTATTACACTCGTTGCAACACTCAGAACTATTGTTGAAGATGATAAAATCTGTGAAATAAATAACATTGTTAAGCGGAAATGCGGGAAGGGCTGTCAATATTTATTTTATTTTAAATCGGGAGTCGAACGACGAAGCGAATGAAATTCGAATTCTAACTTAGCTAGTAAGTCAGGCATCGGAACTCGAAGGCAATTGCTAAAACAGAGAAGAAAACGATAGTTAGAACATTGCGTGCAAGTAATGATAAAATAAAGCAGAGACAAAACATGCAATAAAACTTCTACGCGAAGTATAAAATGATATAAATGCGACACGAAAACGTGTTTATACACAAACGAATACTGATACTAAATGAAATAGAGAGGAACGGATTGTAGATTGGCAATCTGTATTGCATCTTCAACACGTACAACCCCTTACGCGCTTTTGAAAACTAAACAGTTTTGAGATCAGCGGGTACGCGACTATCTTATGTATTTGCAACACACGGTAGAACGCGATAAATCAAAACAACGTAAATACAAAGTAATGGAGGACGCAGAAATTAAAACGAAAAATATAATTAAATTATAAACTCACCAATGCAAAACTCATGGACTCCAAGGCACAGCAAATACTGTAAATAAAAAGAAAAAAAATCAAGTTAAAACAAAAATATTTCATACGGTTGAGCAATATTATAATCACACAGCAGAGAAAAACAAACAATCTGTGCTGTTTGGTTAAAAGTTACTTACACCAGCACGATGGCTCATCCTCATGATGAATATCAAATCAACATGGGGGCGATACACTTAACCGGCATGTATGGACTATATACGCGCAAACAGTAAATAACATTACTATAGTCGATTGATGATCAAATATAATGCGAATTTGGAAAGTAAATGTCCGGACAAACAATACGAGTCGTGTAAAATACATGTGGATCAAACAGAGACCGGCACGAAACTGGCTGCAAACTGTGCAAGCAACAACGCGACAGTATCTGATAAGAAAGCAATAGATGCGCAAAGCCGACGGCGCGTCGATGACACGCGTCCTTGTGCGCGACTTGCAATAGACACGGTACTTGTGATAAGAACTAAACTAAAATTTGCTGCATGCGACAGCGCGACGAGAATCTTACGCGTAGCATCTCGCACGGCAAATGCAATAAGAAAGTTGTTTATACACAAACGCTGATAATAGATTTGTCTTCGAAACGAATACAATTCTATTTTTTAGTTTATGCTAGTACCATCTCTGAATAGAATCTACGATGCGACAGTTCACAGCAAGACTCTGAACCTGCCGCATGAGCCCCACACACACGACCGTGTGCGCGAATTGCAATAGATGCGCAAAGCAGGCGACGCGACGATAGCACGCGACCTTGTGCACGCATTGCAATACACGCGGTACCATCTCGAAAATCTTGCCCATTTTTTAATATGAATTAAAATTTCACCTCTCAGATATCCGTTTTAACTATCCTATCTGATAGAGAATAGTCCGTAGATTAAGACGGTGCAATCAGATCCTATTTATCTCTTTTAGTTTACGAGATATTCGCGATTGAATAAAATGGGCAAAAATTGAAAAATGTCACTTTTTAGTACTTTTAGTGGCGTTTTCTGACCTTTTACTGTTGGAAATATAATTATTTTATATTTTAATCTGAAAGAGAATTTTCCAATCTTTCATAATCAGCAATTTGTTGGTTGCTATCTTTTTTAGTTTAAGAGATATCAATTATCAAAAATCGTCGAAAAAAAGTATCAAGCACCCCCCCTTGGCAATTTTTTCTTAAGACTTAAAATTTCATCTCTCAGATTTCCGTTTTAACTATCCTATCTGATAGAGAATAGTCCGTAGATTAAGACGCTGCGATCAGATCCTATTTATCTCTTTTAGTTTACGAGATATTCGCGATTGAATAAAATGGGCAAAAATTGAAAAATGTCACTTTTAGCACTTTTAGTCGCGTTTTTCGACCTTTTACTGTTGGAAATATAATTATTTTATATTTTTACCTGATAGAGAATTTTCCAATCTTTCATAATCAGCAATTTGTTGGTTGCTATCTCTTTTAGTTTAAGAGATATTAATTATCAAAAATCGTCGAAAAAAAGTATCAAGCACCCCCCCTTGGCAATTTTTTCTTAAGAATTAAAATTTCATCTCTCAGATTTCCGTTTTAACTATCCTATCTTATAGAGAATAGTCCGTAGATTAAGACGCTGCGATCAGATCCTATTTATCGCTTTTGGTTTACGAGATATTCGCGATTGAACAAAATGGGCAAAATTTGTAAAATGTCAATTTTTAGCACTTTTAGTCGCGTTTTTCAACCTTTTACTAATGGAAATATATTTATTTTATATTTTTACCTGATAGAGAATTTTCGAATCTTTCATAATCAGCAATTTGTTGGTTGCTATCTCTTTTCGTTTAAGAGATATTAATTATCAAAAATCGTCGAAAAAAAGTATCAAGCACCCCCCCTTGGCAATTTTTTCTTAAGAATGAAAATTTCATCTCTCAGATTTCCGTTTTAACTATCCTATCTGATAGAGAATAGTCCGTAGATTAAGACGCTGCGATCAGATCCTATTTATCTCTTTTAGTTTACGAGATATTCGCGATTGAATAAAATGGGCAAAATTGTAAAATGTCACTTTTAGCACTTTTAGTCGCGTTTTTCAACCTTTTACTAATGGAAATATATTTATTTTATATTTTTACCTGATAGAGAATTTTCCAATCTTTCATAATCAGCAATTTGTTGGTTGCTATCTCTTTTCGTTTAAGAGATATCAATTATCAAAAATCGTCGAAAAAAAGTATCAAGCACCCCCTTGGAAATTTTTTCTTAAGAATGAAAATTTCATCTCTCAGATTTCCTTTTTATCTATCCTATCTGATAGAGAATAGTCCGTAGATTAAGACACTGCGATCAGATCCTATTTATCTCTTTTAGTTTACGAGATATTCGCGATTGAATAAAATGGGCAAAATTTGTAAAATGTCACTTTTAGCACTTTTAGTCGCGTTTTTCAACCTTTTACTAATGGAAATATATTTATTTTATATTTTTACCTGATAGAGAATTTTCCAATCTTTCATAATCAGCAATTTGTTGGTTGCTATCTCTTTTCGTTTAAGAGATATTAATTATCAAAAATCGTCGAAAAAAAGTATCAAGCACCCCCCCTTGGCAATTTTTTCTTAAGAATGAAAATTTCATCTCTCAGATTTCCTTTTTAACTATCCTATCTGATAGAGAATAGTCCGTAGATTAAGACGCTGCGATCAGATCCTATTTATCTCTTTTAGTTTACGAGATATTCGCGATTGAATAAAATGGGCAAAAATTGAAAAATGTCACTTTTTAGCACTTTTAGTCGCGTTTTTCAACCTTTTACTATTGGAAATATAATTATTTTATATTTTTATCTGATAGAGAATTTTCCAATCTTTCATAATCAGCAATTTGTTGGTTGCTATCTCTTTTCGTTTAAGAGATATCAATTATCAAAAATCGTCGAAAAAAGTATCAAGCACCCCCCCTTGGAAATTTTTTCTTAAGAATGAAAATTTCATCTCTCAGATTTCCTTTTTATCTATCCTATCTGATAGAGAATAGTCCGTAGATTAAGACACTGCGATCAGATCCTATTTATCGCTTTTGGTTTACGAGATATTCGCGATTGAATAAAATGGGCAAAATTTGTAAAATGTCACTTTTAGCACTTTTAGTCGCGTTTTTCAACCTTTTACTAATGGAAATATATTTATTTTATATTTTTACCTGATAGAGAATTTTCCAATCTTTCATAATCAGCAATTTGTTGTTGGTTGCTATCTCTTTTCGTTTAAGAGATATCAATTATCAAAAATCGTCGAAAAAAGTATCAAGCACCCCCTTGGCAATTTTTTCTTAAGAATGAAAATTTCATCTCTCAGATTTCCTTTTTATCTATCCTATCTGATAGAGAATAGTCCGTAGATTAAGACGCTGCGATCAGATCCTATTTATCGCTTTTGGTTTACGAGATATTCGCGATTGAATAAAATGGGCAAAATTTGTAAAATGTCACTTTTAGCACTTTTAGTCGCGTTTTTCAACCTTTTACTAATGGAAATATATTTATTTTATATTTTTACCTGATAGAGAATTTTCCAATCTTTCATAATCAGCAATTTGTTGGTTGCTATCTCTTTTCGTTTAAGAGATATCAATTATCAAAAATCGTCGAAAAAGTATCAAGCACCCCTTGGCAATTTTTTCTTAAGAATTAAAATTTCATCTCTCAGATTTCTGTTTTAACTATCCTATCTTATAGAGAATAGTCCGTAGATTAAGACGCTGCGATCAGATCCTATTTATCGCTTTTGGTTTACGAGATATTCGCGATTGAACAAAATGGGCAAAATTTGTAAAATGTCAATTTTTAGCACTTTTAGTCGCGTTTTTCAACCTTTTACTAATGGAAATATATTTATTTTATATTTTTACCTGATAGAGAATTTTCGAATCTTTCATAATCAGCAATTTGTTGGTTGCTATCTCTTTTCGTTTAAGAGATATTAATTATCAAAAATCGTCGAAAAAAAGTATCAAGCACCCCCCCCTTGGCAATTTTTTCTTAAGAATGAAAATTTCATCTCTCAGATTTCTGTTTTAACTATCCTATCTTATAGAGAATAGTCCGTAGATTAAGACGCTGCGATCAGATCCTATTTATCTCTTTTAGTTTACGAAATATTCGCGATTGAATAAAATGGGCAAAATTTGCAAAATGTCACTTTTAGCACTTTTAGTCGCGTTTTTCAACCTTTTACTAATGGAAATATATTTATTTTATATTTTTACCTGATAGAGAATTTTCCAATCTTTCATAATCAGCAATACCTAGGTTGCTATCTCTTTTCGTTTAAGAGATATTAATTATCAAAAATCGTCGAAAAAAAGTATCAAGCACCCCCCCCTTGGCAATTTTTTCTTAAGAATGAAAATTTCATCTCTCAGATTTCTGTTTTAACTATCCTATCTTATAGAGAATAGTCCGTAGATTAAAACGCTGCGATCAGATCCTATTTATCTCTTTTAGTTTACGAAATATTCGCGATTGAATACGGTGCCCGAAACACGAGTCACTTCAATCGCCATCCAGCTATGGTACACCGAATGAGACTCAACAAAATCAACAAAAAAATCAACAAAACCCCTCTTGCGCCTTCAGAATCTGATGAAAAATTTGAACATTTCAAAAAGTCTCCCGCAATATGATCCGTTTTCTCTATTACCATTAAGTGAAATATACACGCAGGTGAAAGTCCTTAAAACATTTAACCGAATAATATAACTTAATTATGAACTTACAAATGCAGCGCTCATCGGATTGCAAGGGTACGGCAAATACTGTAATTTAAAACAAAAACATAATCGTTAAATCCTTTTATTTTACAATAATTATGGAGTTTCAATATGTAAGTGCCTCAACAATTTAATACATAAGTTAAAACAAAAACATTTCATACAATGGAAAACAAACTTTCTGTGCTGAGTGTCGCAATGGTCAGGTAAAAATTACTTACTTAAGCACGAATATGTTTCTGGTTGATCTAGCGACCGACCACGTCACAACCGACAAATTCTAAAACCGCAGCATTGTAATTTCAAATATAAACATCAAACGCACAATTAATCATTAACAAAACACTGCAGATGCATATAACAACTAAGTCAACTGATGACCGAATATAATGCAACCTTTGAAAATAGAAGTCCGATAAAAAGAAATACGCGAAATACGTCTGGATTCCGCAGAGACCAGTACGAAACTGGCTGCAATCCATCAATAGACCATGCCGAAACTGCACACGCAATAGGTGCGCTAAGCCGGCGGCGCATCGAAGGCACGCAACCTTGTGCACGAATTGCAAATATTGCAATACACACGGTACCTGTGATAAAAACGAAACTAAAATGTGCTGCATGTGACAGCGCGACGAGAATCTTACGCGTAGCATTTCGCACGGCGAATGCGATAAGAAAGTTGTTTATACACAAGCGCAGATAATAGATTTGTCTTCAAAACGAATACAATCCTATTTTATAATTTTTAGTTCATGCTAGTGCCATCTATAAATGGAATTTACGATGCGACAGTTCATAGCAAGACTCTGCACCTGCCGCATGAACCCCGCAGGTAAAAGCAATAGATGCGCAAAGTCGGTACGCGACATTGTGGGCGAATTGTAATAGATTCGCAAAGCAGGCGGCGCGACGATGACACGCGACTTTGTGCACGAATTGTAGGAGACGCGGTACCTGCGATATGAATTAAACTAAAATGTGCGACAGCGCGACGATAGACGAGAATATTACGCTTAGCATCTCGAAAATCGTGGAAATAAATTATCAAGCACCTCCCCTTGCCCATGTTTTCTTATGAATTAAAATTACATCTCTTTAATTTCCAAATAAGAACTGAAACGTTCAAACAATCGTAGCACAAGCGCAGCATGGAACTGGTTCAAAGCGACAACAAAGTTGTTTATGCACAAACCCCGATAAACGCGTCGAGTTGAAAAAGAAACATTCGGGTATGTAGGTGTAGTACAATTTATATAATGATAAAAAGAGACATGAAATCGGGTATGTTAAGCGGTTACGTGCTGGCATCACTATTTTCCACGATAAAACTTTAAAAAGTTGAAAAATAGTGAAATTTGAAGAGCAATTTTCAGGCACTTTCCGCATGATTTCTGGGGGCGACAATAGCGTATCCGTAAGATTAACTCTCTGACTATTAGAATTTGAAGAGAACGTGTAAATATTGCAAATAGTTCCCGAGATATAAGACAATTTCCACGATGACTCTTTAAAAAAAATTGAAAAATAGTGAAATTTGCAGTGCGATTTTCAGGCACATCCCGCATGATTTCTGGGGGCGGCAATAGAATATCCGTAAGATTAACTCTCTGGGTATCAGAATCAGAAGAGAACGTGCAAATTCCATGAACAGTTCCCGATATATGAGCCAAATTCCACGATAAAACATTAAAAAATAGTAATATTTGCAGAGCGATTTTAAGACACTTCCCACAGGATATCTGGAGGCAGCAATAGCGTATCGTTAAGATTGACTCTCCCGCTATCAGAATCAGAGGAGAACGTGCTAATTCCGCGAATAGTTCTCGAGATATGAGCCAAGTTCATTCTTATACCGCTACTCTTGTACGGGGCCCTGAATAATAGTCACTTCTGCCGCTACCTTTGTACGGTGCACTGAATACGAGTCACTTCTACCGATGCACTCATACGGTGCCCTGAATAATAGTGACTTCAACCGCTACCCTCGTACGGTGCCCTGAATAATAGTCACTTCTACCGCTACACTCGTACGGTGCCCTGAATAATAGTCACTTCTACCGCTCCATGGATTTGAACCATGCTAGGGTCGTTGCCTGAAGGTACCCTATTAAAAAAATATATATAACGAACACGTACAGAAGTATAATATTGCTATCTTGTATAACTAAACTAAATAAGTAGTATATGAAGTATCAAAGCCGCTAAACTTCTAACTAGGTTTAAGAAATGAATGCAAAAAATGGTTAATGATTTACAAAGCAATTCACAAATAATAACTGAAGAAACGCAGCGCGAGATATCCTAACCAAACAAGAATCACATCGACGACACAAGAACGACGCACGCTACGCAATACAAAAGGTCTTAAGTTCTAGTAAACTAAAAGGTAGAAGAGAACAGCATTTTAAAGAACAACTCTCTATGACAAAGAAACTAAGAATTTCTTAATTATTTCCGTGATATGCCGCAATTTCCATTGCAAAACATTGAAAATCTCCAAAATATTGTGGAAATTTGAGGTTGTTTTCTGGGAGTTCTAGTCTACTGAGAATTCACAAGTCACCGATTACAAAATTTGGAGAGTGATTTTAAGGCACTTGGCGCATGCTTTTTCGGGGCGACAATAACGTATCGTTTAAATTTACTCTCGCGCATTCAGAATCGGAAGAGAACATGCAAACATGAGTTAGGACTGTAAGATTAACACGTTGAGGAACAAAATTTGTATATCAGCCACTGTGATCCACTACAATGTTGAGATTGATGTTTCTTACCCAAGCGCGAACAGGATTCCTAGCGATGATAAACAAATTGGCGGCGATAAATATAAAAGTTAGTCAAAGGTGACGATAAACACTACACACAATCCAGCGTCGACACACACTACTAACAATTGTTAAGACCGCGACCGAATGTACGAAAGGTACACTGTATAAACGCAATCAAAAACCACACAGGACACCGTACACCTCGTTACAACTAAATACGCTCGTTTGTCGATAGAATATACCGCGATTTTGTTAAATTAAATAATGATGAATCCCACGAGCACGAAGATGTGCCTAAAAGGCAACCGATACGAAACTAACTGCGGTCCACCGACGAAGCAAACCTGTCGAGCATGCACGCGACGCCACGGCTTAAGATAAGATAAAGTAAGATGTTCCTATTGGTGGCGCGTCGATGGCACGCGACCTTCTTTTGTCCGACACAGTACGGCAATGTGCGCAAAAATAAGAATACAACATCATCGCACTGCAATACTGGGCGCTGCAATTCATTAGTTATAATTAATTTTCAAATTTGATTTTATTATCCTTTCTACATTTCAAACCATAATTCTTAGAATTTACACTGCAAACAAATGAAAAATTAAATTTATGAAGTAGAGTCCGTTTATAATGACATCGAAGGCAATTGACAAACACGTCATAAGCAGACGTCATACAAAGCGTTTTGTAAAATGATAAAGAATTTTATAATTACGTCATAATAACCGGTTGGTCAATATAGGCGGAGTCATAATACGAGTAAACGGATTCTACTATATAATGCGCTCATTTAGATGATCGATTTATTAATTAGGATGCATGTCAAAATACATTCGGTATACATATTTATTCTCAGATTCACTTCATTCTTAACAGCACTATCATTACTCATGCTAAGTAAGTGTACAATGATGTTTTAGTTATTTTACAGTCCATAAATCAATAAATATTTGGTATAAACGTAGTAAAACTGAATAACTTTTGATTTTTGTATTTCTGTACTACTATCAATATTCTACTTCAAATATACCATCGCAAGTTTTAGTTGTTCAATAAAAGCAGGTTTATATTGTTTTATTAATTACACCTGTTGTATATGAAAACAATTGATACTTATCATCGGAATAATCATGCTTTGCGGTCGAAAACGTTTAAATTGTTAAAATTTAAAGAACAATAACGAGATTTACATAAAAATGTATAATAAACTCTATTTGAATGTGCTAAAACTACGATTTCCATTTGCCACCATTTTCACCTCGCCCGTAATTCTAATTCTATATATCGTGCTGGAGATTAATGCGTGTCGGTGTGTTGCAAAAAAGTGTCACTATTTCAACAACGAGAACAATATTTATAATATAATCACATTTAAACCCGTCTTTGAACGCAGAAAACAAGCGAAAGGGAAGATGCGGTGTTTTTGTTTGCACATTAGAAAAATATAATTAAAGATATTAGACACCCTTGTTTCATCATCACAGACTATCCTATTAAAAATTACTACACAGTAAATGATCAACAACGAAAGAAATTGAACAAAGTAAGCAGAATAGGCGATGTTCAGAATGAATGAGGTTCAATTTCTTCACAAATTTCGACTTAATTTTGGACTTGTTGGTCGATATTGCATTAGATGACGGTCACGATTTGATTATTTAAATTTACAGTAAATTTGCCTTATGTTTACGATTAGAAATGTTCGAATAAATGCGCCTATAAAATTATATTTCTTTTTTGTTCACTTTATCTCGAACGCCATTACAATATGTCGAAAGTGTCGTCGATTCCAGTCTTGATTGTTTGGTTGCTTGTTGCTTCGTCATTTTGTATTCTTATCAATCGAATTGTTTACGCTTTCATCTTTGTTATAGAGAAACACCGAAACCACTAGTTGGTTATTATGTACTTTATCATCAATTTTGCTAGGATAAGTAAAGAGATTAGAACGTTAAGCGAGAAACAGCAAAATTTGAAACTGATTAGAATCTTAAAGAATAACACGTTTGTGTTCTAACACAGATAAATTACGATAGATGCTCGTACTCTTAACAGTTATAATCATTATCATTATATCATGCTATGCTCTGTTCAATAAAAGATTCTCTTTTACGTATTGTACCATCTGATCATCTTTACGTTAACGTTATAGTTTAGCTTTATCATCTATATAAATATTTGTTTTGATATATTGCTACAGAATAGGGTAGGTAGTTTAGTTAAGTTTAGTACATTTTTGAGATTTCATTGCAGATTTCAAGGAAACAACCCTGTCGTAAATTTAATTACAGCTCTAGTAGCTCTATTGGTAAATAGGCAGAAGCAAATTATAAGTGCCTGAGGCAAATTAAAACAATTAATTAAGTAAATACATAACTGAATGCTGCCCAGCACAGGTACTTATAATTTACTAATGCCGGTTAAATGTTAGTCTTAAATTACAGACTGTTAGTAGATAAAAACAACACGAATTTGTAATTTTTGTAATCAGTTTGCACTTTTTTTAAACTTCATTTTGTTTGTTTGTCATAAATCACTTTGGCCCTTGATATTTTCACAATTTTCACAAATATTTTGTTTGTGTTGTCGTGCTGTGGTGTTTTGTGTTTGTTTGTGAATTTCGATAAATTTAGATTAGCTATTCATTTGATACACGTCGTCCAAAATTTTGTACAAAAATATGCTTTAGTAGAAACGAATAGCGCTCACACTTTTCCCACATCGATTTTGTGTCAACAATCAATCAGCCGTAAATGTATCCATCCTCATAACTTCGTACTTAATTGCTAGTATCCTAACACCTACGTCTGCTAGTTGGGTAATAAGCTCAGATCAATTAATTTGCATTCTGTGCACATGAGATTCTGAAGGTTTAGCGATAGAGAGAAGCTGATCATAAAAACAATACAATAAATATTTGCATAAAATGCACAACAATAACACATGATCACATCATGAGTTCGCTGAATAAAAACGACGCAAAAAAATAATTAATCGTAAAAAATAAAATAAAAATCAGAGGAATGTGTCGAATTGTATATAACTAGCAATAAATTATCAATCACTAATGTCATCAAAGTCGTCAATCGTCAGGTGAAATTTCTATTGTCTAATACTGGTAGCTCTAGTATAGCGCGTACTAACTAAGACCTGATTTGTTAAATGGCAATCAATCTGGCGAAATAAAATAAAACATTCACGACTCGTTAAAAGTCTAAAGCAAGGAAGGAATCAATACTATTTTGTTTGATTTTGAGTGGTCTAAACTTTAAAAAAATATCAAAAACAAGTTGAATCAACTCTAGTCATCATTTGAGGTTAAAAACACGGGTTGACCACTCAAAATGGTTTCCTGCTGTCTCATTCTATCAACTGTCATACTGAGTCCAATAAGTACGCATTACTTATCGTTAGCTTTATCCTTAACCCTATCAAGCGTTCATTTTGCACCATATTATTCCAATTTTTCGTCCGTCTCATTTTGTGTCATTATTTTTTACTCTCTGCGAGTCCGTTTAGGTCTGACGTTATGTCCGTCGGTCTCCCTACCCTTCTTACCAACCTGCACTTGACTCTGCGCTGTCAAATGTAGCGATATTGCGTGTGTGTTCAGTTTCTCAGCCAGGAGCAGATCTTTGAGTTCCTTCATCTTCTGACTGTGTAGAATGATTGTCGGACGCGCGGTTTCGCATTCGATCAGATCGTCTTGTGCGGTCAAATCCTCACGCTGAGGTTTAATTTCAGGCGTAATTTCGGTCTGAGATGTTCCAGCCCCGTTAGATTTCTCCTTTTCTTCTACTGTAGATGCGACGAATGGGTTTCCACCTCCTTGCAGGAGATATTCAGGATTGAGAATCTTTTCGGAGCAACCTGCAGTCAAAGCTTCAATGCTAGGATGCAAGTTTTCCGAAGAATCTTTGTTTTCATCCTTTGGAGGGTCTGCTGATGGTTCTTGTGCTGAATAATTATTGTTATTCGTGCAATTTTCATTGTTGGAATTTCCATTTGTATTGTTTTTCTCTTCTTTGTGTTCCATATCAGAGGAATCTTCACAGACGATATTTACCTGCGCACGAACTCCCGCGTCAAATTTAGATATGGTGTTAACCAAAGGTTTTGCCCAACCAATGTGAAGTACAGGAGTTGCGGATCCTTCCTCCCACTGGCAAATGCCATCGTAAAACCGCAGTAAATTAGCAAAACATCGCGGTTGTTTTAGGATGGTGTTTGCACTAAACCCGGAACTCTCCACCTTCATAATGTGAGGTATTAACTCGTTGGCGATCTCGAGGAATTCTTTGTAGATCTCTTCATCGTCACGAGAATAATTATACCTAGAAATATAATTAATAGTTGTGTAAATTTTGGAATTTATTTAGGTTTTGATGAATACTTACATTCTAATCACATCACTGGCATTTGCCCAACTCTCAAACGCCTCTTTGTACATTTTGTTGCGATAGAAATAGCCACCCTGATAGGTGTAGGGATAGACATGCTGGTTATTGTAGTATGTTCTTGCAGCCAATATTGCCTCTTGAAACAGGGCATTGCACAAAACCCTACAAAATAAGTATAATTATTGTTTTTTTATACAAAAACAAATTTAGTAATAGTGATAATTCTAAAAAACAATTTCGTACCTTCCTGTAGTGGGTGATATCTCCTCCAAGTCACCCAGGTTACCAATAGCCATAGGATATTTACTTAGATGCCCCAAGTCATAAAGCAACCACAAGAGTTCTTGTTGCAGCAATGCCACCTCAAATGCATCATGTGTGGCATTCAGAGAAGGGTTTATTGCACTGACCAAAGCAGCCACTTCCATAGACCTGGTGCAAATCACAGGTTTATTGTTGACATACAACCAAGACCTGGCCGAAACTCCTTTTCCGATCTCCTGCCCGCGTTTATCTTCATTTCCCTTGCCATGCCATGTGACCTCAGCTGTTTCAGTCCCCTTCTCCCCAAACACCACCCAGGCGTGATCTTCGCTCAGCGCTAAATGTACATCATTGTACCCCAACGCCTGACATCCTGCAACCACTGCAAACGCAACACCAAAACAGTCCAACTTGTTGCCTGTGAGGTAGCTGTAGAGACTCTGTAGATGCGCGCGATCTTTGTAGTAACTGCGCGTCAGCGAATTCCAGATCACATCCGAAACCTTCTTCACCAGCTCGCGGGTTGCATATTTTCGCGCGCCGTTGTTATTGCCCTGCTCGGGTCCTGCAGTGCGCACCACCGCATGGAACTTGTCATACAGTTCCTGAATATCAGCATGTTCCAGTACCGGCAGGTGTGCTTGTTGTTCGGAGGGATCAGCGCCGGCAGAATGTGTGCGGCACGTGAGTGAATTCTCCACGGCGCCCGCGACGATTGAGAGCAGCGCCAGGTCGGGCTCGCCGCTGCCGTGCTCCAACTGCCGCCGGAAGAGTTCGATGACTGCGCTAACACTACGCACCGGGAACGACGTCTTGTCCAGTTGCTTGGGGCCCGCCATTGTTTACGCGCGCGGTCGATGCGTGTTTCACATTGTTTTTCCTGAGATGCACACCGAGCGAGTGTCACGGCAGCGTGCGCGATTTGTGGCGCCTTGAACTGCGTAGCGCAAGCGAGCGAAGAACAAACGGGTGGCGATGGCGCTGCGAAACGGCCGCGCAAGTTTTCGAGTGTGGCCACGCGCAGCAGCACAAACCACAACCGCAGCACGAAACTTGTTCGCGTGATGAATAGAGGTCGTTCTCGACCGCTGGACACAAGTTGAACTTCAAAGGCCACAAAGGAATGCCTTTGTCCACGCTCAGGATAAGCACCTGCCTCTGTCGGCGACTAAACACTAACTGAAATCGTTTGCTGCTTTCCTGCTTACTGCGTACGCGTACAAACCTGCAACTGCGCGAATTCGTCATTGTAGATTTCGCCATGTCACACAACCCCTAACAACTTATGACTCACTTCCGTTTACCCATTATTTTCATTTCCTATTTATCATCAAGTAATTTATTTCTTATTCTAGGCAATTGTAAAACCACATACACACTTAACATAACTCTAAAATCTACAAATCACACATTAATTGCTATAATTAGGCGTGGGCTTCGTTACGCTGCCCCAAAACAGAATCAGCCTTGTCTCATGATTCCTGATGAAGAAAATAAAGGGTTGATCTATTTTAAACGATTGAAAATCTCCGGTTCGCGTCAGACTGACCGAGGTGACTGCAGCAGCCTCAGTTCCCGACTCTGTAATCTCCATAAAAACTTTGTGTAACACTTGATTTGCATACAAGCCTGGATTGTCATTAGCAGTTAGATGTTGTCTAACCGTATCGATAGTCTCATACGGTGTATTTCGACTAATACGCCGTCCTACTTTATCTCCAAACTTCTTGTAAATAACTTCCTTTTGTGTGGCTTCGTCAATCTCCTGACATTTTGTAATATTACTCGTAGGGTCAAAGATTTCTGTACAGTTAATTGGAACCCCTGTTCGCGAAAAGATTAAAACTTGATTATTGGCGTTGCTATTGCTGGTTTCGGCCTCGATTGGATTCAGCGCAGCTGAAGGAACAAATTGATCGTTTTGGAAATTTTGAGTACTTTGAAAAGCTGATCCTTGATTCGGATGTTGTCTACCTATTGGCGGGCTTTCACTGTTTACTGGATTACTCGAAGCACCAAATGCATTTTGACCCGGTGACAACAACGCTAAATTTGCTTCCCTCGCATTAAAAAGACTACTCGCACCAAATTCTATAAGCGCATCGCTTAAATCCATTTCACTTTCAAGGGTCATTTTAGGAAACAATATCATTGACTGAGTGTATCTTGTACTATCCGCTAATTTCTCCAAATCTTCAGGGGTTAAACGGTTTTGCAGTTCTTGCAACTTTTGTTTGTTGGAATGTTTTGGCATAATCACATATAAAGTCGATTTGTTCTCTTTGTAGGGAAAACCCATGATTTCACAGTCCAATACTCTATCTCTATAGTAGGGGAATAGACCTCCATTAGCCATGAAGTCAACCATAACATTTGACTCCTGATCGCGTCCGTTTACATAAAATTGTTTTCTTCTCGTTGCTCCCTGCGAGAAAGGCTTCTCCCAAGATGCTTTAAAATACAACGCGCTTACAATGATCGCTTTGGTGTAAGCAGGCGGATCTTTATTAAATATTTCTTTAATTTTACTATTGGTCCTGTCATTAACCCAAGCGTTGATGGCATCCCGTGCTTTTACTCCTTTTGTAAAGTCAACATTCAAAATCTCACTTCGATATATCTGTTCACTGGCTTGTTTAAACACGCTGCGAATCGGGTAATCATCCTGGACAAAAATCGCCGAAGCTAATTTAACTTCTTCATCGGTTTTTATTGTTGTACTTCGGTCTAGTTTGTCTAAAATCCGTCCGATTTGCATGTGCACACGTTCGCTGTTTGCTTGTATATCCACGCCTGATGCGAGGCCTAGAATGTTGGAGATTTCATCGAAGGTCTTTCCGCTGGATGCCAGCAACACCAAGGCTAATGCACCTACAAAAATTAAACAAAAATAACACAATTAGCACTTGAAAGTTTGGACTTGAAAGTTTGGAATTGAAATTTTTGTTGTGTAATATTTAAATACCTCCTATATTTACAGGCGCGAATACAACATTAGGCTCTTTTGATTTTTTAGCCATGTATTTCTGTAGTGAGAGGGTAAATTTAAGAACTCCTCGGGAGATGATAGCGTCCACGGTGGGTTCATATTCGTTGGTATTTCGACTTTGTTCTAAAAGTGCCGTAGCGTTGTTTTGTGAGTCATAATCAGGAAAGTAGATTTGATTGGCTGCAATGCACTCCAACAGAATGGACAGCAATATAGATATTATCACTTTTTGCCGCATCTGTAAATAAAAAACGCAAAATATAAATAATTACATAAAAAATAAATATTTGTTTTATAAATATTAATTTTAACCTTGTAGTTTGATTAGAAATCAGTTGATGACAAATTTCGTGAACTTGACTTCTCATAATATTGATAAATTTAGCAATTTCTTATCTTTAATGTTAAAACGCGCAATTATTATTAACAAATAACATAAAACAACAAAAAATCTTACTAAACTGTAATTTTAATAATTTTTTATTTAATTTGTCTGAAATACTATTTTAAACAATTCTTCATTTAACAAAAGTAAATATTACCTTGTACTAAGTAATTTTGTAGTTACTAAGCTGAGCACGCGCGATTCCTTCGAAATTTTGTCACAAAGAAACCCGCACACACTGCTAACTACTTGATTACACTTTTTTTGTGGAGAGTTTTTTTCGTTGTTGTTTGCACTTCTGTTGTTCTTTCCAGCTGCCGGCGAAGCGCCGATTCCGCGGCGATTGATGATGAGCTGCGGATGCGTTCGCTGGAGCGCCGCGCGAACGGCAGCGAGCGGGAATTAAATGAGCCGTCGATATATCCGCGCGTGTAATTTGAATTGAAATATGCGGCGAAAACAACATGTACACGCGAACGGCGCACGCATTGGCTATATCGGCTTGTGCCATGTGCATTATAACTAGTTGACCTTCCCCACCAAAAATACCATCGACGCGACAACCGACATCTACCAATTGAAAATGACTGGATTACTTAGTGTTTAAACAAAGTTTCCAACTGAAATATTATGTAATTCAACGGAAAATACGCATAAAAAACAATAAATAATATTTTTATTATGTTTTAGCAATAAAATTAATAAAATTTATGTGTTTTTATGTAATTTAAGAATTTTATTTGATTTTTTCCGTTTTGAAACACTTTGTGCGCGCGGAATTCACGGTTAGTTGTGTTTACATTCGTAATTAATTTGTGGCAACGGGAATCCACACCAAAGCACGTACCGAACGCAGCAATAAATGCATTTTGTTCCTTTGATGCATCTGCAAAATTGCATTCCGTGCTTGATTAAAATTGATGCGCATGCGTACGAAATATTTCCGTTTTAGATCAATCAAAACGCCATTAATTCCGCTGCTGGATTCCGCTCAGGCTATAATTTGCGAATAATAAATAATTTACAATGTATCATGTATAATTTATCATCGGCGATGAATTAGGACGATTAATTTATTGCTGCGCCGGTTCTTTGCGAAATGACTAAATCGCGCTTCGCGTGCGCCGCGGTGAATATTCATCGTGAAGGATTTCGTGTCGGATGTAGGTCATTGTTAATAATTAGGATCAATAGGAGATCATTAGAAATCGAGGTGTATGCTGTTTGTCGCCGGTCGTGTCAGTGTCCACTGATTTAATCAAATAATGCATGAACGCAGTGAATTTTAAACATGCGATGAGTTCAATATTTTTATTGCACACAAAAATAAAACAATGTAATTTTTATGATTTGGAAATTTTGTTTTTTTGTGTGGTAAATTCGTCTCTGAACTTTCCGGCATGTTAAACTTTCTTCTTGTTAATTTTCATCCATATCTCGAGATCGATTTCAAGAGTAGTCGCGTCGAGATGCCATCGACGACATCGACGACATGTACGACACTCTCGAACGTCTTCGGAATTCTTACGATACTTTACATTCATTTACATAACCAGTATTAACGCCTCGTAAAAATAAAGTGCGAATTTAAGCGCTGTGTTACCGAAGTTCGGTTTAATTTTAACTTTATCTGCTGTGGTTTTTACTCCTCGTTTTATTTTTCTCTCGTAGTGTGTAATTATCACTTGTTACTTACCTAACTAACCACTCTCTGAAGTAGCCTGTAATTATTATCGACTTAAGCAGCTTTTTTCCACTTTTTTATTCCTGTTTTGTATTAATTGCTATTTGTTTAAATTTAATTACACATAAATCTGTAAACAAACGGGTTATAAAAGTGGTGATTTCGTTGTTTTATGAAGTGATAAATTTAACTCTGATTATATAGAAAAGGTAATAAAATATTTTATGGCCTAATCAGTTGGAAAACTAACAAGACAAGTAGTTTTTTATTGTTAGTGGAAATGGGTGAATCATGATGTTTTCGGTGTGTCATTGTTTGTGGTGACACTCGGAGTGATTACGTATCGTTGGGCTCATCGTACAATACCTTCATAATCATTTTGGCAAACAGTAATTTCATTCACTTTATAACAGGTATTACGCAGTTTAATCACGCTAACCATTTTGGCTATTTGTTGTTATTCTTGTGTTGTCGCGTTCGTAGTTGGGAACTTTTTTAGGCAGGTGCAAATTAGTCATAGGAAATTAAATAAATGTGTTTAGAGTTTGTAGAGTACCTGCAATCGACCGTAGATTTACATAAATTTGCAATTTAGTATACTGGAATTACCAAGTTAATCATTGTTATTTGTTATTGCGTTTATTTCTTTCATTGAATTCATTCAAATTATGTCATATTCTAATAAAGAAAAACATTGTTGTTCAAAGAAATGTTAAAAATGTAAGCAAAATAATGCTTTCCTAGTTTTCTTTTTATTTTTATCCTCATTGTTGTTTATTTTCTATTCTATTGAGTCAATTGTCATTATTGATTGTTGATACTTTGATATTCACTAGCATATTTTACTAGAATTGAGGAAATGTCTAGTTTCCACAACAAATATTTATTCGAAAATAAAAGAAAATTGCGATCCGAGCGCCTCTATAGCAAAACTTTGAAAGCGCAGTTAGTCGAGTTACACACCAAAGTTGTACTCTGATTCCTGCTGGCCTGCTGACGTTTGTGTACATACGCACAAATGTCACGATAGTTACAATCTGTGGTTACAATGTGCTGTCATCATCAGCAACTGATTTTAATATTTGCTGTATAATGAACTTTTAATTTAATTCACACATACGTTTCCAAGGAGCTGAAATAAATTAATTGCTTTCCAATATGGATTCAAGTTCCGACAGCGAAGAATTTTACGAGTGCGACGACGATTTGGATGAAGACGTGTCCAAAACAACTGCAAATGAGCCAAAGAAAGAGATATTATCTGAGCAGCATGTTCCAGCTGCTGCACCAAATATCAAAGCACAAAACACAGACAACAATGAGACTAATACAAAGTCTATAACTAGGAAAGAATCTGTAGAAAACAACCAGAATATATCAGAGAAGTGTAACAATAATCAAGAAAAGAAGAATAAATCAGAAACAACTGAAGATGTAAGCACAACAATCAAAAATAATAATACAACCACAATAGATGCAACAAAGTCAGTAAAACAAGAGCAAGAAAATGCCAAAATAATGTCAGCTAGCATAGAACCTAAAATTGAAAATTTGAATGAAAATAAGCCCAGTAATCTAGTTAAAAATGATCAATTACCTATCAAATCATCAAAAGCTGCTGAAAAGAATTCAAATGTTAAAGAAACAGAAAACATAGTTACAAAACCTGAAAAATTAGAGGATAAAACTCAAGTTGTAGAAGATATGTGGGAAGATAATGGTTGGGGAGACATTGATCAAAGTCTTCCAGTTAAAGAAACATATCCTAAAGCTTCAGATGATAATCTTGCTGCAGAAGTTAAAATATCAGATATACCACAAAATAAATCAGCAATAATCAAAGAAATAGTTCAAGAAACAACTAAAAAAAATGAAGATCCAGAAGAAAACCTCTGGGATGATGAAGATGATTGGGGAAAACTTGAACCAGAATCCAAATCAAAGGAACAAGCTGCTGAGGAAGACTTATGGGGAGATGATGATGGCTGGGGAGTGAACACACCTCAAGAAACACCAGAAAAATGTGTCCAACAAGTCCCACAATCAACTTCTGTTAATAAACAGAGTGATGAAGCTGATTTATGGGCAGAAGGAGACAATTGGGGTATTGATGATGATGCCAAAAGCAAAAGTACTACATCAGATGCAAAATCAGCTCTTGATGCATTAACTAACAAAGATGAATCATCCTGGAGTGGCTGGTCCAACTGGGGCATCACTTCTGTTCTCTCCACAGCAGCAAACATCACAACTTCGGTCTCCCAAGGATTAACAACAGTCCTAGAAAATGGTATAGGTGTCCCAGATCCAGCAGAATTAGCAAGGATACACAAAGCAGAGGCGGAATCAAGACGCCAGGCAGGTGAAGATGAACCAATTGTAGAAGAATCTTCTGAAGATAATTTTGTACCATTTGGTTTGGGCAATTTTGTTCCTGGAGTTTCAAAAATCACGAAACTTGTCGAAACTACAGGCACAAAAGTTATTACTCGAGGTTTAGGCACATTAGAAACTATAGGAAAGAAAACTTATGAAGTTTTGCAAGAAAACGATCCACAACTTAGAAAGAAACGCGCTTTGTTGAAATATTTAGAAGGGGAAAAACCAGTCTTGTCATCAATCCTCAGAGAAGCTAAAGAACGCGCTGAAACAGAGAATATAGACAGAGAAAAGCGACATTTCGCAAAGAAAGCGAATTATGAGACGATGTTTGATGATTACACTGGATTAGTTCACTTAGAAGCGTTGGAAATGTTATCGAAACAATGTGAATTCAAACTAGAATCGATTTTGAGTCAATCTAGAGATGTAAATGATGTTCAAGAGACAATGGAACAGATTAAAGATCTATGTGAGCTAAATACGGATGAGGATGATGATGAAGACAATAATTTTGATGACTTAAAATCAAAAATGACCACTGCAATTGATGAGATTAATATTGGGATTACCTGTGAAAAGGTTGTAGAAACATACGAAGAGGTAGCGGAGTGGATTGAATCAACGAATAGTAATAATCCAGATGAGATACATTCCAACGCGATTGAGAATCTCGCTAAATTAACAGCAATGGCCGTTGAGCAGTATCACAAGGCTGCTGAGTTGCTGCTAGTCAAAGAACATCGAAGTACTGCCGATGAAGCCGATAGTCTTGTGCAGTAAGTATTAAATTCGCGATTTCCAGTTTAAAAAATAGTGTATTATCAATAATTTTGTAAAAATACGTCCATTTCAGATTAACCACTGCAATAACTGCTCTTATCAGCTTGTTATCGACAAAGTATACCGAAAAATTGAAACAACTCACGGCCCAGGCGACCAACGACGAGATTAAGACATTAGTATCAAACATATACCTTGAAGTATGTTGAAAATACCAATTTAAACAGTTTCTTGTTAATGTTTTGTTGATTTTACAGGCTGCCAACAGCTCTAGGTACGTTGAAGACGCATTTGGTCTGTTGATCCCTGTCATCCAAGTAGGCGCTGTGTAGTGAGAACAATCTGTAAATAAAAATCGATTCGCGTTTGTCATTCATCCGTAAACATCGTTGTTATTGCTACAAACAAAACACTTCCTTCAAAAATCGACATAAACGCATAATTCTACATAATATAAATAATTCCCGCTGAAATACCGGCAATAATTCTGTAATAATGGAGTGCAAGTTGCCCATGGGTGGCTCGGTGACCGAGGAGGCAGCGAGAGTGTGCGATATGCAGTGCAAGATTGCGCCCAAAGGAGATGCATCATCCGCAGGAGCCGCATGCTGCATGAAACCCAAAGAAGCGGACGTGTGTTTCGCCAAACCCAAGGATCCACCGCCACAGAACAGCGGCGATGGACAATAATCGAGTAATTTTGTAATTTCCAATACGAATTCTTTAGTCTTTCCTATGCTAATCAATCTTTCATGCGTAATTTGTAAAGTATAGTTGCGAACTAATAAAATTATTGTGAATAATTGATATGTGACATTTGTTACCTTATTTGTGTTGTGTTAATCCTAATTATGTATTGGGAAGCCAATGTCACTGCTTTCCACGTTTGTTACCAGTTGGAGGCTTCTGCAGTTGGAAACCAGAGGTACCAAAACCGCTAGTGCCAAATGAAGGTGATCCAAAGAAAGATGTTCCAGTGCCACCAAAACCGGTACCCGTTCCAAAACCTAAACGAAGATTAAAACAACAATCATTCAAACATTTCATTCATAAACTCACACAAACAATAAAAAAACATTTTGCGTAATTTTTATTTTGTTTTTGATTCATTTGAAGTTACCTGATGTTCCTAACGTATTCCCAAATCCACTTGTAGTTTGATACGCAGGTGGTTGACTCTGTTGCGCAGCTTGCACCACGCTCGGATGCGTGACATTACCAAAAGGTGTCGGGCCGGATGACAACATCGGCGGTTGTTTCAAAGTGAAGTTTTTAATTTGATTTATAGTGTTTTCCGTTTCTTTATGTGTACTTTCAAACACATTCGTAGAATCATTGAGCATGTATTTTCTAAAGTTAAGATACTGCTCCTTTTGTGATTCTACTTGTGTATGCAAGGCTTGGAGATGACCAGCGAGAGCTACAAATATTTCATGGATGCGTCTCATGCCCAAAACAAGGTCTTGATGAGTGAGCGGAGCTGATTTTCCATTGTCTTTGATGTATTTATCGGTGCTTTCAATTTGCAATCGCATGTTTTGCATCTCGCGTTCAAATTGATTGGATAAATCTACGAAAAAGTGAAGAGGCGCTGTGTTTTCGTACTGGAGGCCAATTGGGGTGTCGTAGGTACGTTGTGCCATTTCAACCTGTTGGAGACCTTTCGCTGTGTCATACTTCAATTTTTCCGCAACATTTCGATTAACCTGCAGCTGTTTCTCTACTTCATTTAGCATATTATTCAAACCGTCAATATCACTCTCAACTTTTCTGAATTCTTTCACAGAACACCTCGCAACATCCGAGCTGTAACTCTTCTGTTGTTTAACGAAATTCTTAAAGCTATCAACAGTCTGTTGAATCTCATTTGGCAACAAATGTTCCTTAGGCGCCTGCTCTGTCTTTGCAGCAGTTGCTGTTGAAGAAGGAGTTGAAGATGCTACTCCACCAAGCCCAACAGGAGCGGGTGTAACAGCTGCAGTAGCTGGAGCTAATGCTGTAGTTGCTGTTGAAGCAGGCGTACCAAAACCACCTAAACTAAACCCAGTCAAGCCTGTACTTGCTGTAGTGGTTGTACCAAAATTTAAACCAGTTGCTGCTGTGGATGTTGCAGCCGGAAGACCAAAACTTAACCCGAGTGTAGGTGCAGCTGTGGATGTTGTTCCTCCGAGAGAAAAACCAGTTGTATTTGTTGATGCAGCGGGAGTGCCAAAAGAAAGGCCAAAACCTGAAGGTGCGGCGCTTGATGCGACTGGTAGTGCTGTAGATGCCGCAGGTGTACCGAAAGATAGACCTAAACTTGGTGCGGCTGCAGCGGGTTGACTGGTCGCTGTTGCTGCTGGCGTGCCAAAAGATGTACCAAATGATGTTCCTGTGTGGGAAATCATGCAGAAATCGTTCATATTGAGCAAAAGACACAAAAACAGCATAAAATCTTACTGCTATTTCGTTTCTGGGCAATAAATCTCGCTCATTTTAAGCAAAAATGTAATTATTATCATAATAAAATAAATGAAAGTAATAAGTGTTGCAATTTTAGATAAATAATGTAAACATGCATAAATGTCCTTAAAAATTTACCAAATGTTGATCCTGTTGCTGCCCCTGCAGAAGTCCCTGTTAATCCTCCTAATGAACCAAAACCAGGAGTAGTTGAAGTATTTGCACCAAACCCTGTTCCAAGCCCTGTGCCAAGTGTAGGAGTTGCTGAAGCACCAAAAGCTGGCTGAGTGGGAGCTGCTGCACTTGGTGCATTAAAGGAAAATCCAGTTGCTGCTGGTTGTTGGGCTGGAGCAGCTGCAGGGGCACCAAATCCAGCAACTGGCTGTTGCGCTGGAGCACCAAATAATGATGTATTTGCTGCTGGAGCTGTAGTTCCAAAAGAAAAGCCTAAATTTGCAAGACAATAAAATATTAAATTAAAGACTTTAAAACTAATTATTAATGTTACCTGTTGATGGTTGTGCAGGCGCACCAAACGCTGACGGTTGCTGTGGAGCACCAAAACTACTAGTTTGACCAAATCCAGAGCTTAAAAGTATGAAGAACAAGACAAATAAATAACTCTAGTTTGTTTATTTGACGTAATTACTTACCCGAACGACATTGTTGTTGATTATATAAATAATACTACACTAGAATTTTATTGGTTGATTGTTTATCAGACAATTTTGTTTTATTAACTTGTGCGTTGTTGTGCACAATATTAGGAATTAAGAAACACAACCACAAAACCCAAATCAACAAAAACTGAGGTTATACGAAGTTTGAAAAGAGATTTTAGTGAATTCTGGTGACTTTTGTAAGCGTAACCAACGCAAATATAAATCTTTAAATAATCTTTAATAAGTTTGCAATGTGTTATAACTAAAACATAGTTTATTATTATTAATAGTATATTTTAAAGTATACTATGTTATACTTAATTACAGAAAGATTCAAACATATTTTTCAACTAATGCCGTAGTTCCCAGAAGTTACTAAATTATACGTTGATTTGGCGCGTAAAAAGAGTAACATCTCAGCACTTCAATAGTTACTTCAAAGTTAAACACAAGAAAAGAAAACCCTTCTGTGGCAATATTTCCAGCAATACTTACATGTAAGTTAATATGTATTTATTTACTATTATATTCAATAACATACACATCACTTTCAACAATACTTTATTCGATAATTTGTCGTGCAACCAAAAGAGCGCCTTTTGCCCGTTGTAAAACGTATACCAATATTATCTTTATTTAACCAATACACGGATGTAATTAACATTAATGACATATATACATTAAAATAATTACAAAAGCTTGCAATACCTGAACCACAGGAGCACTTTTATGCTCTTTACATTTACAAAGAATAAGCGATTGCCAAAACGGCGAAGAGCACCGCATAGAAATAAAACGAAAGACGATCAACGGCAGCCGCCAACAGGACCCAATCCTGCTGGCTGGCCTGGCTGGAATTCGTGTCAATAATACGACGGTCATCGTCCATCATCTGATGGTCACGATCGTCCAAATCGCTATTTCCCTGATGGTCTCTCAATTCCTCTGCAGTCACGCGATGAGTATTGATGTTTGTTTGCGCAATATAATGACCAAGACATAAACTCTTTCCCAACCAACCAATGAGCGATTGTTTGAGTTTCCACGGCAAGTGGAGGGTGTGCGGAGTACGTGCCAACCAAATCACCGCAACTGAACTTATCATCGAGAAACATACAACGTATAACGAAGTACTATAGAACAACACTAAAAATATTTTTAAAAAAATTAGGTTATTTTAAAGAATGGAATAAATTTATGGTTATATTACCAATTAAAGGAGTGTTACTACCCATCGCTGGTAATTTCTGGGTAAAGTACAACAGGAACATGCAAATGATAATTGCTGTGCATCCTTGAAGAATAATCTTCTCACCAGCTTGAGGCGGCAACCAAAATGTCATCAATGTCAAAAATATGACAGCTGTCAAAGAATCAATAGTTTACTGCACATAACCTTAAGATAAGTATAAAAAGAAACATACCGAAAGCAGGGGTGATAACAACAGCATTATAACTTGGTGAAATTCTGTTCACAGTTATATTAATCGTAATATCTGGATATGGTTCAAGACAACAGGAATAATACATCAAATTACGTTCGATTGACGAACCAGTCATCTTCCATTCATTACTATCAATCAAATATGTTGACTACAACACCAAATATGATCATATAAAATCAAAACTTTAAAAAAATAGCAGATAGCATGATACAAACCTCAAGTTCTTCAGTTTTGTTATCATACATAATCAAATTAATCTGTTCACCATTATATGTCCATGAACCAAACTTCAAGGAACAAGTCTGTTGATCAAAAGGCCAATAACGCAGATTAATATTACAAAGAACGGTGAATTGCGCTGGTGGCACCCATAAAACCTCTCCGTTGTTATAAACAATCGTATGGGTGTTGCCATAGCTATTAATAGCCTGAGCTGTTGCACTATATAAACAAAATAATAATAAAAACAAATAAAAATTTAAAATTCTAATACAAATACCTGTTGTAGATAAAAATATCCGGTTGCCAAATTTCATGATCGGCAAGATGGACGGTGGTGATGTTTCCATATTCCGCAGTGTTCCAGACTAGTTTCTCGTCTATCCATTGCTACAAATAATATGATGAAGAAAAGATATTAAGTATTTTTGCAGCACTCACTAATTTCACATATCCGTGAACTGTAAATGAAGATTTCATCTCGATGACGTCAATGTGTCGTAGCGTTATTCCGAATTTGACGGTTGTGGCGTTGTAATGTTGCGCAGGTCGCGCGAATTTATCATAATTAAGGAGGAGGTCCTGCCGAAGGCGATCTGTGTGGGTCGCATTCCAAATTGGCTTGGGTCCTAGTGCTATGAATCAATTTATTTATAGTTTAAAGTGTAGTTATTTAAGAGGTAACACAAACAGGATAATAGTTATAAGTGATATTATACGAATGCAAATATAGTGATAATGATAGTATTATTTCAAGGTTTTTAGTTGAATATAGATTATTTTTCATGGTTATGCACTTATATAGTGATGTTAGTTATCTGAGTTTTAGTAGAAGTAGTGAATAACAAGCCTCCGTGGCGCAATGGGCAGCGCGTTCGGCTGTTAACCGAAAGGTTGGTGGTTCGAGCCCACCCGGGGGCGGCTTTTTATTTATTGTTAATGCGTTATATTAATTAAACTTACAAGTAGTGGTGAATCCTCCATGGACGGTTAATACTATACTGATAACCAACCCTAATTGTAATAACATTTCGCTTGAATGTTTTTTCTTCTTTCACTATATTTTTAACTTGTTATATCGTCATCAGCATGTGTCGCATGCTGATTGAAGTGGAACTGCACTGTGCGGCCGGGATTTCTTTCGAGACGCGATGCTGTCCTGCCCGCCGACGACATTAGTGCCATTACCGCTGATTTGATAACTGTTTCCCGTCATCAGCCGTTATCAAACGCACCCACTGCGCCTCGGTATCATCAACAAAGCAATCGTAAATTCTGTTGTCCATTGTTGCTTGTTATATTACTTGTTAAACACTTACGGGCAGCGCTTGGTGTTGTGCGCTGTTAGATGCTAATCAAAGGGTGCTTCGAAGTGTTTTGAAAGCTGTTTAGGAGATTGAACTCGGCACGGAGGAGTTCAAACTGATTTAGGAGGACTAAATGAACAACGCTTTGTTTGTCCACCGGTTTATTTTAAGTTTATTGTTATTTTTGCTATTTAGATCGGGCGAATGCGTTGATTAATTGACAAACAATGATGAAAAAGGAATGTTTCCGCCCGGGATCGAACCGGGGACCTTCTGCGTGTTAGGCAGATGTGATAACCACTACACCACGGAAACAACTGACCAGGTGTATATCAGCTCAAAATTTCCGAAAAAATAGGTTAGAATTGAATAAAACACCTGGTAAAGTTAAGAAATAAAGGTGTGAAAGAGTTTCTACTCTCAAAATGGAAGCAATGTTCATTTTAAATCATTTTAGTGGAATTCTTTTAGTTTTATAAGTAATTTTAAACGTTTATAGAGGCAAAATTGTTTGAAACAATAGAAATTGTTATTAATAATTTAATTGATTGCAAAACAAAACATTTGTTTCCGCCCGGGATCGAACCGGGGACCTTCTGCGTGTTAGGCAGATGTGATAACCGCTACACCACGGAAACAACTGATCGGTTTTATATCACCTCAAAATTTCCGAAATTTAATTTTGAATTAAGTAGAGCACCTTGTTAAGTTAATAAATAAAGGTGTGGTAGAACCACTTCTCTCAAAATGGAAGTAACTTTCACTTTAGAGTCAATACAATGCAATTCTCTTAGTTTTCTTAACAATTTTGACATTTATTGACGGAAAAACAACAGAACCGTTAAAAACAACATTTATCAGATAAATAATTAAATTGACTCGAAAACAAAACAATTGTTTCCGCCCGGGATCGAACCGGGGACCTTCTGCGTGTTAGGCAGATGTGATAACCACTACACCACGGAAACACATTGTTTATAACTAAAAACCAATCAGAGTCAAAATTGTCAATTTAGGTTATGTTCCAGTTAAGTCTACTTAACGCAACTTATCCAAAATGGTGGAAACTACTCATATGTTAATTTTATTCATTTATTTTTTATGTACATGATACATCTACAGTGTTTTCTTTACTCTTAGTCGTCAACATTTGATTTCTAGTTGTTTCTAAAAACTATGTACAAAATTTATACAAACGTTCACTGGCTCGTCAATCCCCAAAGAATGTACAATTACAACTAACATTTTTATATTTCATATAGGTAAATCAAAAGTGCCCGACATCCCAAACTGCATCGCATTAATATTTATACTTAAGTATACTTATCGCAGTATTAAATCAAGGGTCACACCCTGAAATGCTAATACTTAAGTATACCTATGCTCTAAAAAGGAACAAAGAAAAAACAGGAAAACAAGTAGACTTAAATATTAAGCAACATTAAATGCTATAAAATGCTATAAACAATGTGTTTGTTTATCGTTGAGATCACATTAGTTGAATTAGTTGAATGGTGGCCCTCTGGGGTCGAACCCAGGTGAATAGGGCCAGTAGGTAGACGCAGGGAACAATGAACTTTGACTGTGTTGAGTGCCTGGCGGAGGAGGCAATGGAAGACCTGGCAGTTTCCCTGCAGCCGATGAAGTTGTCGTTGGGTAGAGAGCTGTGCCTAGTTCACTTTGATGGGTTTGGTATTTGTGATAGGGAGGTAACATATCACCTTGGCCTTGGGCCTGTGCTTGGCAAGCCGCCATTAGACCATGGAAGTCAAATTTGTAGGCGTAGCGCTTTCCATGGACTTTTGACATTATGTTTTTGTCATAGTAATATCTGCAAGGAAAAATATTTTATAAAATAAAAAGAAGTAAATTTAGGTTTAGTTATTGCGTTAAAAAACAATTTTTTATAAGAAGAAAAGTAAAAAATAATGTTTCCGCCCGGGATCGAACCGGGGACCTTCTGCGTGTTAGGCAGATGTGATAACCACTACACCACGGAAACATGATACCTACTATAGGACAGTTAGAAATGTTGAAATTTTTAATAAGTTATTTCTAAATTGTTATTAAACAAATAACAATGAGTAATCAACTTGGTCTGCAACATGTAAATGGTAAATTAATCATAAACTGACAAAATACCACAAACAAATGTGTTTATTCACGAATATTTCATGATTCAACATAAAAAGATCTCGAAACCGATTTAATATTTGCGGTTTGAACATAAAATGGCTAATCATCTTGTTTGCAACGTTCCGCATCTAACCAAGGACACATAATAACGATTCTATCTCAGCTTAAGTCAGATTAAAACAGGATTAGCACATATTAAAAAACTGGCTTCATTAAAAAGTGTTCCGCGCGCCAATTTAGACTCGCATAGGTGAGGTTTACATAGATGTATTCAGGTGGGCGTATAAAATGGAATTTGACTCGTACCTGAGAGCGCGTGAGAGTTTGTCGTAGTTCATGTTCGGCTTGGACTTGCGCTCGCCCCAGCGGCGCGCCACCTCGTCCGGATCGGTGAGCTTGAATTCGCCATTGGTGCCTTCCCACGTGATGCACGCCGCGTTCGCCGAATCGCCGAGCAGCTCGAGCAGGAACTGCCACAGTTGGATTTGCCCCGACCCCTGCGCTACCAATCGCGACGATGCCGCGTTGAGGAGTTGATAAGGATCTGCAAGAAGAGCGAGACACCAATGTTCAAACCCACCTGCACACGGCCCGCACAAAGGCGGCAATTAATTCTACAATTACAGAATTATATTTTAGTGGTTATATTCGTAGGTGAGCAGGATTATAGGTATTTCAATTTTAGAATAGCTGGAGAAGAAGAAGGATTAATGATGATTATGTTGATCAATTGGATTGTTATTTCTTGGAGATTAGTGATTCATTGTAGATTGGAATGTTTGGTATGAAGGAGGAATGAAGGATGTGTTACCGTTATAGATCATGGTAGCGTGATGAATTTTATGATGAACTGGAGATGAGCGAACGGACGCGAAACGTCTGGCGACCAGCAGATCTTCAGGCGTACATCCCGGCAGCCTCCACATGGCCGCCATTAGATTAATACATTGTTTATGAGACAACAGTAACAAAAATCCACAGAAAACACTTTTTGACACAATTTACACTTGAATTGCAGTTTTTCTTATTATATCTTAACGAAATAACAATTTTTCACTTTTTTAATTACCACAAAAGAAAACTCAAGGAGTTTTGCTTGTTATTTTACATGGCAACACTTGATCATTTGTAGATACTTAATTCGTGCAGAAACATGATGTTCAAAGAGATAAATACTTAGATATCAGATTGTGTGAGTTGACCGACCGGAGGTCACCACGCAACTGATAACAGAGTGGTGGTGGTGAGGAAACGACGCCGGCCGATGGACCAAAGGGGCGGCACAACGCCGTCGCGCGTCGCTTTCATTCACCCTATCACGCCCACATTCTTGAAGATGAGGTTTTTAGCACTTTGATATTTCTCAGTCTTACGCACTTGAAACGTAGGTAGAAAATTAGTTATTCAAAGTTTTAGATTATTAACCTATCTTGTTAATACTTGTAAAAGAGTTGCAATTGAGATTTACTTGCGATACCTGTAATTTTATAATTTAGGATAAGAACAATTAGAAGGATGTGGCAGTAGAACTGGTAGGAAATGCTCCTGGAAACCAACTGGAAAGTGGAAGGAAGCAAGGAAAGAACATTGATCTTCTCCTTTCTACTGTTTCCTTCCTTAGAAAGTTTTGAATAAGTACTTTTCCAATTTTTTCTACGTCTCATTGAAGACGATGCAAAAAGAGAAGGTTAAAAGAGAGAGAGAAATAAAGAAGTTAGCTAGGGACAATGAACTAAATAGATAAACATTTTTTAAAGTAATCCTACTGATCAAGAGCTATTTAAGGACCTTAAGAACCTAAAATAAATTATAAAATGACATTCTCAACATTTATTGATTTGATTGATGGTTTATTACATAATTTGACTAGGTTTTCTATTAAAAATGTCTTTTTCTTAATATTTCCCAAAAATACTGTATTATGAAATTATGAAATTACATAATTTTTTAAAGGATTAATTAACTCCTTAACATTTTAGAGTAAGAGAAGACATAGATAATCTGATGTCATGTTCTGGAAGCACTAAAACTGCATAGCAATCAACCAAAAACCAATTAGAATCAAATCTACTTGATATTTCTTAGTAAACTCGTAAGAAAATTCAAATTCGAAAGAATAAAGTTAAAAAGAAAAATCACTGTCCGTGAACAATATCTACGACAATATCTTCTCAAAAATTCAATAATATTCATCTCTGATGATAAAAACTTTAAAGGTAAACTCAAAGTCTCGAAGACTTCTTAGTGCCACGTTGCAACCTCTGCCAGTGTGTTTGCCACCGGGATTACCTCCCGTCGCTCAGCGGGAGAGCATCTACAAGTCTAATGCAAGCGCGCGCGCGTCCCGAAACGTTGATCCCGGATTTCTGCCGCTCTCCTCAGCCGTAGGCCGGCAGTTCCGAAGGTTTGAGGTTCACGACATCCGCGGCGACGCCGCCCGCCGGCAGGAATATTGCTTTATTCAACGATATCCGCCCCCACTAAACTATTAACTTTTTTTATATCTTTAAATTTAATTTGCCATTTTGCCTCAAGGACCCTACCCAAAAAACAAAAAAAATACAAGTGCATATAAATCTTACTTATCACATTTTATCAGTGCAAAAATTAGTAAAAAATGTTTTTTTACTGTTTGCACATGCGGATGGTATTGATAAGAGGTGTGTACATTGCATATATACAGGGGGAAGCAGAAAACTCATAAAAATCACATTTTTCCGATAAAACAGGAAATAAAATGAATTAGAATGAAATATAAACAGGTTTTCTTATAGTTTACTTAGTCAAGCAAGTCTTGCAGTTGGAGTGAAATGAAAGTCTTGAGTACCTGGCCAACTGGACGTGATTAAATCGTTCCGCTCTGATTAATCGCACGACTTTCATTTCGAATGCGCTCCGATATAAAACCCGCTCAACAATCTCTAGTAGCCGTGATCGTCTAGTGGTTAGGACCCTACGTTGTGGCCGTAGTAACCCAGGTTCGAATCCTGGTCACGGCAATGCGCAAGCATTGTCACGGTAGAGATCCCTTTTTTATTTATTTAACAATAACAGGTGTATGTATACCTTCTTTGTTTTGTTGTTTTTAATTTGAAACTTCTTTGTTCAGTGGATTTTTTCTTCTCCTGGTTAATCCGTGTGGAAACACTTAAAAGTTTAATTACACGCCGCAGCACGCTGGTCGGGAGGTTAGCAATAAATAACTTAGCGAGCGCGATGCCGGATAAACCCCGGCCACGGGGGCGGTTTATCCGCGTAATCCGCCCGCCTGTCTCATTATACAGCACCGCGGGTCGTCTCTCGATATTGTTTTCTTGATTACCTTCGCAAGCAAGCGCACAAACTGTGTTCACCATAGTAAAACCCGTCCAGGAGTCAGCCAACTCACCAAAGTGGGCAATAGATATGATAATCAAATGGGTTAAGTTTGGTTAAAGGTGTTTATAGTTTTTTAACCTCAAATTTTAACTTTTTAACCTAAAAATTCTTTGCTTAGTTCTAAAAGTTTAAATTTTTCTTTTTAAGGTGTGAATGTGTAAAAGAAAGAAATTTATAAATTTCTACGTGGTCTACGCGTAGATTTCCACCCGAAATAAGGAGTGGGGCAGAGAGGTTAAACGCGGTGTTTAGTGTGTGGGCCTGTGGGGTCGTGGCGTCGGGTCGAGTTACGACTTTTCGGGAGCGTTAGGTGCAAATCCCTCACTTTAAATTCAGCACGAGTCACGATATAAGGGCAATATATTAGAAGTCGCCCCGCCGCGCGCCAAGCTTTACCATCTCCGATATACACTCGTATAACTTGCGAACTTGCAACTTTGCCGCCTCCAACCTCTAAGGCCACCTTCGAGAAATCACAGTCATCATAAATTTCCAACATTCACACCGAGTGTTCCACAAGAAATTTACTCTCAAAAATTAACCATTATAGGTTATGTTTGGTAAAATATTAAATTTACTTTAAAAGTTTTAATAGAAATTGATATTTTCGGAGATATTTTGTGATTGTTAATGGAGACATTTGGTATGTTGACGTTTTCAATCTGTTTCTTTGGTTTTGGGTTGGTGTGAATGCGAAAGCGTCTCCTTCCGAGTTCCTTCCTCCAACATCAGCAACACTTCCGAGCGGGTGCGCTAATGCCACAATATTAATGATCGAAATTATGAATGTGAGGGGCGCGCCGGCACGAGTGTTTAATTGAATTATTATACGAGGCGCTGTCGTGCCTTTTGTTGGCAAAGTATAAATAGACAAGAGCTCATCGACCGATCGTCAACAGGGGGCGATCATTTTCAAAGGGGGAAGAAGACCTCTCCAACAATATAAATAAACCCTAAAAATGAATTCATACATCTCTACGTCGTATTTTTATAAATATAAAGTAATTATCTTCAAATATAACTTGTGAGGATTCTTTACTAGTACTCAAGGGGTTTCTATCAGTAACTGAATCAGTTATGTTTTTTCCTTTTTCTTTTTGTGTGGATAAAAGTAGTTTCCTTCATGTCTTGCCTTTTATTTATTCGCTTGGTGATTGCCTAGGTCCAGCTGGTCAGCGAACTGCGGGCGTGAAAGGAAGGAAACGTATAATTTCCTATTGTGCACCCTTCGACCTCAAGCGCGCCGAATCTATAGTAGTTTATTTACTTATAGGGTTTCCTGTTATCTCGGAGCGCATTCGTAACCGTGGCCCGTCGCGCCGGAGCTGGAAGTGTTTTTCAGCTATCGTGATCGCCGATCTAAATAGCGCAATAGTGATAATGACCCTTTCCGAATTGCGTCTATTACCTACCAAATGCCTTTTCTCTTTTCGCAAACTGCCCGACGATTTTTCTTTGTGAAAACTACTGGTAATTGAATAAAACTCCAAAATCACCAAAAACAACATAAAATAAATTTAAATTTATAAAAATTTTACAGAAAATGATTAAATTACACTTACTTAGAACAAAAACCACAAAATCAGTTTTGAAAAAGATGGTTCCGCCCGGGTTCGAACCGGGGACCTTCTGCGTGTGAAGCAGACGTGATAACCACTACACTACGGAACCCTTACACTACATACAACGATCTAACCTTATAACGCAACATGTAATTTCACTTTACCGCGCATATTTTAACACAATTTCTGCAGGTTATACCCACACATCACATATTTACTCGAATTAGAATGATGCTACGGTGAACCAACAGGTGAATCATAGAAAATTTCACAGGAATTGATGCACGCAACCGATTTACTACACGTTTTGTCTTTATGACACGTTGTGAAATGTGGCATTCACGTTTAGTATGCCACAATCGTTCGCGGATCTCCACTTTCGCAACTTGCAAGCTTCACCGTGGAAAAACCACTGATTAAAGATTCACTCCATGTACAGACATTTCATACCATTTATACAATGATTCTAAGAAGTGTTTATTTTATGTTCTTCATTCTTATTCTTATTAAAATATTAAGCAACTACTTACTTAAGTCAGAAGAAGTCGAATCTTCCGATTCTTTAGATGTAATTTGCAGTTTTTCATTGAGAGGACTTGAAGGTCTTCCGGTAACAGCATGTTTAAGATGTGCAATGTGCTTTGCCAGCAGTTTCCCTGCATAGGAATCAGCGCAAAGCGTTTCAAAATCAGAAGTTGATAAAAGGCACAAATCAACTCCATTTTTGGGGAACTTAGATGTAGGAATGTCTGTATCTATACAGAACTTTTTCTTACACCACTTTAACCATGAAAGGATGTTGTTAGAAGTCCATTCCATGGGATCTAATAAAAATTAGTAGACTTAAGTCACTTTTAAGAAAAGAAATTATCAGGAGGATATTACCATTGGGTACCAGGACCATGGCATCGTCCACATCTTGTTCCTCTTCATCATTACTGCTTGAATCAGAAGAATCCCGGTTGGATTTTATGTTATCCGACGGTAAACTTTCAATTTGACTTTGAAGACATGAAGGTCCTGCTTTAACAACATCTTCATCTCTAAATTCTTTATTTTTCTGAGTATTTGATGGTAACAATTCAACAAAATCACAGGAATCACTCGAGGGTGATGATGAAGCAATGTGAAATCGCTCAGCGTCGGCCAGCAGGCCTTCGAATGAATAAGTTTGGAAAGCTTCATTAAATTCAAGTCCAGATAAATCCGACGGAAAGCTCACACTCGCACTAGTCACTGCACTCGCGGTTGTATATTGTTTTTCCGGTGATGAGGCGTCCCTTAGAAAACGCGAATCGTCCATAATATCAGGCACATGTCTGAGCGCATCGTCGTCGCAAATATCCCGCACGCACACACCACCTGCAACCAAATCAAACACTTTGAAAGCGTTGGTGTCTTTTAAATCGCGCCCGCCACTGCGTGCACTCGCCGTCGCACTGTGGTGCTCGGTGTTCTTCTCGTCGATCATCCCGCTTTGCTTAGCGAGCCGATTTGTGATTCATTGCGATGAGATTCGAAAATTTCGTAGAATCTCGCAGTCGCAGTGAGTAATAATGTACCTACTTATTGGCGCCAAGTGAGTTGTTACTTAAGTAGAGTCAGAAATGAAGCTTAGATTTGGAGCACATGAATTGAAATGACGGAAATTTGTTTAAAAGAGTTTTAAGGTTTATAAAGTGGGTTTACCCAATGTATTTTTTGTTTTTTAGATGCAGAATCACCAATCTCAGGTCTGGAAGGCGAAGAAGGTGGGGCTTGATGCTAATAGCCGGATTGATTTTATTTTTAGACGAGCATATTGCAAAAAATGCAAGGATATTTTCGTAGGTCTGATTCATATGTTTTTTTAAGGTGCTGTAATGAAATAAGGGGCCATGTTGTCTTGGCGAGTGTTTTCATCAACAACAAGATGGCTGCTAATCACCAAACAAGTTTTTATCATTGCAATATGATTGGTTAAACTTAAATTACAAACACAAAATTGATTTGAAGGTAAACCAGACTTTCAAATTTTGTAAAACATAATAAATTACATCTTACATTACTTTATACCCAAATTAGTAGGAATCTGTAAATTAATGTTACAGTTTCTAAAAGATTAAAATCTTCTTTGGGATTTTACTTATAGGAAATCAAAGTTCCGATTATTTTCAGATTAACTGGAAGTCTGAAAGAAGTTGGAAGTACGATACTTCCAAAAATTGCGGTCGCCACGTTGACGCCGTCAAAGTCTTCGGTTCCTTTGGGTTTTTGGCTTTTGGCTCTTCGGGGGTCTTCCTTCCTGGTATTGTATAATAACCAGGCTTGCAAACAAGGCGCGCAAGTTTATATCAAAGAGGTGTTTGTGGTCCCTGACAGGATGGGTTTAATTTATGGCGCTTCATCTTTACCGATACAAAACAACAATTAAATAAAAAATAACAATTTTCGTTGCTTCCCTCGAAAGGAAAACTATAAGTACTCTTAATACACAACACTCACAATGTGTAATTCACATTGAATCATTTGCTGGGAAGTAGTAAAACTAAACAACAAATTATTTCCTCAAACACACATGATTACTATTACAGTTTACAAATTTTCATGTTTACGCATATGTTTATAGGAAATAGTGCAGTAAAACATGAAACATGATAATTATATATTAATTTTATTACTCATACGCGTGCCTAATGTGGTATGGCGCCTGTTAACTGATGAAAATAGAATTACGAAAGAAAAAAAATGTCTGCGGTTACACGGAGGGTATGAATGATGTTACGTTAGATATTCGCTCTTGTACTTTGGATAAAAATAATTACATGCGGTGTGCACGTTGTGCGTCCGGTCTGATTCACGCTGGTAGACATCTTGATTTTTTGCGCAGTCATTATTTCCGAAAGTGGCAATGTGTAATTTCCAAACATTCATCAATTGCTTGCAAAAGTTTCACACTTGCCTCAAGTTAAGTCAGATGCTGTGCGCTGTGCTAAGTTGAAACCAGATCGGCGCCGCGAGATTTATTTTGAGTTCTTCCAAGAATTGTCTTTGCAGGCATCGTGTATTATTCTTTTTTTGTTAAGTGGATAGACTTATAGATGTAATATTTTGCACAAAAACATCGAGTTATTTTTGTGTTTCTTGCTAGTCAGGTACAAAATATTTGTTATCATGCATTGTGTACAGTTTTTGGTGTTGAGATAAAAAATCAATAAACAAGTATTTTAGCAGATTCTAGTACTGCTTGCGCCATCTAACGATGAAAATTAAAGACTAATAGCAAATATTTATCTTTTTTATTAGATTCTGGATGAAAACATAATGAAAATGAGGAAAATCCACGAAAAACACTTCCCACGCTTTACAAACATAACAGAGTCAAAATATTTAGTTGTGACTCAGACTGGACATTGAATAATATTGCTAAATTACCGAGTACAAATAGTACGCTTCCGGGAATCTTTATGAATCAATCACATCAAGATGCTGTAGTTATTTATAACGTGCATTGTTAACTTATGAATGGAAACTGAGCTGAAATGAACTAAATTAGTCAAAAAACGTGCGCGGCCACACGGGGCCTATCGGATTTACTAGAAATTCTCATGTGACTCATCAGACAAGCGTTTCATTCACGATTCACACGAGTACGCTCAAGGCAACTCAAGGTGCTACGTTCATTCAACGTTTTTGGCGCTTTCTATAACAAGAATTCATCGCGGAGGTCTGTTACAAACTGGGGAGGATGCTGCATGCAGGTATCTGACCTGACCTGATCTGATTCACACCATAAGTATTTATGTATTTAAAGGAATATAAAATTAAATTAGGTTTTTATATAATTTAATGTGGTACAAAATATATAAATAAATAATAAATACATTAATACAATATTGAGTATTTACAGATATTTCGATTATAGAGAGCAGTCATATCTTTGAACATCAGCATAAATTATTTTATCTAATCAGTTTTTCACTTCAGTAATCCGGCCAGTCTGCTGCTTTTCGTGAAGTGGACAGTGCAGCCTGAGGGTACTTTGAATTGAGTATGCTTTAAACTCTTGTCTTTCTCGTCGTAGACCCACAATGGTATTAATCTGTACTGCTGCTGGCATGTTACATCATAACCATTGGGAAGACATCCAGTTTTTCCTAGTAATTTAGGTATTTCCTGCCTGAAAGCAAAAATAAAACAATTAATATAAAATTTAGGAAAAGATTAAAGTTTGGAATAAAATTTTTTGTTTAAAAGAAAATCAACTTACGTGCAAGCTTCTATGTAGACAGTCTGTTGAGTAGTATTACTTTGCACCACATACTCCTTGGACCCAAAACCAGTCGGGGCCCTTTTGGGTGTTACAGTCTTACTGATAATATGACAGAGATGCTCTTCATGCAGGGCAAATCTTTGACCCGTCGGTACTTCATAGTGTCGCATGTAGAACACAGGCAGACTATTCTCTTTCAATAAGTTTTGCACTTCCTCCGTAGGGTAGGTAGTATCCTCTTCACAAAAACTCTTGGTACAACTTGATTCTGAAGTGTATTTCTTAGATTTCGACTTTTTTGTTTCCCGTTTTCTGTATTTTCTTGGAGTCGGATGGCTCAATGTGATGGTAATATACTAAACAATAAAAATTTAAATTAAAACCATGAATATTTAAGATTTATATGTAGGTACTTACAAATATGGCGATGAGTATCAGTGATTTTTGCAGAAACATTTTGAAAGTTTGGTACTTGTCTATCTCGAGTATCAAAAGAAGGAATGAAGCATTTCTCTAAAATCGATCCTTTAAATTATGCATAATTGCGTCAGACTAAAGCCGTGACGATACTTGTGGTCAACAACAACGTCATGCTTCGAATTTCCATTTACCCACTTTGCTATGGGTGCTTTTCGGTCTGCGTCAGTTTGTTATGTTAAGCTGTGTTTATCCGACGCAGCATCATTTGCTTACATCTGATTCATTGCGCACAGTGTGAGCGTGTCCCAACAAAAAGATTCTTGTGCCACCTTGTAAAGATCACATATTACATCAATGCCGTGTTTGTATACTGTCAATTTGGTAAGGACCCTTTTCTTACACTTCAAACAATGGATTATATAAAATTTAGCCCAGCTTAGTCAGCTTTAAGTCAAGAAAGAATCGCAACAAGTATTTCTCTGCGTGAGTCGAGCAAACATCATTTTGAGATATAAAACAGCAAAAGCAAATATTAATAGATAAACCGAAGATATCAAGGATGACTAAGGAAGTTTGCGGTGCGACATCCGGTGTGAGAGTACACAAATCAAACGAATTTCATTTAAAACTAGCGTTTTATGAGAATGGGTAGTGTGACATTACCAAAATGCAACGAAACGCTGCACACATCGTCATGCATCGTCATACAATATGATTAAACAAATAACCTACGTCTACGTATTCCCTAACTACAAGTTAAGTGTAAATTACGCCGTAAATACTCAAAGGGTCTTTTCATATATTTCAACCACTTATAAATAGGTTGCCCCCGCGCAAATTAATAAATATCAATAAGATACAATCAAGTAATTGTGAGTTGAGAGTGAGAATCAGTTCTAATTTGTTCATTTCTTCTTCTTTTTCTTCGCGTCTGATGCTCCACCGCCACCCATCGAATCATTCTTCCTCTTTTGTGCTCCACCCTTATTGTTACCCTGAGTTGAAGTGTTCGCCGACTTGGGCGCTTTCTTTTTCTTCTCGGCGCGTTCCTTCTCTTCCAACTCTTGATTTTCTCGTTCTATTAATGTAATCAGAGTGTTGCAACGTCTTTGAAGCTCCATTGCCGTTCGGGATTTCAGGAACCAGTCGAATCTAAACTGTGGGGAACTCCTGACAGCTGCACGCAACTCTTCGTACACATTCTCTCGATCAAAGCCTAGTTTATGTAACATGCAAACCAAAAATCTGTCTTCTTCCTCCATGTAGTTTTTGCCTTTGTTTGTGCCGTAGGAAATGCGTAGTTGGTGGAACGGTGCTCTGTAACGACCCATTTTGGCCTCTAAAGCGCGTTTAATACTCGCACGGCGTTGAATTTTACCCTCGCCTTTTTCGATCTGCGCCATGATGCGATCAACATCAGTTAGTTCATGACATCTCTCCCAGAAAACAGCAGAATACTCCATTACTTCTTCCGGTGTCTTACCTTCAACTTCCTTTGCAATATTTTCAATATCATCACGTCCAAACTTCTCGTTTGCTTTGATGAACTGATTAAAATCACGTTTTGACCAGTTTGTGAAACCTTGCGTGAGTAAACTTTCTTTCTCGCCTGCTTCATCATCTGATAATGGTTCAGACTCATCAATTTTCCTTTGTTCTTCTTTCTGTTGTTTACTAGCATCGGGTCCAAGTTCTAAATTCTTAGGAACTTTATAACCTACCGATTTCCGGAAGTAGTAAATTTCCTGGTCCAAAAGCTCAAACAAACGCGGCGGGAAGAACTGGAAGTCTTGCACGATGGGTTGTTTTGGCGGACGTGGAGCTTTCGGTGCTTTGGGTTCAGAAACGCGCAAAGCTTCACGGAAATAAGCATCAACAGCGTAATTTGCTTTACGTTCTCGTTTTGGCGGCTCGATCCAATTACTCAGATTACTCTTTTGTTTATCTCTATAATCTTCACCCTCAAACTGATACAAATTCGCAGGTGCATCCATTGTGAAATTACGTAGAGAAGATTCACCCAATTCTTCAAGTTTCTTTGACAACTCTGCAGTTTTCTCTTCACCACGATGCAGAATATCATCGATATCCTCATCTCGCAGCTCTGAATCCCTAGAAGCAAACACATGATTCGCTCCGTGACGAATCATCTGAATCATTTCGTCCTTGTTCAATTGGGCAGTTTTGTTATCAACGAGGCGACCTTGTTGAATGACGAGTTTATCAAGTCGCAGTTTCACCTCGGCTCTTTCGATAATCTTCTCTTCTACAGTGTTTTCTGTGATGAAACGGAAAACTCGTACTTGTTTCTTTTGACCAATACGATGAGCACGATCCATAGCTTGAAGATCCATCTGCGGGTTGTAATCAGAATCGTAGATAATGACCACATCGGCGGTGGCCAAGTTGATGCCAAGACCACCAGCGCGTGTAGAGAGCATGAAAATGAATTTTTTACTGTTGGGTTCGTTGTATTCGTTGATTTGACGCTGGCGGTCTTCATGAGGGGTTTGACCATCTAATCTACAGTACTATTGAAGAGAATAATAAATTATTACAGATCCCAAGTGAGAAATTATGATAAAAACTTACATTAAACTGTCTCCAATGACAATAATCTTCAATAATATCCAACATACGCGTCATCTGTGAGAAAATCAGCACTCTCGACTCTTGTTCCAACATTTTCGGCAGTAATTTATCTAACACCACCATTTTACCACAGTTTGTCACCAAATGAAGATCTGTAGTGTACGGAGGGCCTGGTTCAGCCCCATCGAAGAGATATGGATGATTTGCGCATTTTCGCAGCTGCATGAGAATATTCTGCAGTCGCATCTTTTCTACTTTACCAGCACCATTAACAATATCAATATCTTTCATGAGAATCTTCGTATACCAATCGCGTTGCATTTTACTGAGACCAACGTAAACCTTTACTTCTTTCTTGGGTTTGAGACGTTTTTCTACTTCGGATTTCAAACGACGCAAAAGGAAAGGTTTGAGTACCGCATGCAAACGTTCGATAAGCGCATTATCACCGAAACAAGAATTAGTATTGAACCACGCATCGAAATCGTCAGATGAATTAAAAACATCAGGGAGGAGGAAATTTAAAAGTGCCCACAACTCGTGGAGATTGTTTTGTAGAGGTGTACCAGTTAACAGGAGACGATTTGACGTTTTAAACTCTCGTAGGATTTCTGAGAGTTTGGATTTTTCGTTTTTAATACGATGAGCCTCATCAATGATCATGTAGCGCCAGTTGAACTTCTTAAAGACGGATTTTTCCTTGATACACATCTCATAAGATGTAATACAGACGTCCCATTCGCCAGGCATCAAGACTTCTCTGATAAAAGTGCTCTAAACACAAATTTCATAATAAATAAACAAAAAAAAAATACTTAAATAGACATTAATACTTACTCTTGCTTCTTGATCACCAATTAAACACACTGCTCTAAGACTGGGACACCATTTGTTGCACTCAGCCATCCAATTAGCAAGAGTAGACTTGGGTACAATGACAATGTGTGGACTTGGAATGTTCTTGTAGTGTTTCATGAAACCCAGTAGTGAAATAGTCTGCAGTGTTTTACCCAGACCCATCTCATCAGCCAGAATTCCATTGATGCCATTGTCATACAGTGACACCATCCAGTTAAGACCTCGGATTTGATAATCGCGCATCTCGCCATTTTTAATATAATGCGGCGACGCATCAAAACGAATACTCTGCTTGGTTTTTGTATTGGTCTCAGCCAACAGCTCCTCATCTTCTTCTTGCTCAGTTTTTCTATGTCTGTGATCAGCTGCATCTTTGTCTTCCTTCTCTTTGGCTTTACTTGGGCGTCCTGCCTTTGGTTTTGTTGGGCTTTTAGTTGCTGGATTGGTCATGAAATGGGAAAAGATTTCAGTTTGCTTCAAAAGATAATCAAATCTTTTGCCTCTATCATTTTCCAGTTTTGCTTCAAAGTCTTCGCCTTTACCCCGGGAAGAGGTCGCATCAGATGATGATTCATTCTAGAAATGGAAGATATGAATACGTTAGACCGTTATTCTGTACTTAAGAGGTTAGGATTAGGATATTAAATGGAAAATAATGTGTAATAAGGAGTAATAGTCTCAAGAATAGAACTTAGGAGTGCTTAGTTTTATAAAAATCAGTGGCATTATGATGAGTAATGTCCGCGTCTTCATCTTGGTAATCTTGATCTTCAGGAATAACAATGGAAATACTCACGCTGGCTGAATTCTCGCCAGTTTCGGCGCCGGTGGTCTCCGCAACCTGCTCCTCCGCCTTGGACATGATGATTTAGATAATATAACTGGGCACCACGCCGGGTAGTTTGTATTTTTTGCGAAAACAATCTCGTAATGTGTGTTCACCGCTAGTTACAACCGTGGACAATACAACGCTATGATACAACGCGTCGTAAAGTAGTGGAATAGACGCAGATGGTGATGCCCGGCGGGAAAAACGGTTGTGTGGTTGTGTTCTCGCGAGAGCATTCACGGAAGCGCTGCTGCTTCAAGGGCAGAACAACGTGCTAGAAACACAGCAAAACTCACAATAAACAATTTTTATCAGTGAAGCATGTTGATATTTGTTAATTTAGCGACCTAAAAGTTTTAGCGCTATCTAAAAACTGTTATAAATGATAAGAAATATTCGTTGTTATTTTAAAGGCATTTAACTACCAGCGGGGTTACGTTCGGTGATCTTCGCGTATCATCGCATTTGAAACTGATGGTTAGCCAACCTAACATACACGCCTGACAGGATGTAAAACATTACAAGCACGAACAGTCAAAACAGTATTAAATCGATAAAAACAAAACAAATCATGGACAACGTAAGAAATACTTATTGTAATAAATATATTACTTGAATGCACAATATTTGACGTTTTTAGAAAGTATCAAACGTCAATTTCAAAGCTGGCATTGTCACTGCCACCAAGAAGAAATCTCTGGGTCCCAAATTTGAGTTAACCAAAGAACAAGAAAATGATATCAAAGAGGCCTTTGACCTCTTTGATACCGAGGGTAGCGGTAAAATCGACGCCAAGGAGCTGAAAGTAGCAATGCGTGCGCTTGGATTTGAGCCTAAGAAAGAAGATATCAAGAAGATGGTTGCTGAAATTGAGGTGGATGATGCAGGCAAGATGTCCTTTGAACAATTCCTCAAACTCATGTCCACAAAAATGGCTGAGAAGGACTCCAAAGAGGAAATCATGAAGGCATTCCGGCTGTTTGATGAAGAGGAGGAAGGAATCATCACTTTTGCCAAATTAAAAAGGGTGGCAACAGAGTTAGGTGAGAACATCACAGATGATGAACTACAGGAGATGATTGATGAAGCAGATAGAGATAATGATGGTAAAGTAACCCAGGAAGACTTCCTTAGGATTATGAAGAAGACCAGCTTGTACTGAAGCACAAACTAAGTTTATATTTATTTGCGAATATTTTTATATGTATAGGTTTTACAAAAGAAGTGGGGGCGCCATATTGGATTTTGGGCCGGTACCAGACCGTTATATGTAAGATGATCAATGTTTATGACTTAATTCTAGTCCTGATTAAACCTTACAGTATTTCTTTGATATTGAAATGTTTATTGGACTTTGACAGAACCATCAGCCAGTCCAAAATAAGCTTTTTAGCCATTTTGATGAATAATCCTGTTTCTACAACTCCAGGAATCATCAGAATGTCTTTATTAACCTCCTCCCAGTTGGAATTTTGGTTGTATTCTTTCCAATCTAAGATTAAATTACCATTATCTGTTACAACAGGACCTGCTTTTGCAACTGCCATCCTCAGATCCAGTTTTCCACCATACTTTTCTTCAATTCTTTGTTTTATTGGTTTGTATGCCATTGGTACCACTTCAATTGGAATTCCCTTTTTGTACTGATCTCCTAATTTACTACTGTTTTTTGTATAGTCAGCAATTACGATCATTTCCTTGGCGCAGCTAGCGACGATTTTCTCTTGAAGCAAACACCCGCCACCTCCTTTGATCAAGTTCATGGAGGCATCCACTTCATCAGCACCATCAATGCAGACATCTACCACAGGATCGATTTCCAACTCTGTCAGGATTAAGTTATGGTTGATAATGAGTTGCCGTGCTTGAAAACTCGTGGGAATGCATTTCAAGTGAAGTTTTTCTTCTTTCACGCGTTGGGCTAGTCTTTCGGCGGCGTAAATTACTGTTGATCCACTGCCAACGCCGACCACGCTGTTGTTTTTCACGTATTCATCAACTGCGCGATATGCAGCGGCTTTCTTGGCTGATTCAAGAGACATTTTCGCGAGGGATAGTGCTTGGCTGGTTAATTTCATGAGATAGAGGCAACACAAACGCGCGAAACACTGTTTGAAAGTCAAGTCAAGATCAACAAGTGTTGAGTTGAGCGCAGGCGTATAGAACTTGTCTATAAGTTAGATAAAGTGCTTATTGTTTGGTATTTGATCAAAACGCGGTAAATTGTTGCGCGCAAAGTTGTAGGTTATAGATAGACCTTGGTCATGTTTGAGTATCAAAATGTACTCAATTTATATCTTATATTTATATCTTTTGGAACCCCTTTTAGTCTATTTATGTATTAAATTATTGTTCTTCTATAAGCATAAGGGAAAACGGATTGCAAAACAATGCTTTCAGGTTTCTGATCCTTAAAATTCCTCCTCAAGATAAAGTTATTTTTAGTCTCCTTGGCATTACAAGTGATTTACTAGGTGGTAAAGGCATCCATATTGTAAAGGATTTTATGAATATGATAATAAACCCTAGATTACTCTTTTTTGCCCTCAACAGTAATGTAAAAGTAATGAAAGTATTACTGTAAATAGTTAAAGAATTGTGAAGATTTTGAATGTAAAACTTACATGTCTATATAATTTCTTCATTGCATGTATCAATTGAATCAAACACAAACAAATAATTATTTCTTATTTTGGAAATTTTATTAAACGTCAACTGAGTTTGGCATATTTATAATTTGTCTATTGGTAGCATTTTAGCATGACGTTCTAGATTTAATTTTAATTCATTCGAAAATCTTCCATAATAATCAATATTTGTATGTGAAAACGTTGTTGGAAAGCCGTTGCTTTAAGACAAAAAACACATTTCTGCTGTTGACACACTGTATGATCAGTAAATATTTTAATTAAAAGATGAAACCAAAGAAAATAAAAGCATGCGCTTCATATAATTAAATTAGAAAGAATTTCTGTATAATCTTCAATACAAATATAAAAACAAAATTAAATAATGCGTCTAATGAAGTAATAATCAAGCGACATATTCAAGACAAACGAGTATTCATAGATACTGAATCATACTTTAAACTCAATAATACAATTCCACCAAGAGACAAAATACATTGAGTAATTTAAAAAAATAGAATTAATTCATTAAATCACAGCAAGTTCCATAAAATATTTTAGACATTTTTACAATAAAACAAACTTAGAGTAAAAAAAGATCATCAACAATACTCATCCATAAAACAATTCAATCCATTCATGTTTATCATGCAAATAAAAAAAAGACATCAATTGTTTAAACATGCTGTACGTGCTTATGGTCATCACACAGGTTGATTACATGCGCGACATTCGCTCACGTGTAATTATATCCTGATGAGTAGCCATTACGTTCCAGCCAGGCAAGATAGACATCTGGCCATAAACGCACGCGCATGATGACTGATCAAATCTTATTATTGCTCTTGCTCTGATCGTCAATAATTAATTAGCGCTGGATGAGCCTTAATACATGACCTTAATACTACAACATTTGACCACGTCACATCTGACCATCTAATGGTATATCAGTTACATTAACGTCGCTCTTGAACTGGGACTTCTTTTCACTGATCCTCGCAAGGACAATCAGTAAACCTAGGGTGGCGATTGAATCAGCAAGTTTAGAAGGAACGTTGATTTGTTTTTAAAATTGAAATTAGCTATATGTTATTTTGATTATTATCGTATAATTGCATATCATACTGGTGTATCTCGTGTATGAATTTCCGGTTGGATTATTTACATTTGTTTATTTTTATCACTACTGCGGTTACCGTTGGTTGTAGTTGGTTTTAATGTTGAAAAACGAATAAAGTGATAAAATGCATCCGAATTTGCATAAAATATTGGGAGGTTCGGGGTTTGGGTTGTTGTCGTTCGGACTTTTGGGAACTTGGTATCTTTTTCCGAAAATTATCGACAGCCAAATTCATGCGGTAAATTTATTTTCGATTTCAGAATTAAATAAATGTTTGAAAATATGTTTATTTTATGTATAGAATATTGATTTGAAAGAAGGTACAATGGGCTATGACACGTGGAAAAAACAACCGTTTCCGTTAAAGTTTAAAATTTACTTCTTCAACGTGACCAACGCAGCAGCTGTTCAACAAGGAGCAAAACCAATACTCAGAGAGAGAGGTCCATATGTCTACGAGTAAGAACAATAAACACAAAATTACTAATAAATATCTTACTTTATATAATTTTCTATTAACAGTCAATATCGGGAACGTGTTGATGTAAAACTCGAAGAAGAAAAAGACGCTTTCCGGTACGTCCTCAAAAAATACTACTATTTCAACAAGAATGAATCGGGATGTTATGATCAAGAAGACATTGTTACAATCGTGAATGCTGCTTTAGTGGTAAAGTCTTAAAAAGCCTCAAACAGTTCTTTTTTTTAATTTTTTTCCAAAAATTTCTTAGGGTACAGCTCTTCAGGTACAGCAAATGTTACCAACAGCAATGTCAATGGTAAACGAAGCTGTTCCGTATCTATACCCAGGCGCTAAAGACATTTTCATGACAGCAAAAGTACGCGATATCTTGTTTGATGGTATTTTGATTCATTGTACAGACCCAGCTGTTGATTTCATTTGTGGAGCAATGAAGGGTACCCTCCCTAAGACCATACAAGTTGCTCCCAATGGCAAGGACTTTATTTTTTCTATGTTTCGACATGTAAGGAATAAAATTACCATGTATAATGTTCTAAAAATGAAAAAAAAAAACATATATTTTTATTTTTTAAGTTAAATGGCACTGACGATGGTCCCTGGGAAATGGAACGAGGAATGACCAAGAACAGCTCTCGTGGTGAGGTTCTCAGTTTTGAAAACCAAGAAATATTAGATATCTGGGAAGAAGGCTCCACTTGCAATATGATTAACGGAAGTGATTCAACTGTTTTTGAAATTCCCAAAAAGATCCCCGCTGAGAGGGTTTACTCGTTCTCACAAGACTTTTGCAGGTTAGAATCAGGTTAAAAATTAAATAATAATCAAATTAAAATTATTTTGTATTAGATCTTTGTATATTCAATACGAAAAGGAAACTGAAGAGTTTGGAATGAGAGCATTAAAATACAGCAACACTGCAGGACCTTTAAACTACGATTCTGGAGAAATGAGATGTTTCTGTCCATTTTTCGAAGATGAAGATGGAGAAGAACAACAAGTGTGTCCCATGAATGGCTTAGCTGATGTTACACCATGCATGAAAGCTCCTGTCCTTCTATCTTTCCCACATTTTTATTTAGGTGATCCTAAACTACTGGATTATGTCACTGGCCTCAATCCTCAGAAAGATATTCATGAAATATACGCTCACCTTGAACCAGTAAGTCATTCTTTTCTTCTTAAAACTACATAAATTTCCCTAAAATGCGGTCTTTATTATTTTAATTTTATTTAGACAACCGCTACGCCTCTATCTGGTAAAAAACGTGTTCAGCTAAACATCGAGGTAAAACCAATTGATGAATTTGACTTGCTTGAAAATGTCACTCGGGGAATATTCCCAATCATCTGGCTTGATGAAGGAGTTGTGCTACCACCAGACTTTGTCAATATTTTAACCAGTAACTTCTTAAAAATCAAAATGGTGAACGCCATGAAAATAGTCCTGATTATTTCTGGATTAGGATTAGCAACAGCTGGCGGTATCTTAGCCTTAAAGAAAGAAAGACTCTTATGTTTTGCAAACAGTGACACTGCTGACATAACCACAATCAAAGGCAAAGACAGCCATAGTGCAAAAAGTGACGGCCCTGAAGGAACAGTAAATCCTGCATTTGAAGGTAACATGGCCTTAAACCCTCCAGGATTAAACAAATCATTGAATAACAATCAAAGGCAAGGCGTACGAGGTAATGCCCAACAGTGGAATGCTCAAGTATGGCATTCAGGAGAAGCAAATGGAAATTAATTAAATTTTTAGGTTAGGTTTGAGAAAAAGTTTGCGTGCACTTTTGAAACACGGATTTTAACAGCAAATAAAAACATTCTACAACTAATAATTATATTTACAATGTTGTTTGGAAATTAAAAATGCAAATTTTACAAATGTATAGGTCCTACATTAACGAATAGTAATAATAATTAATGGCAAATTGATTTCTTTGTCTCAGAAATAAATTACAAAAATCAATCCTACGCGTCTATGTTTCTAATGTAATAACACAATATTTACCACAATAGATTTGTATCAATGTGCATAAAAAATATCGCAGTCATATTGAAAATATCACATACATTGTGTTTGCTTCTAGGTATCTAAGTGTGTAAATAAATTATATCTCTTATCTAGCATCCATCATTCGAATGCTACGAGTAGCAATCGATCGAAACAAAAACAGAAAAAACTCAATAAAATAATTTTCAGCGTAAATAATTAAAAAAAATTATCCAAAGTGTTTTCGTCTTTTTTATCTTAAAATTTTGTTTAATTAATTTAAATTAAATTAAATCAAATTAAATTAACTAATGTTACGATATTTTTGCACTATTTCCCTTCCATCACTTTCTTTTTATGTTTTTTAATATAATTTATCCTTTGATTAAATCTTGTACAGCGAAAATCGTGCCTGAGATTAAAGCAAAGATTGAGAAGCAGCAGAGGATTGTATTTTTAATCAAACGCCATTTAAATACACCCAATCGGCCGTCCCACATGAGGACAGTATCCACCACAGCAGGGATGAAGAGACCAAGGGTAGAAAGACAGATAGAACCAACGAGACCAATGATTGGTTCCAGGTTAGGTACAGCAGCAGCAATTCCAGCGGAAAGTGTCACAATAGCGCTGCGAATTCCAATCTGGGATAAATTATGATATTTCTGAGGAATGCGTTTTTCCAGGACCATCTTCCAGGTGATTTCCATTGGCACGTGGAATTGAAGACTGTAAGTGAAGAATACTGCAAGCGCGATGAAGATTTTTGCAATTTCTGCCCAACTAAACCAAAAATAGACAAAAATTTAGGTTATGTTTTTATATACTGGCAAAAATAAGGTTATATACTTACACATCACCATCTGGAAGATTATAGGTGACACTGGCTTGAGTTTTATCCCCGAATCTCAAATATCCGAAAAATCCAATCACAGAGTACAACGCAACAACAATAGACATAGCAATGTTTAAAACACCGGGACATCCCAAGAACTGTTGTGGTTTTCTCATGCTGTTTTCCACAGGCATGACAACACCAATGCCTTCCATGGCAAAGATAACAGTACTGAAGAACACGGGAGGTTACCAATACTGGAAACCATGTCGCGATCGTCTGTGCCCTCGATTCCAGTGAACATGAACTTGAGTGTAATGGCGAATGATACTACCATGAATACATTCGCAAGGAATGAGAAGGGTACCAGGTATTTTAATTCTCGGAGTTGACATGTTAATATCAAGGGACCTAGGACCAAAGCGATGTAGACGTAGATTGACCAATCGACAAGGTCACGTGCTTCTACAACCTATAAATTTAAAAGAAAAAATGTTAATTTTTAGGTTAATTTTTGTTATTTTTGATTAAAACTTACTTTTTGGATGGATTCTGATACAAATACGACGTAGACACTTCCACCCATGAAATACGTCACGCAGAGGGCTATGTTCACGAAAATTCTGCAAAAAAAGAAAAGAAATAGACTTAAGTTAAGTAAATTTTACTTAAATATTTTTAATAATTAATTTAAAATTTAATTTCAATTGCAGATCACCATTAGAATAACTAGTAAGTATAGTCTTCAATTGACTTAAGTTAAGTTGACTTAACTCTTGACTTCAAACCAAAGTAACTCTTAAAAGTGAAAGGTGCAATGCTGGTTGCAATTCAATGCACAACTCATTAATAAAGTGTTGAAAATGCACTGTTAACGCAATAATAACAATAAAATGCAATTTATAATCTTTTTATCAATCAGAATCATACTGAAAATAAATTAAACTAACAATATCATTGCATAAAAATTGTTTTCCTATGTTTCAGTCTATTAACACCTTGTGTTTCACAATAAATTTGATTTGACAAACAATTGACTCAAAGTGTGAAATTGTTACAAATGCTTATCTAGCAGTGCGTTAAACCATGACTTAATCACGTTTCAGATCGAAAGTAAGGCATTAGACCGCGTTTAATTGATAAAAATTAATTTACCGAATGAAAATCTGTTTTTAATCCATCATTCAGCCACACGTTTGACTTTTGTACAATATTACAACTAAAATACTTTGTATTATCACGGAAATACCTAATAATCTCAGATTATAGCTTAACTATTTCATTATGAATTAACCTGAGCAGGTTTTCGGGGCATTTATGGCGCTTTGATTGAACGTGTGTGAGAAACATTCCGCATGACGCAATTGCAGCGACATGTGCGCGTGTTTGATGAGTTTTTTCTAATGATAGAAATAATTTCATTGCGTTTATTCTTCTCGGCGTGCGAGAGTCGAGTGTGCGCGTTGTTCAAGTGGAACGATTAACGATCCTATTGATTATTCGCTGAATTATGCGCGTCAAGGACGTCTACAATACCTAATAACGCTGGCTTTATGTTTACATTTAGATTGCTTCTCAATTATTTGTATTTTTCTTTCATTTGTGACACGAGACTGTCTAGAGGCGATTTTATGCGGCTTATTTGTTTGTCTACGATCTGCATAAATTATTTAGATCCATCAAATCGTATAAATATTAATATGTTTTATGATTAATGATTTAAAATGTTATGGTATTAAAAAATTAATTAAGTAATCATAGATTTATGTTTAAATAACTTTTGAATAATCAAGAAAGACTATAAAAAGTAATTTTATTGAAAAATAACAAAAATGTTTTTAAATTTTTGATTTATATTGAAAAACAACTGAGATATTCAATTTTTAAACTTTGTATTGACAGTTGACTAGGTGGCGCTGCTGCAGATGTCAAAACTATCACTCTGAATGTTACCAAACTTTAAAAACTTGATTTTAATAAATTTTGCTTCAAAATACATACTAAAATCGTGTGAATCACCAAATTTAATCAGAAATCAATTTCAATACACGATATTATTTTACTTTTGTAAATACCGAAGGTTATAGCAGTGTTTTCCACTCAACAGTGAAATTGCGCCTCTATTCAATAAACAATAGATGATACATGCCGATAAATAATTAATGAAGCAGAGTAATTGATCAATTGTTACATTTTATCTGTTATTACATTCGATTAGCATTTACACAATTGGCAGCACTCACAGATGCTATTATCTTCTATTATCTACTAATTAGCGAGAATGCCATTAGATAGAATTCATAATACCAATTTATAATGCGTCATCACACAACAAAAGTTGAAAGAACCAGAAAAGTCAAGGTTGCAATTAATTTAAATCAAAAATATAAAATTTCGCAGAAATAATTTTTTATATTTTTATAATTAAGTGATTTGACTTAAGTTAAGTCAATAACAGATGTTCTATTCGTATTATCTCCTAAAACTTGTTTGATGATGTATATGTACGCTAACATGATTTGAACTAATAAGTGAATGTAAGTCAGTTGCACTTGCGCATTTTGTCCGATTAAGTCGACTTAACTCCCGGCTAGACAGCGTGTCGCGACGTGTTATGTTACTGCGCGTCCATACTAGGCATCAATGACTTCAATATCGTGTGGATGACGTCGAAGAAAGTGCGATTTGCGCGTTGACAACTCGAAAAAAGTGCATAAAGTAAAAGTTTGCGCTGTTTTTAGTGCTTAACTTTTTCTCAAACACAAACAAAGTGATAGAAATTTTCCATCACAAAGAAAAATATTCGTTTTAACTTTTTAACAATTTTAACTACAAAAAAATCAAGAATATTGCTTTCATTTTCTTTTATCCTGCAAATGTTATGCATAATTGCATTTAAATCACAACACAATTGAATTGTGTTACAATCGAACTGCATCTCTTTGATTTACTACCGCGTGTTATGCAATACTTAAATGTTAAGTAACACATTCAACGTCAATTCAACTCCAACATCAAAGAAACAGTTTCTATCGCAAATAAACACACAGAAAATGTTTATAGTGTACCGCTGCATGCATTGTTTATCGACGCGACCTTTACCCAGAAATTCACTGACCTTTTTTTCGAAATAGTTACGCAATGTGATTTGCGCATGCGCAGCACGAGTGCACGTATTTTACGGGCCACATTTGGACACTTTCGATACGCTACAATAAACATATGCAAACAGGTTCACCGGAGCTGAGCAAAACTTTCCGCTGAATAATTTATGCCGAACAAATCGAACGTTTTTCATTGAATATCATATAATTTTTATGGAAACGTGCGCTGTGTGTTGAATACCTTCAAGGCGGATGTCATTTTGTACTTTTCATGACTTACACGACAACTGGAGGTGAAAAACAATGTTTTGATGTCACTAAAAATTAAATCTGGTTGTAAATTACTTAAAACTGCTTAAAACTCGCTCGAATTTACATAAAAAACAAAACTGCAGACTTGTGAAATACAAGAAACAAAACATAACCTGTTAGAATAGTGTTTAACCTTCAAAAATTGACTTAAATGTATTTTGTGTGTTTTGGAAAGGTGCGAAACAAACCTGACCATGACCAACTATGAAATATGAACCATCTTCGTTAAATTCGCATCTTCACATAATCACTTTCGATCGTGTTTTGTTATAAACTCGCACGATTAGCATAAACGTATTAAGAAACCAGTTTTCTTGTGCATCGGACAATAAAATAATTTATATTAATAATTTATGATTATTGTCTTGGTGAATTAATTTATGCGCCGGAGCGTCTTCGTTATTTTCACTATAAACAACCGGGCGGAATAAATTTGGATGGTTTTAACCGTGACCTACTCAAATCTACAATTTTGCGCTACTCGTATTAAGTTGGGAATAAAATGAACAGAATGGTTGTTTGAATGAGATTTATCTTGCGTAAACAAAATAATCTGCTACGATTGTTACACTGTGTTGTTTGAAATAATTGGGATAATTATTTGTCAACTTGCGGCTTCCGTTCGCGTCAAGGATGTTTTGATGGGTAAATAATGTAAAAGTAGGTGAAATTTGTTGTGAATAATAAGGGCTATGAATAACTTTGATTGTGTTGGATTTTTTTAGTTTTTGTTTGTTTTGAGGTTTTCATTGCGTGTTCGGTGCTTGTACCGCTTCTCAAACACTGATTTTTTAAATTTTAGAGTTTTAAGGAAAATATTTGATTTGCAAATCAAATTCTTGTCTAATTTTGATTATGTTTAATCGATTTTTGATATTTGCGTAGTTTTTGGGTTTTTATTGAGTGTTCGGTGCTTGTACCGCTTCTCAAATATTGATATTTTTAAAAATTTTGATTTTTAAGAAAATATTTACTTTACACTTCAAATTTTTGTGTAAAGTCTGAAATTATTAATATTTAAATGTGGTTTGATGTTTTTATATCTTTTAACACCTTAACCAGGTGAGTAAACATGGGTTTTTCCCTTGGCGAAGAAGTCTTATTCACCAACTTGATGTTTGACTGGTTTTTGGGTGGAAATGACGCAATTCACGCCTCTTTTCACTTGAATTTTATGACATTTTTGACTTTTTAATGTCTTTTTAAATACATATTCATGTTTACACATGGCAATTTAAAATAAGATCAAGTTTTAATGTTAAAGTTCAACTTAATTTTTTTTCTTTTTCTTAAAATTAACTTATTGAAAGCACGTAGTGATAATGTGGTTTTAAAATGTTGTTTACTTACTCAGCAGCTTTGGCCCACGGCCGACACGCTTTGGGGCCATTCTCGAAGACGGCGCCGGCCGTCTGGGAAAATCCAAGGCTCGGCACCTTCCGCTTCCTGGACATCTCGTGCGAGGCCTTCACCTATAAAACCACAAACCATTTAATTACTACAGATTGTAATCCACAATCGATGTATTAATACTCTTTTGGTTGGTTCTTGGAAACAATCATTATTTATAAATTTATATAAAACAAAGAGGTGTTAGTTACAACCTCTATAACTCAAGAATAACTGGACCGATTTTGATGATTTATGATTTTTTGGATTCGTCTTTACTCCAAATAGAAGAATAATTATTAAAATATTAAATTTTTTTACATAAAAACTCAAAATTTGTTTGATAAGTTGAAATTTAGATTTTTGACAGTTTTGACAGTAATCTTCAGATGACATAACCTTATTTATAAGAATAGGTGTAATTTACTTTTTTTTTAACAAATCATGCAAATTTTAGCTCTGAAATTCATGTTAAAAGCTTTGTTTTCCTGTTTTACATATAAAACCTACTCATTTTCTAATCTATATTCCTCATTCCACATTTACCCTGAAAACTTAATCATACCAATCTTGAACTGATGGCTAGACATTATTTTTGCTCTACTCATTTGTTTTAAACGATGGCATGTGTGACCGTGCGTGTTTACCATTCGACCTCGGCGGAATAAAACCGGAAAAATGCATTTAGAATGCTAGTGCGAACTTTTCCTTGCATATCACCTTGCAATTTCCATTTCTATTACAAATTTTAATCAATTAATTAATTAAGTAATAAAATATCAATAAAGTTTCACATTAGAGCAAAAAACAAATTTAAATAAAAATAAAAATATTTTTGCTTTATTTAAATGCTTGATTATTATACATCCGCTCTCAGGAAAACCATAAAATTATCTTTCAATTTAATGCAACTTATGTCCTGATAAAATGTTTTGATGACCTAACAATAAGACGGACTTCCTCGCTCGCTGTAATTTGTAAGTTTGTTAAACTCAAGCCTGTAATTTGCGAGTTTCCTTATGTTTGTCGCAATAATACTTAAGCAAAACATTCAATAAAGAAAAAGAAATATGCACAATATCCACTTTATCTAATTGATTTTATCGATTGGTCAAAGTCTCGTAAAACATATTTAAAAAAAAAGAGTGAAATCATTCCACTCTACTGAATACAATTTGTTTTCTTTCATGTCTTGCAAATTAACAACATTAACCACACTTTAATCGCGTCAAATTACAAACGCTTTAATTTTTTAATTTGCATTATTAAATAATTTCATTTCCAGCCACATTTTCAACTCTTTCTAACGCGATTATCTCGAAATGCAAACACGTTCCGTCAATTTACTTTAATTCGCAAGTAATTGATCAATATATTTACTACAACATCAAAATATTATGTCTATAGTGTTATCCTCGTAATAACAATATAATAATAATATTATAAAGCTGTACATTGCTTTCTCTTTTATATTTCATGCTTTATCATACAAATGATTCAAATGTTTCAATTGAAATCTCCGTATGTGCTGCAGATGGCTACGAATTCTCTCATTTTGCGTTCATGGTGTTATTTGGTGTAATTATTAGCATCAAAAGTGAAAATTAATTTAACACACACAAGAAATAAATAACAATTTAAGTACATACACGTTGTAAACTTCACTCTGATTTGAAATCGTTTATAATGTGCTTTGTTTACGGATTTCAAGGTTATGTTTATGTGTTCACGCTTAAATATCAAAATAAATCGAGAGATTTTAATCATTTTTGCGTGTTTTGTTTCGGAAAGCAACGACCTTCGGTGGAATTCGCATCTCGCGAGCGTGAATGCTCAAAATAATGTTTTTTTCACGCACGTGCAAGCGTGGAAATTAAAAATAATACAATTCGATGCTCTTTAAACAACCATAAAATTAATTTACGAGTAATTACACGTTTTTATATCGGTTGTATTGTTTTTTTGTTGATGCGAGGATATAATTGAGGTTCAGTTCGGTAAAAGATCATTAACCGTCGTAATGACTACTCGATTTTACGCTTGATTTGTTTATTGGCGATTGCAAAGTTTTGTAGGTCAGTTATGATGAAATCTTGCCAAAATAATGACGAAATGTCAATTATCATCAACGGAAATGTAACTAATAATTGGAACAATTTTTATGGATATATTTGAAAGTAGATCAAATATACTTAAAAGCAAAATAACAACAAATACATATTTGAATATTACTTAAGTATTAGTTAACTTGACTCATTTTAAACTGTTTTATAGTTTGGTGTGTTTTAAAATTTTGAGGTTAGAATATGTTGCAATTTTTAATAACATATAATTCTAACAGTTTTTTTTCTAAGTAAAAATGTTTTTATGTTTGTGTTAATGTGGATTTCCTTTCTTAAGAATAGAAATAGTTGAATAATTACAACAATTTCGCAATGATTAAGTCAATTATGTAGACTGCGATGCGTGCTGTAACCTCAAAACTAAGAAATGTAATTTGTAATTGTAAAACGCCGAGTGTGATGAGAAAAATGCCAAAAACCTTGAACAACATTACAAGACGTTTCAAGACACTTGTGCACTCAAGTGTAAATCACATTATACTCAAAGTGACTTAAACCAGTTTGCAATGTTAAAATATTAAATATACTCTATTAGATGTCATAACATAACCTAAGTTTTAAGCTATATGTGAAAAATTAGTTTTTTTATATAAAAATTGACATTTTGTGCTTAAAAATTGATATTTTGAATGAAATTCGATTGGAATTCAGGTCAACGTCAACAACATTTTATTTATCAATGCTCACATTACAACTGTTGCATTGTATGCGCGTGTGCATTACTCTCCAAGCACCAGAACTAAATGGAAAATTAATGTTTGTTGTAACAACTCCCTGATTGTAGCCACAACACTCGCAGATTGATTGTAATAATTATACCTGTATTCGAGATAATTGATACTTTTCAATAAATGAGCAGTGAACAATTACTGATAAACCTATTGGAATATATGTATCATTGAATATCCAATGATAAATTTAATCAGCACTTATATTTGCAATTTTATCAGTACACATAATACGAAATTACGTGCGAAAGAATTTCCCGACAAGTATTCAAAGTCCTTGGACATATTTTCATAGATAAAGTGCATTTTATGTGTTATGTTTTGTCATAAACACTGGAAATTGTCGATTATTTAGTGTTTTTTATGTGTTTAGAAAAAAATTAGGAAATTAACTAAAGTTTGTTAGTTACAACGTTTATAACTCAAGAACGGCTGAACAGATTTTGATGATCTATGAGTTATTGGATTTGTCTTTGTCTCAAATAGAAGAATAATTATTAAAATATTAAAAATTATTACTTGTAGGGTGTTTAATAAGAAATAAAAATTTGTATAGATATTCACTCATAGTTATAGTTCAATATTTTGACTAAAGATGGCGTTAAAATTAAAAAGTATAAATTAATTCAATTTTATCTAAAAACTACATGACGGAAGTCACGAGCAAAAGCTAATTAATGATAAAAATCAGATATTGCTTTAATTTATGCGTGATTCATTCATAATTAAGAATAATTTATTATTATATTTGTTTAAAACCAGTTATGTCATCCAGAAGATGCGTTGTTTATTGTAATGTTAACTGATTACAATAAATTAATTATTAATTTTGTGGTTAAATGGTATTACGAATCTCAATCACATACGATTTTAATAAATTCGATGAAAAGCAAAAAAAAAACTGTAAAAACCACAAACCTGGTTTATAAATATGAATTACACGATTTCTTAAGTTTTCCGTCTGATTGACTCACTAAAAATGAACTAAAAATATACTGTGTACTTGAAATTCTATATTTGGAAATTTACATTTACGCGAATTGCGAATATATTTATAGTAAATATTGATAGTAGTGATAAAATAAAAAGGGTGACCATGTACGGTAAAAATATTATGTAATTTTTGAGAATTTGTTAAACTTACCAGAATATGAACACAGTGCGTGCACAAAAGACCAACAACAAGTGTTCCGATAAATCCAAAGACAAGACCACCATTTTTGAAAGCGTTGGGCATTGCTAAAATACCGGTTCCAAGGGAAGATTTTACGAGATGGATCAAGGAACCAGCAGAACTGCAAATATGAAAAAAATATGAATAAAAATAAATAAAAATAAAACAAACAAAACAAATAAAAAAGTGGATTAGTTAATGGTTAATTTTAATTAATAAATTACCTGTTTGAGTGCTCCGTTGGTCGATGATCGAAAGGTGAATACAAATCATCTTTTTCGTTGATAGTTTCATTACTCCCAACAGGAATTTTAAGGTCTTGTGGTCCCAATTTGGTTCTAATAAAAAATAAAATCAAACAATCAGTAAAGATTTCATTAAAATTATCAAATTTAATACTTTTATCGTGTTATAATACAATATTTTTTTATGACACGTTTTAGATAAGATTCCTTTTTGGCATAAAACAATAAAATATTCAAGTACCTATGGATATCAATGATTATTTAAATTCAAAAAATAAATAACATTTTTTATTATAAACTTACGTAGAACTAAACTGATCCACTGTAAAAGTGGATGGATAACGCTCCTTGCCCTTGTCCTGCATCGTAAATCGACGTCACTTCTGCAAAACAAAACAAAGACACACTTATAAATCAATTGCATCAATTGCAAATATTGAAACATCACTTATTATTAACTTGAAACGCACGCATTGTTTCACTTCCCCATTCTTGCATTAATTTTTTTAACGCAGACGCAAAATCACTATGTATTTCAATCAGTAGGTACTTACGTTATCAACTCACTGATAAGAGGCCATATTTTTTCTTTATCAGACAATTTGATTGAACGTTTATGGTATCAAAGATTTATCTCAAGTGTCGTATTATTATTAAACTTTGTATTTAAATCAACTGATTGCCTTTATTAAAATCTTATCAGATATATGAGTACGTAAAATAATCTTTTGTATGTTTGAATTTGATTATTATAAATTATAAATGAGTAATAGTAAAAAGAAAATCATAATTAATATAATAAATGTGAATTTTAGTTTGTATGTTTGTTTGTTTCTCTTTTACACAAAAACCACTGAAACAATTTTGATAAAATTTGGTATAAATATTCTTTTGACTAAGGAAAAGCAAATAGGCTACTTTTTGTTGCAAAAATTTAACTTTAAAGGTGTTAAATATGGGTTGAAAGTTAATATGGGGATTCATTCATAGTTTTAATTATATAACTTGAATCTAGGTGGCGCTACAGTGCATTATGAGCACTTCTAATTCATTTAAAACATAATTAAGAATCTTATGGACATATTCAGCACATAATAAGTTCATAAAACAAAATATTTCTATTAAATAGAGCAAAAAAATCATCATTAGAGTTGCTTTATAAGTCTCGAGTACTACGTTTATCATTTTTTTGCAAATCGAGGTTATGTAATAAGACCTACACTATAATTTAATATATGAGTATAATACTATGTATTTCTAACTAAAATATCCATGGAAATTTCCTCAATCGTTTAATAAAATATTCCCTAGAACTTTCATCTAAAAATTCTCAAAATTAAAATCAATTTAAATTCGATTAACCGTCGAATACTCGTTATGCTGAGTGTTATTGATTAAGATTAAGACATTCATAACATAAGAGATTAGAACATTATGCATTATAACACGCCGACATCGATTTGTTGTTGTATCTGTATCGCGACGACGCAATCTCGCGACTACCGTGCGGTTGTCCGCCGTTCCGCCGTCGCCGAAGAGAAAGTTATCCATCGAAATCGGTGAAAAATACCGGCGTCCGGAGTCTTTTCGGTCGACACAAGACGCGCGCCATTACCTTAATCTCTTACCTTTCGTACCTTTCTTTTATTGCCGCTTATTACTCACCATACACGGACTTACGAGTAACTCAACCGCACATAGACTAAGTACGCACTTACAACTTAATATCAATTTCAATCTGAAAATTTGCGAATCGTTATAAAAAAGAAATGAATGAAAGTAATTTGGGACGCAAAATGTTTACGATGATGTAAGTCGATGTTACGACTTATAAATAGACGCCGTAGAGGATAATAATGAGTAATTAGCGTTTTGCGAAATAATTTGCATACAAACTCAAGCACATTCCAGCGTGGAGCGCATAAATTATTGATATTTTCATATTTCGTATTTAAAGTCAATAAAAATGGTTGCCTACAATGTTTTTGTCGCGGTTAAAAACAGTAATAAATTTTTATGTAACGTGACTTAAATAGCTATACTTAAATCACTTTTATTTGCAGAATATATATCACACACAATAATAAATATTTCAAAAAGTGACAATAATAGAAATAATAAAAGGTTTAGATCCGGACTAAAGTTTAATCGGAAATTATTATGTGTTTGACTGTGTTTGACTTAAGTCATTCACGCATGATCTTGACACGCGCGTCCGTTTCGGGCGCAAACAATGAGCAACGGTTATTGCAATCCAACAGCTACCAAATTAATCATACGTGCACTTTGTATATTGTTAAATATTTACCATGAGACATTATTTCGCATTTTCTGCATGGTTTTAAGCCTACGTGATGACACATTCGCAAAGTCACGTTAGTTGAATACACAGAATTTAGTGTAATTAATTTATTTTTGTCTTTTTCTTGTAAAATCGATCAAATAAACGAATAAAGATCATTTTTATGGTGGTTTTGTGTTATGGGAGGGCGTAAAGTTAAGATTTTACACACTAGTGCGCAAAAAACTTAGTATTATTAAAATTAAATTAATTATTTGCAATTAACGACTGATTTTTATAAAAATTAAACCTAAAAATGACATTTTTGCCAAAAAAAAATTTAAAAATGACAAAAAGTAAATTTTTGTGTAGTTTTTGAATAAAATAAAATTTTTCCATTAATAAATTATTGAAAAAAAATTTTTCACGCCATTTCCACATTTTAACCGTGTGAATTTAACTACTTTTTTACAACTATTTGTGTGGCAATAAAACGCATCGCAACAAACGTATAAATAAAAACAAAGTAATTAAAGATCGTAATAACTCACATTTCACTGGAATGTTTCGTTTATGTCTCTCGTTTTATCACACTTTCCAACAATAACACGCCAAGCACTGTTCACTAAAATATTTAGTCAACTAAAATTTGGTTAGAATTTGGTAGATTTCATTATAACTTTATTTAATCATTCACTGGTTACTGATGCGGTTTTGAATTTTTTTGTTTGGTGCAGGTTTAAGTCGCGCGCGCGAATTGCAATCAAAGTAAGCGCAGTTGACGTGTGCGCGCGTTTTTCGCACTAACGCGTATCGATACAGGTGTAATAGTTATATACGCGCACGCCGGCCACGAAATTCGCTCGGCGCGGGGGACAACACCGACAACACACTCAAGAGACGCTCGAGAGATTTATTCACCTTCGCTCAGATGGAAGGGGAGCGACTTAAGACACTACTGATCGACAATCGGACAGAAGCCATGCGCAACATACTGTGATATTTGTATATGTACAGGGTAAATAGCGTTTAGTTTCGTATTAAATTAGTTAATTGGTATTTTAGAAATATTTAATTGATAGCGCATGAAAGGGAAATGGTGATTGCTGAAGGTTGTTGGTGTACTTAAGTTAAGTCAATTTAAAGATATATTTCAAATTATAAGATCCAGGATGCAATAAAGAGTGTTGTAATTGTTTGTCAATTGTTTATTGTGCAAGAAATTGCATTCTATGCTATTATTATCCAATTGCAATGGAAATTGTTAGTTTTTACTTATGTTAAGTCAATTGCAGAAAGGAAAATAAGAATTTTATAATTTTAAATTAATAAATTAATTTTTGACGCCATAAAAGTTTAAAATTTAGCATAAAATGCGGAAAATGTAAAATTTGCACAAAAATGTCGATATTTATTATTATAGGTTAGAAAGGAATGGAATTTTGAGGTTATTTCAATGTCAAAAGCAACAAAACGATACATTTTCATAAAAATGCGTTGATTTATTACTTTTATTTACTCGTATAACGAAGTGCTTACTTATGTACTTAAGTATGCCTTAATGTATAAAAGTATGTTAAATATGTTAAATAATTGATTATGGGTTACAATATTAGTTTTTCCAATTGTTAGTTGTGCAAGGACGCCATTTTAGCAATTTGCAATGAAAATAATTACATTCTACTTAGGTTAAGTCAATTTTTGGATAGATAAATACGCATTTTAGAACTTTAAGTTAAAAAATTATGTTAATAGACCAGAAAATGTGCAAAATAACGCAAAAAACTAAAAATGTACCAAAAAATGCTTTTTTTGGGGTTATAGGTTAGAAATGAGTCTATATTTGAGGTTATTTCCATGTAAAAAATACATATTGTCATTATTAACGAAACACATTTGCGCATTTGTACAAAAAAGTATACATTATGTATCACACACTTAAATTAAAGTGAATTTAAGTGAAAGTGAGCGTGAAATGTTATTTTTTTATTGATAACAATAGAAATTTATTCAAACAAAATAATTCCGTACTTTTAATTTGTCAATTTGCTTACTCATGACATCATCTGATTACATCAGCTTTTGTAGTACTTAAGGGTTGTTTATCTGGGTCTGTTCCTTTTGTCTGAGTCGATGACAAAATCTTGTTCAGCCGCGCACGTAGTACGTTTTCTTATCGCGTGTGCCGAGCAATGTGCGCCATTAGCTCGGTGCACGAACATGGCGAGTGAACCTGAAATCGAATTAAAACAAAACTGAATGATTTTACAAATGATGAGATTTCAACATCTGCCTGTGTTTACAATCGGAATCGGCGCTGACAATCGATCATCGAGTACTCAGATCCGTCCCGCGCCATTCAATATCACATTTCATCATTGCGCGATGATAACAATACAATTGTTACAAAACTACTTATCTTAAAGTTTATTATATATGCCATTTGCAGGCGTCAGAACGAATTTGAGTTAATAAATTATTGTTTCATGCAACAACTGATGACACATAGTTTTTTTATATACTCGTAATTGTATGTTTTCTTTTTGAATATATTATATCATCCATATGAATCAACCTTAACCTAAAAATAGGTTAATTACTATTTCCGCTTTTATGTTGTTAAAAGTAAACAAATCACATTGATATGTACAGTTTGTATAATATATTATGCTTTTCACTAGTGTTTTAGATTGTATTTGAGTCATTTTTATTAAAAAAATGAAAGTTTGTAGTTTTTGGTTATAAAACAAGTCATAACCTATTTCGTTAAGATAAAAAATGGCCAAAAATACATTTAGTTGATGCACATATTTATTATTAACAAGTTTTTGAAGTGAATTACAAATTTTTTGAACACTTTATTCAGTAATTTCGTAAATTAAACGTGAAATTTAATTTTGACCGCCAGTTTAGCTGTAGAATAAATCAATAATACAAATTTACAATTAATGCACATTTAGTAAACAAATGTAATCATTAAACATGCATATTTGTTACATAAAATGGTTCAAATAAAATCTGTGAATCACTCAGCTTTCAATAAACAAAGTTTCTAATTTTAATCAATGGACAATCAATCAATCACTATTGATTTCCATACAACGTGCAAACAATGCCGTTAAATAATCCAGGAATAATCAAAGTTTATAGCTGGATATAGCATAGTCAGTAGGATTTAAATTGAAAGTTTCGCGACAAATTACTCTGAATTGATTTTCTATAATAGTTGATGCGTCATGTTGAAAAAATGCGATTACAAAACTACTCTATTGAAAATACAGCTACTTACTTATATTCATAATCGTAATATTTTAATCTGAGCTGTTATCAGATTAAACAATGAATTGTAAAAAGTGCGTGGAGTGCACGGGTAATTTACCAAGTGTACTTTTTAAAAGGATTTATCTGATTTGAATTCAATTTTGAGTACGAGTACTATCAACAGAAATCATTTGAGAGATACTCAAATGTATTTTAAAATAAGCTCAAGTTTGTACTCTTGGAACACTTTAAACAAACGTAAACACCAATTTAGATTTTTAAATTGTAAGATTAAATAATTAATTGAGTTTTACAATTCGGCTGATATCTTAAGAACAATAATTTATTGTATACCGATCCAAAAAGAAAGAATTCTGATATAACTGTTTAACTGTTTAAAAATAAACTAACACTGGGTTTATTCTTTTAAATTTGTTCCGAATTCTCTTATTACCATTTTTCAAGTTGTTTTGGTTTATTTTTATCTAAATATGAATTGTTGATAAATTTTGAAACGTAGTCTAACATAGGCAACTTTTTAAACTCCGCCAATTCTACAGATGTCAATTTGACAGTGTGTAGCACAAGGTCATTGCGGTTTCGTATTTTTCTCCGATCTCAGCCTGTAAACGTTTCTTAATTCACATATGCTAATTGTTAACAAACAAATCACGCTAACAACTCCACCATAAATTCATCTCTAACATGTTGATTGGTCTGCGTCGCCTGGAAGTAAATCATCTCTTACAGCCTTCACATTCTCTCAAAATGTATGGTTATGACCTACTGTTCTAAACTGAATTCCGGCTGAAAAATACGGCAAAAAGTATTTCCAAGACTCCTGAGCATCTCAAGAGTTTGCCATCTTCTGCAGCATGTTTCAGCGTAGTGTAACGCTTGCGAAGCATGTGTGCCAGAGTGCCGTCATTGCCGAACATTGCTGCCTGCTTAACTTTCGTAAGTTTTTCATACATTTCTTTAATAAATCAACAAAAACCTGGTTAAACTGTTATAATTATAACTATTTAAAGGCATTTCTGGTAAACTCAAGTATTATCAATGCATCCAGCATGTAGAGTATCAATGTGTGAGAAGATTCTCAGAAATAGTTGACAAAAAGAACCTGAATGTGAATGAAGTAAAGAAAGTCAATGTTGACCAAAAGGAGAATCATACTGCTATTATAGATGTAATTGCGCCAAAACTAAGGGAAGATGCTAAAGCTGCTGGCCAAGGGCAGAATTTGAAAACAACTGCAGAAGATCAGAAACTGTTGAAGGATGTGACTGAAAAAAGATTAGATGCTCCTTCTACCGTAAATATGAGTCCTCCAGCAGCAGGAATTGCTGATAATATCATGAAGGAGCCAATAAAGAAACTCAAAGAAAAGATTCTCCCTAAAAAGAACATAGATGAGATAAAAACCATTGAGTTAGGTAATAATTTCTTATAACTTTCTTAAAACTTATAACTTTTATTTGTTCATATTTTACCATTTTAACTTTATAATTAGATGTGGTAGGAACACCGCAAGCCAAAAAACGCAAACGAGTGGATTTCACCGCTTCAAGTCTTGAACGAAATTTCATCACACCAGTGAGAGCAATGTCCGATTTCCTCCTGAAACCATCCGATTTGGAAGCTCTTCCTAAGACAAAACGACGCTCGCCATATGAATCCGAACCACCCATCACCGTATACTGGCGTAAAGATGTCGAAGCGAAAGCATTAGACGTCTGGGGTTCGAAAGATCTTCTTTTGAAGGAGGTTATCAAGCGAGATATTGAACGGAAGAAGTATCAACAGAATATTTTTACTGTTAAGCGACGATTGAGGGATTACCGAAGGGAGATGGGCAAGTTTACAGAAGTCAGTGTGGAGAACGAGAGTGGATTGATGGGTAGAAGTGGGAAAGTGGTTTTAATGGCTGTTGGAATGTATGAAATTAAGATTTTATGTTGTTAACTGTGATTATTTTGTTGTTTTTGGTTGTGTTTCAGTAATATGACGAACTTTTTGTTCAAACTTGGAGCTTGGATCTTGACAGGGTCGCATTCGTTGTTCTCGGAGTGTATCCATTCTCTTGCTGATACTATTAATCAAGTGATATTGGCGTATGGTATACACAAATCAGTTCAGGTATGTTGGGTTTAATAAAATGCTTAAAATTGAGAAAAGAGTAAAAAACCACAAATATTTGCTTGAAAGTGAAAGAATTGAAGTGTTTTTCTTTTCTTTTTAAGTTTTATAATGATTTAATGTGTTGATATTTAATGTTATTGACTTAGATAGCAGATTCTACGCATCCTTATGGATACACCAACATGAGATACGTCGCCTCATTGATTTCAGGCGTTGGTATTTTTTGTGTGGGCACTGGATTATCAGTTTATCATGGAATTTCCGGTTTGATTGATCCTCAACCAATGGAAGATCTCTTTTGGGTGCGATATTAGTTCATTACAATTAAATTATCTATCAAAATCAATGTAAAAGTATCATAAAATTGTAGGGTTATTGTATCTTGGGTGGTTCTTTAATTTCTGAAGGTGCAACCTGGTATGTCGCCTTTATGTCTATCCGTAAAGGCGCAATTGAATGTAAAATGTCCATCCGAGACTACAGTAAGTCTTCTGCGTCTTGAAATTAACTTTCTATATAAAATAATGTTTGTATAGTATTTAGAGGACAGGATCCAAGCGTGAATGTAGTTCTCCTCGAAGATGCCGCAGCTGTTATTGGTGTAACTGTCGCCGCGACATGCATGGGTCTCTCTTCATACTTAAATAGTCCAATACCCGACGCATGTGGGTCACTATTAATCGGTGGTATTCTCGGCACTGTTGCTTCTTTTATAATTTACACAAATGTGGCGGCGCTTGTTGGCCGGTCGATACCCGAAGAGAATTTAGACAAGATCAACGCTGAACTTGAAGCGGATGTGATGATTCGCGCGATTCATGATGTGAAGGGTATTGATATGGGGAACTATCTGGTGAGGTACAAGGCTGAGATGGATTTTGATGGCAGGGAGCTAACGAGGGCTTACCTGGATAAGCAAGACTTGAACAGTTTATTAGAGGTTTACGATTTTTATTCTTCTATATTCACATGTGCATATAATTAGTTAATTTCATTATAGGAGGTGCATAAGTTTGAAAATATTGATCAACTGGAAGAGTTTATGTTGAAACATGGTGAAAGCATCGTGGATATGATGGGAGGTGAAATAGATCGGATTGAAATGAAATTAAGGGTTTGTAGAGTGGCCAACATTCTAAAATTTTTGCTAATATTGCTTTTTTGTTTATTTCATTGTAGAAGAAGCATCCAGAAATTAGGCACTGTGACCTGGAGATATTATAAACTCTAATTGTCTGTCTAGTCGAGGACAATAATGTGTATATTCGTGACAATTTCGATTTCTTAAGAAGCGCGGCTTTTCCATTTGTTACGTTAGCGAATTTACGAAATTTCTTTTGTTTTATAGTTTTTAGGTAACCTACAAGTACGAGTTAGGGTGTACATTGATACATTAATAACATTGTGATCCTTCTTTTAAGCTAATAGCGAAATGTTGTATCCTAAGTGATGAAAAAAAAATGAGAGAAAACGGAGCAAAATTTATTTATTTATACTGAAATATATTTTGATCAAATATTGTATCACTGAATTTCTTATTTTTTAGTTTTAGAACTTTTACATCGATAAAAATCACCGAGTTTTGTTTCAATGACTGAGCGTAAGGCAGCCTCCACTTCATTTTGTGTTCAGGACACCGTACTAGGGTAACGGTAGAAGTGACTCGTAGCACCGTACAAGGGCAGCCGTAGAAGTGACTCATGTTCAAGGCACCGTACGAGGGTAGCGGTAGAAGTGACTCATGTTCAGGGCACCGTACGAGGGTAGCGGTAGAACTCGTATTCAGGGCAGCGGTAGAAGTGACTCGTGTTCAGGGTACCGTACGAAGGTAGCGGTAGAAGTGATTCGTATTCAGGTTCTCATATAGAGAATTTTCCAATCTTCCATAATCTATAATTTTCTGGTTGCTATCTCTTTTAGTTTAGAAGATATTCACTGTCTAATATCGTGAAAATAAATTATCTAGCATCCGCCCTTGCCCATTTTTTATTATGAATTAAAATTTCATCTCTTTAATTTCCAATTTACCTAGCTTATTTTAAAACAAATTAGATTAAGACTCTGCAATTCGATCCTTTCTATCTCTTTTAGTTTACGAGATATACGCATTTGAAATAAATCGTCAAAAATTGAAAAATGCAATTTTTAACACTTTCAGTCGCGTTTTTAGACCTTTTACCGTATTTAATTAAATTATTTTAAATTTCCATCTGATAGAGAATTTTTCCTTTGTGCTTGGGCAAGTATCTTTTATCACACCATTTCGATACTCCGCACAGAATGTTTGTTTTTCTCCGATGTGTGAATATAATATTATTGCATTGTATCATACAATATCACCTTTGATGCATATTTGATAAAATGTGTTTTGAATTTAAGCCTGCCGTTACTAGATAGGTACGTAGTCGGTTAGATGGCACTACGATGCACGTTTTCGCGTTAAATATTGCTTGTCGGTGGTAGTGAGTGCACACCTGTCCGTGTGCGATCACGCGATTTCGCACAAGAGATAAGTTTGTTTACCTGCAGATATCGAATCTTTATTTCTTGGAATAAAATCACATCTTGTTGTTTATATTGGCATCGTAAATTTTAAGCAAGTATTCTTCAATTCTTAAATCATGAATATAACTAACAATTTTACATTAGGTGGAATAGTTTATTATAAAAATCATCATCAGCACAACATTTTTATCATCAGCAACTTAAGCAGACTAACTACTTAAGCAGATATCACTTAAATAATTGATGTAAAATCTGGTACTCCGTCAGCATAAGAAATCATAATTACGCAAATCGAATTTTAATTTTTTACTTTAATTAGTGGGATAATACTATTTTAGTCTGATTCTCTCACAGTGCAGTGTTCTGAAGGTTTCAGTTCTACTACTGCGTGTGAACTGCACACATGAATTTTTCCTTTTTGCCCTTTAACCCGCATTCAATGAAACTACTGATTTCTAGCAAATTTGAACATTTCTCTGAATAAATGTTGACTCCATCTTGACCTCTCTTATCGATTCAGGTCAATCGCAAAATGTTGCCGAGGTATTTAAATCAATCCCTCGTTGTTCTCCACAGATTCATAGCCAACAAACAAATGTGATTTTAGTCAAACACATCAAGTGCCATCCTCAATAACCTAAGTTAAAACAGTTACAATGCATTTTTCTGCATTTATCATCCTCCTGTTGCCAGTTGTTATAAATGGCGGTTTGGCGGGAATAAAAGTAGCCAATCTACAATTACGACCAAAGGCAAGCTGTGACTACATGCCAGAGAATCGTCAATATGATTGCCGCAACATCGTCGATAAGTTCCCCAACGTTTTCTATGGTAATTATCACCTCAAATGTACTGATTGCTCATTACCTGTCTTCAAGAAGGAAGCATTTCCTCACAACAATGACCTCATCAGTTTCAATATGACAAACAGTGATATTCAAGCTATTGCCAAAGATGCTTTCCAACATTTAACAACTCTACAATACATTTATCTACAAAACAATGCATTGAAACGCATTGATGAAGGTGCATTCAATGGTCTAAGACAAATTTTCGAATTACATCTTGATCACAACGAAATAAAAGACCTAAAACATGGATTTGTGAATGGATTTGAAGCAAATTCACTGTTTTTGAGCCATAATCTGATTGAGGAGGTACCCAACAAAGTATTTGAAGGTATTTATGGTGCAATGACTCTGGACCTGTCCCATAATAAGATTTCTACATTACACAAAGACTCCTTTGAGTTTCTGAAAGGTTTAGAATATTTAGACCTACAAGGAAATAAATTATGCAACCTTCCACTTGGTGTGTTCAAACATATCAGACTATTGAAGGATTTGAACCTGTCAGAGAATCATTTCAAGCGCTTCCATCTTGGGACATTCTCTGGTTTACCTAATCTATATGCACTGAATCTAACCCATAATCCATTGGCAGTTGTTGATCCTGCAATGTTGACATCAATGGAGAATATTAGTGTTTTGGATGTGACTGACACTGGCATTGATTTTGTTGATGCGATGGAGATTCATGGAAGTGCTCCACAGTTGAAACACATTGGACTTGCTGACAACCTGTGGAATTGCAGGGTTTTACAAAACATCATTCAGTACCTAAGAACTAAGCAGATGGTTGTGATGGAACATCATCATTATGACGTGACCAACATCAAGGGAATCGCTTGCACGAATCAAGCCATTACAGGCGAAAGAATTCCATTCGATGTGTTTTTAAAGTATGTTAGACGACAGACCGATGAAAGTCAGAAAAATATCTGTTAGAGGTTATGTTTTAAGGTTATGTGTTCAATACATGTAGAATTTATCATTAGGTTTATTTCACGTTGAAGTTTTTGGGAGGAATATAAGTGGATTCCGAATTTCTGTAATAACCATTTAAACCCACTTAAAATTTCATCGCATATTAAAAAGTTTTCCATTTTCGTGGCGGTGGTAGCACGTTCTTTTTAAATTTTTCGTGTTTCCACTTAAAAAATTCACCCTTCGCGGGGTTTGCCTCATCCCTCATTCACTCCGCGCCACTTTCCACACAGTTGTGGCGTCCGGGGAAGTTGGAACGTTACCGCATTTACCATAACGGGCTAAAAGCCAAAGTTCGCTCGTGGCTGGCGTGGCTTTCTTTCCACTCCGCGAAGGCTTTTACGCGCCTCCTTAAAATTTTCCATCCGCGCCGCGGGATAATGCAAATGTGCAGGAGCCGGCGAGGCGAACATCCAAATATTTACACTTTCGAGTCATCGATTATTAATTTCAATCAACGCACACGTGCACACACGTGCATTCGCGATGCGAGCAAACACGGAGAATTGGAAACTATGCTTGCGTACCGAAACCCTCAACCCCCACTACCCGGAAAACCACCTCTTCGTTATGGTTTGCTCGGAAATTCATTAAAAATCACACGCATAATTCAATCGGGAGCCATCTTAAGTTTTTTGCTTTCAACCGGAAATGTATGAAGAGCAATGGTAGGGTTTGCAAAACGTAAATATAGTTTTAATTAATTAGCAGACGTCCTTCACCGTCTGCGAATAAATATTGAATGTTTAAATGTGAAAATCAGGGATTCATTTGCTCACAACCCGACTGCGTGTACTCGTTTTACTCGCTCGTCCTTTTGTGGAAATATTTTATATTGGTATTCTCGGCTCGTTTCTGTTTGCGCAAGTTTGCCGTCCGCGTACAATTTCCCATCTAGGAAAATAGAAAAATTGGCCGGACGCCGGCTGCAAGGTGAAAAATAAAATCCCAAGTTGTTTTTCTTATTTAGTCGCTGAATTTTGTGCCTTCCACGGTTAGTTTTCCGTCGTAATTTACCGGTCTTAGCACACGCAAGTATGGGTGTAATTCTTATAGTTTTTCCGGTTACGCTTTTCCCTCGAGCATTTTTTTAGTTTCTCGCTGCGTCGCGCAGAGATTACTTTTCATTGAGATATATTTCGGTCGCAGTAATAAAACTTCCTAATATAAAAAGCCAAAACGGAAGTCACAATGTTTTGTAGTTTGTGTAGTTTGGAAACAAATATATAACGTGTCAATTGTAGGTTAAAATTGGCTTGAAATTTATCGACAATATAATTTCGAGGTTATGTTGTTTGTCATCATAATTTGCGTCGGTTCTCATCAACAAAACGACTTTGAACGGCTGCTCCATCATGTAATAACAAATAACGACATGCTGCGGCCTTATCTCTGCTTTGATGTCCACAACCCTAACCTCACTTCAGTCCTGCCGTACTGAAACACTGGCGTAGCGCCTGCTCCTAACGACATCGGCATATGTCTCACTAGCGTGCGATTTTTCTCTCTTCTCTCGACTGCACTTCGTTGTCGGGGTGTCTTTTTGGCTGGTGGCAACATGTCTTAAATTTGCATATCTAAAATGAATCTCATTTTGCAAGATGGCAGGCAGGTCCTCGAAGTCCTGCCGGAAGGCGGCATCAGTCAAACATCTCGCTCGCCGCCGCCGCACGCGCGTTCTTTTTGCTACTTTTTTGCCATTCGCTGCCACTTTGTTCCCGCGGAGAACGTTTGATTCCTTTGAGTCTTCGCAGACACGAGCTGAGCGCGCGACGCGAAGAAGATTGTCATTTTTAAACGAGTCGGACGTGATGTATCTAACGAAATCTTTATATCTCTAGCTTCATGTACTCACAGGACTCACAAGATGTTAAAATAAGTTTAAAAAACATCAAAAACTCAAAGTTGACATTTTTTAATTTTTAAAATTTTTGAGGTTAAATTTATTTGTTTTGAAGATTTATTAGTGTAAAAATATTAAACACACTGTATATCGATTAAAATGCTTTCTTCCGCGCGTGAAATTTAACATTTTTACAGCGATAAAAGAACAGTGTCGTTATCGTCATCATGCGCTCGTAACAATCCTCCGTCTTGCTCCGTCTGCGTCGGTATAAACCGGAAGCGGATCATGAAACGTACCGAATTGTTGAAAACGCGCACGTCCCGCGTCTCATCCTCGTGAGCAATGCACAATTTTCACAAGCCATCAACCCAAACCAAAGAAATTTCCACGTTTTTTGTCTTCAAATACAAAACGTTTAAATACTTGAAGTTAATAAATTTATGAATTGCTCCTTGGATGACATGAGATTGTCAAGATGGCCGCCATGTTGCACTTACCGCGTCGTTATTGGCAATTTCCCGCGCACTAATCCATCGCGTCGCAATATAACCTCACTTGAAGTTTGATGTTTTTTTCTTGCCTTTTGGTGGCGGTTTTCGCATTGTCTCGCACGCGCGAAGACGTCGTTAGCTCGTTACCTTGTTACCATGCGCGTAATCTAATGCGATGTCGCGTAATGGAATGTAATATGGCGACATGGCGAAGCGCCGCCGGCTCGAGTGCACTCGCAGCTCTAGCGCAAACGAAAATTAAACGATTATTGCATGCAGTGCAATTTAAAATGACAAAGTGTTATCGTCTCAGCTTAAAATCGATTCCTATACACTCGTATTTGCATATCTTTTAGTTAGGTTATGTTATCTTGCGCTTCTTTTTAGGTTATATAAGGTTATTGTGATTTTTGCTTCGGCTGGAAATTTATGCGGGGTAATTTATCAACGCGTGAGAACCGTGCCGGCGATATAATCCAGCCGTCTTAATTTTGGAGTAAACGTCGTTCAATAAGCAGCTATCGCGGCTCCCATGGCGGCCACCCCTCAGGGTGGGCCGAGTTAAGGAATGCATTTAAATTGAGCCTTAAAGACAGTCCCTATCCATCAAGTGGCATTGAGTTATCCCGACGGGACGACTGCGGCACGTACGCAGCTCTCATCCCTCTTGCCGCCGCCCCCGAACCGCCGCCGCCGCCGTGCCCACCGACCGGAAAAACAACTTTACTCCGCTTTAAAAACCGCCGTCTAACGTTTACATTTCTATTTTCCGCATCCTTCTCGGCTTCCTCTTTTACTCTTCTTGGTTTTTTTTTTTGCTTCGAGATTCTGAATGTTGGAAATGCTGGATGTTTGCCGTGCCAGGTTGGAGCTACTACAAAGACGCAGCAGTAAACACACGTCGAATTGTAAAAGAGGCGTAAAGACGAAAAAGGGATGCGGAGCATGTCCGCTCGCCAGACGCGCGTCCAGACTCAGACTAAACACTGCGGGAAAGCAGGAAGACCAGTAAAAACATTCGTGGAGTAAATAGAAAGAAGAAGGTTTTGTGTTGTTTCCGCTAGTTTGTAGTCTGTTTAGTGCATGTTGTGTGTGTTTTTTTGTTTTGTATTTCTACAGCACCAAAACAAGAGAAATCAATTCAGCAAACAGACTTGGAAATTGCAAGCAAACAATCAACGCTGTTCAACACCAGCGCCATCTTGAATTTAACCTATAACCTATTACATCACCTACTGCACCTTAGTTTTTATTAATTTTTGTAGCAGCTGTGGTAAAAATAAACTCAGAGGAAGTTGATTATCGAATTTCCATAAAACTAGGCGTATTGCTGTATAAATCATCGCGCATATTGCTCACGATGTAAAACCGCAATGCAAACATACGTCATTATCAACACAGGATATAAATCAACTATAAACCACAAAGTTGGCTCATTTCTTCTCGGGCATTAGAAGCCACAAGTTGAAATAATAAAATTTTATAGTTTTTATACCTAAAAAATCAAAAAACATGAAATCCATCAGGTTTTTTCTAATTTTTGCGCTTATTTTAAGTGTGACACATACAATAGAAGTTTCTGGATTAATACTACCAAAGAAGAATATTGTGGCACCTATAGCATGGGGACTTCCTGGTCTTGGTGGACTACGTTACTGCCCGCAAGGATATCGTCTCATCCTGCGTCGTTGCCGCCGAATAATCAAATTTAAACCATCTGCGAAAATTAATTAAGAATCTTGAATGTTTTGTACTTGTAAGTTTTTGACTTGGATATAAAGTATTTCTGATTGCAACTTGAACGCTTTGTGGAATGTTGGCTAATTAAGTAATTAATCTTGAAAATTGAATGGATTAATAAAAGGCAAATCATATTTGTACGAATCGTACGATCGGGCGTATCGCAATCGCATAATTAAAATCGCCGAGCGGAAAGTTTGCGCTCGGGCGTCCTTTCGCCGTCTCTCATTCCAGGAACCACACAGGAGTAAGAGCTGGAGCAGCCAACAGGTTGTTATGTTACGAGCGGCAGCAGCGAGCGGCGGCCCCGATGCTTTGCGCGCTCGCCTGCTTCCGTATTCAAATTCGCAGCGGTGCGTGAACTTGAAATTCGGTCGAAAGGAGAAATTCGAAAATTCTGCGTGCTGAGTATATTTGAAGAGGTATTTTTGATTAGCTGTGACTTGGGCTTTTATTACCAGCCACGTATATATTTTTAATATTTTAGTACTGCAGAAATTGGGGTCTTTTTAAAATATTTGCATTTGATAAATGCGTGCTTATTATTTAAAAAAAATTATATTGCGATGTGGAAAATTTAGTTTTTGAAATCAGTAAAACACGTTTTACAAGCGTGAAAATGAGTTTTTTCAATAAATATTTGCAGTATTATCACTTTTGATTTTTTAAAATAGGATTTACTGAACTGCTGAGGTAAATTTATTGATTTTAATGGAAATATTTAATATTTAAACACTTTAACATGAGTGTTTTGTTGTGGAATTTGATTTGATAAACTCTATAAATACTGCGCTTCACTTATTTGCTCACCAGTACTCGTAGGTCCGGAACATACCGCTGCAATCATGTTTCAACATTCGATACTAAAACTTTTTGTACTTGCAATTTGTCTCTATGAGGGACATGCTTCACTTTTGTGTAACCTCACTACAGATGACTACAGCCATGAACTCAGAATTGATTTCGACAATATTGCTAATAGTCTTAGACTGCAGATAACAGACAAAGGTAAATTTATTTTTTATTTTTATAGTAATTTCTTAATTTTAATATAATTCACATATTTAGATGGTAATATTAAACAACAAGGACTTCTTGGACTTGGCTCTAACCTTGGTTCAGTTAAAATTAACCCAGAATCAGGTGGTTGTTTCGTTGTATCAGAATCAGGTGTATCTCTTAACTTGGTCAATAAAAACAATGTTTTTGAGATAACATGGAGAAGTAATCAGTCGTCATCGGCAACATTCCAAGATTGTTTCGATTTGGAACGAACTAAAATGAACTGGTTTGGTGGTCCTGAAGTGTTTAATCAAATGTGGCCGATTGAACAGATTGCACTTAATGATATGGTCAACATGCCTCAAGAAAATAATTTTGCTGCTATAACCGAAGGTTACTGGCTAAATTCTAGAGGAATCTATATTTATGTCCATGACAAAGTGCCACTGTTTATTGACCAGAATTATCAAAAAATGGGTTATGTATGTTTTTCCGCTAAGGTTAAAGCACCTTATCGGGATAGAGATGAACTAGTTTTGAAATACACTATCGGCGCGTTTGATAATCCTAAAGTAGCTCACATAAATGCTGTGGAAACTTACCTAGGGAAACCAAAAGGTATATTAGATTAATATTTTTTTATATAATCAGAATAATTATGTTTTTTTTGTTTGGTTAGGTCATCCTAACATGGCTATCATTGAGAATCCAATTTGGTCCACCTGGGCTCGGTATTACCGTGACATAAATGATGAAATTATCTACAATTTTGCACAAGAAATCGCTAGTCATGGTTATACAGGTCAATTTGAAATTGACGATGATTGGGAGGTAATAAATTTATAACCTAACCTCAAAGCAATAGCAAATATACAATAAATACAAAAATGTTTACCATTTACAGACTTGCTATGGTAGTTTGGAATTCAGTCAAAAGAAATTCTCCGACATTAAAAACACTTTACAAAAAATCAAAGATTTGGATTTCCGTACCTCACTATGGATCCATCCATTCGTCAACGTTGAATGCAAGGAATCTGCTGAATATGGCCTGAACAATAATTATTTCATCAAAAATTGGGATAATTCAACACTTACCAGTTGGTGGAATAGTGGTCGTGATCAAGCACACCACCTGGATTTCACTAATAAGGACGCTGTTGCATGGTTTAATGAAAGATTAGACAAATTAAATGATTTAGGTCTTGACACGTTCAAATTTGATGCCGGTGAGAGTTCCTGGGCACCTCAACCTCCATTATATTCTAATGTACCAAATGAAGACTCACCACAATGTTTAACATCAGCTTATGTAAAGAATAATGCAAAATATGGTGACGCTGTTGAGGTGCGCAGTGGGTGGCGTACTCAAGAAGAGCATCTTTTTGTTAGAATGATTGATAAAGATTCTAATTGGTCTGGTTCAAATGGTTTGTATACACTGATCACTACCTTGTTAATGATGAACATGAATGGGTATACGAATGTGTTACCTGATATGGTTGGTGGTAATGGCTATTATGGTAAACCTAGTGCTGAATTATTTGTTAGATGGCTTCAAGCAAATACGTTCATGCCAGCTATACAATTCAGTTTTGTTCCGTGGGATTACGAAAATCACACTGAGGTAAGCCATTTTGGTGGTACCCTTACTAAAACATTAATTTTTATTGGTTTATAGTTTGATGTCGTAGAAATTTCCAAAAAATTTGTTAAACTGCATAATAAATACGCTCCTGAAATCAAGAAAGCTATGGAAAAGAACATCGAAGGTATTCATCCAGTGAATGGCCCAGTATGGTGGGTGGATCCTGAAAATCCAGATGCCCATAAAGTAGCTACACGTAATTTTAACCAAACATAACCTCAAAATATTTACTTAACCATGAATTTTCATTCTAGAATATCTTCTTGGTAGTGACATTGTCGTAGCCCCTGTAATCATGGAAGGAGAAAGCACAAGGGATGTCTTCATCCCTAAAGGTACCTGGATTGATGGTAACACAGGCACAGAATACGAAGGTCCTCAAACAATCAAAGACTACCCGGCACCGATTGATGTGCTGCCATATTTTACACGAAAATGGTTTGTTTATAAAGAATCGCAAATAAACAACATTTAATATAGCGTTATATGTTAACCTTTGACCTTGTAAACTTCTGATAGCAAATAATCATTTTAATATACGAACAAGTCTTGATTTTAGTCTGTAGTACACCAGCACACAAAATGGCGTACAAAAATATAACTATTTTATTAATTGTTACTCTTCTGACTCTTCAATTGGTACCATCTTCTGAAGCTGGAATTAAAAAGTTCTTCAACGATGCTGTGCAGAAAGTGAAGAATATTTTTAAATGTGAAAGTCATGAAAATGAAGATGAACATCTGAACGCAATTAAAAAAGATGGATCTGTCAATACTCTTGATGGTAAGTAATAATTACTTATCAAATTTGTATTGTTATTAAATAAATTTTAATTTCTTGCTTAATTAAAGGTATAGGTGATAGTAAACCAGTTGAGGGTAGCACAACAAAACTTCCCAATATAGACATAAGAATCCAAGAACCCGACGCGGATTTTGAAGAAATTGACCTACAATCAAGGGTTTTAATCAACCCACCACCAAATTGCCCACCTGGTCAAAGAAAAGGTCACGATGGAGTCTGTCGTCAAGTTGTTTAATCACAAAAATCATATAAATTCTTGTAAATAATATTTTGTCACGCGCAGAGTGATTATATTCTCGTCTTAATAAAGCAAATAAAGCAATGGATGCAATAAACTGAATATCAGTGTTGATTGGCCACGCCGCGTCGCATCATCAATTGACCTTTGACATTCTAAAGTTGAGCTCATCTTTGACGAATAAAAAGCAAAATACAGCGCAAAACAATTATTATATCCTCTTGTACATTCAATAACAGACAACAATGTTGAAGATTAATATTTTTGTGATTTTCCTTGTGTTGCTAAATGTGTTATGGACTGTTCAAAGTAATGACGATTTTCTTTTCCCGGATGACTTTGAAAAGCGTAAGAAAGACATCGTTACAGACTTTGAATGTAAGTAAATTAATTTTTAATTAAAATTTTAAAACGTAATAATTGAATTCATTTGTAGCCCGAAACAATATGGCTGAATCTGATGAAACCACAAGTAAGTTGATGCGAAATTTGATGAAGTAGTCCCAGTAGTAAACTTATCTTTCTAGATATTATCATAGAATCAAGAAGATTCATAACAATGGATTGTCGAAAAGGATACAGAAAAATCAATGGGAAGTGCCGACCTATAAAACCTAGACATTAAACCGAATCATTCAAATCCAGTATTTTAGGTTAGTTTGGGACTACTTCTCGTATTCATTATCTCCACTAATAAATAATTAATATTTCAGCTGTAATATTATCTAGTAGGTTTCTACTAGGCGTACCATGTAAAAGTGGTTATATAAGAAGTGGGGGTAGGTGTCGCAAGATCAACTATATGAACTAAATCTCTCATCCGATGTGAATCCTTGCAACATTTAACATTTAAATGAAAATAGGAATATCTAGTTTTGTAGTGAGTGCATTGTCCTCATACAACCCGCTCCATTTCGATAACCTCTCACCAGTGTGACATCAATAAACAAAGCGGCGTTAGAAAAATTGAAGCGTTTTTAAAGCGCTGTGGTTGTTGATTTCATGCCCAGAACGAAAATGGCCTTCCAAGCAATCGGTTTAGTACTCGTGTGTTTGATCATGGTCCTTTCTGCTGAAGGACAGTATAAGTTACCGGTACCATATCAAACTCAACCATATCCACAAGCGTATCAACCCATATATCCAACGGGGTATCAGCAACAGCAACCTTATCAGTATACTCAACAATGGCCGTACCAGCAAGTGCCTATACCTTATCAACCGTATCAGGGATACCAACAACCGAATTATCCGATTCTTAGAAACCCGCAGATTTTAACTGGGGTTAGGACCTTACCATATGGATATAGAGTGGAACCTTTGTCTCCTCAAGAGCGGGATGAGAATGATATTATTAGTGGTGTGCCATATTATCAGACACAGTATCAGAATGTGATACAGAGTCAGAATTATCAACCACCACCTACACCACAAGTTCAACCTCAACCAGAATCTGAATCTAAACCAGAATTATTACAACCAAAACAAAACAATCAAGATTTAACCTTAAAAATGCCAGAAACAAGAATTGAATATTCAAAACCTTCTTATACTGTTGAAATAGTAACATCCTCACCAGCTGAATATGTGGTACATGAAGAAAACACCAATACTAAATATACTAACAACAATAATAATAGTTTGGTGTTCCATAAAGTGAATAACAACGCATTTAACACTACTGTTCGAAAAATCTTCACTACAGATGGTAGCAAATCAGGTATGAAGGTCTATACCATCAATATTGTCAATGGAGTTGAGGTTACCACCACAGAAGACCCCAATGCTATTGGTAACAATAACTTTAATGGTAATCCAAGTGACCAAACAGTAAATAACTCAAATGGTGCTAATGCTGTTGATACCGAACTTGAAGAAAACAATAAAGATGATGATGATGATGATGATGATGCCGATGATAATAATGCAGAAGAAAAGAAACCGAAGGCTACTTTTTCGTGGTTCGCATTATAAAACAACACTTCTTGGAACAATATATTTTGCTAGTATGTAAATAAAATAAGAATTAGTTAACGTCAACATTATATCACTCATGTCATATTATTAATAGAAATAGAAATAGTTTAAATTGTTGTTTGCGGCTGATATATAAGTATAACTATTGCGATTGTTTGATTACATGAAAGTACGAGTAAATACTTACATGAAGTTATTATGAAGTTTGTTTTTGTTTTTTGTGGAGTTTTGATGTTGTTTTTGGCAATTAGTGGTGGAGATGTTGAGAAAAATGTGGAAACTACTACGAAATTTTGTGTAATTTGTGCTGTGGTAAAGTGGTAAGTATTAATTTAAAGGGAAATTTGGTTATGTATTGAAACATAACCTATTTTGTCACGTGGTGTGACACGTGGTGTACTACTGTCAATTTTCTAACCTTATTTTGTTTCAGATTTTGGAAATGCTATTCGAAACCTCAACTTCAAGCAAGAAAAAGAAGATTTTCGGTTAGTCAACACACTAACCGAGCAATTTTACAAAAATGAATTTTTAGAGTTGTCATGTCATTTTATTAACAGAAATAGTTTAAATTGTTTTTTACGACTGATATATATGACTATACTATTGCGGTTGTTTAATTAAAAGCAAAAGTAAACACATGGAGTCAATATGAAGTTCCTATTTGTTTTTTGTGGTGCTTTTTTGATGTTTTTGCCAATTTTTGGCAGAGATATTGAGACAGAAAAAAATACAGAAGTGACTTCCAAGTTGTCAAATCAAATTGTTGTAATTGGTGCTCCATCGGATGATTGCCCTCGTGGGCAACGTCTGGATCAGAATGGGAAGTGTGTGAATGTTGATATACACTTAACCGGTTAAATATCATTAAAACTAGTAAATATCTATTGTTTTGTAAATATAATTATGTCAATTTTTCTAACCTCATTTTTTTAAATATTGTTTCAGCGCCATTTCTAACATCAACTTTAAGCAAGAAAACCAATGAACTAACAACTTTAAATACCACAGGAAATTTTAAGTCTGTTTACAAACTAACACAGTAATTCTTCGAATATATATTATTAGTGTCCAAAGAAAATATTTACAATTTTTACATGTTAGATAACGCCATGTTAATTTTATTAATAGAAATAGTGTAAATAGTGCTTTTGGCTCATATATAAGCTAAACTGTAGCTAATATTTAATCACATACAAAAGAAAATGCATGGAGTCAGTATGAAACATTTTTTGGTTTTGTGGTTGTTATTTTCCGCAACGGTGTGCAAAAATATTTCTGAAGTACAAATTGGCTTGCTGCTAAACGAGGAACTGTTGTTGGAATTATCTATCAAACCTGTGATTGGTGCTCCATCGGATGATTGTCCGAATGGGGAAGGGTTGGATCAGAATGGGGATTGTGTAAGGGTTGATGTAGGGAATGTTGTACATGAATAAAAGTGGTAAGTATTAATTTAAAGAGAAATTTGGTTATGTATTGAAACATAACCTAATTTGTCACATGGTGTGACACGTGGTGTACTACTGTCAATTTTCTAACCTTATTTTGTTTCAGATTTTGGAAATGCTATTCCTAACCTCAACTTCAAGCAAAAAAAAGAAGATTTTCGGTTAGTAAACACACTAACCGAGCAATTTTACAAAAATGTATTTATAGAGTTGTTAGTTATTAGTTATCGTCAACATTAATATCACTCATGTCATTTTATTAACAGAAATAGTTTAAATTGTTGTTTACGACTGATATATAATATATATGACTATACTATTGCGGTTGTTTAATTAAAAGCAAAAGTAAACACATGGAGTCAATATGAAGTTCCTATTTGTTTTTTGTGGTGCTTTTTTGATGTTTTTGCCAATTTTTGGCAGAGATTTTGAAACAGAAAAAAATATAGAAGTGACTTCCAAGTTGTCATATGAAATTGTTGTAATTGGTGCTCCATCGGATGATTGCCCACGCGGGCAACGTCTGGATCAGAATGGGAAGTGTGTGAATGTTGATATACACTTAACTGGTTAAATATCATCAAAACTAGTAAGTATTCATTTAATTAAAATTATAATTCCATACTTTTAATGTTACATAAAGTGTGCTGTCAATTTTTCTAACCTCACTTTGTTAAATATTGTTTCAGCGCCATTCATCTCTCATTTCCCAACTTCAAGGACGAAAATCAATCAAATAACAATGCTAAATCCCACAGTAATTCTTCGAATATATATTATCAGTGTCCAACGAAAATATTTACAATTTTTACATGTTAGATAACGCCATGTTAATTTTATTAATAGAAATAGTTTAAATAGTGCTTTTGGCTCATATATAAGCAAAACTATAGCTAATATTTTATCAAATACAAAAGTAAATACATGGAGTCAATATGAAATATTTTTTGGTTTTGTGGTTGTTATTTTCCGCAACCGTGTGCAAAAATATTTCTGAACTTCAAATTGGCTTGCTGCTAAACGCGGAACTGTTGTCGGAATTAATATTTCTCAAACCTGTGATTGGTGCTCCATCAGATTGCCCGAATGGACAAGAACAGGATCAGAATGGGAATTGTATAAATGTTGATATAACTGGATAAATAATACTTAAGAAAATAGTAAGTATTAAGAATAAAATTAAGTTTTTAATAAAAGTTAGGTTATGAATTGCAACATAACCAAATTTACTTGTATACCTCATAACCTAACCTAACATAACCTCACTATACTAAATTTTTCTTTCTTTTTAAACATTTTAACCAAAATTCGCAAGTAAAAACACATGGAAACTCTATCAATAAAATATTTAAAGAAAAACAACTTACGTAAATGTATAATTTCACAACTAAACACAACTAAAACGTGAAACAAACCTAATTCTTCAGAAAATGAGTACATAACTGCTTGTATTGTTTACGTCAACTTTATTATACCTTACATACATTTTATCAGCAAAAATACTTGAAATACTTTGTTTTGGTTGATATATAAGTATAACTATTATTTTAGTTTAAATATGTTTTAAGGTAAATACATGGTATCAATCAATATGAAAGGTTTTCTCTTTTTGTGTGGAGTTTTCTCGTTAGTATCATTCACGGTGAGTACACCAGTAGAGTCAACAACCACTGATCCATCATGCGTCCCACCAGCAACAAAATGCAAACCAGTTATTGGCGCACCATCAGATTGTCCACTTGGTCAAGATCAAGATCAAAATGGGAATTGTATTAAGATTGATTTATGGGGTTAATAAAGCCAAATATATTACTAAGTAAGTAAATTTTCAAATAATGGATTTATTATTTGCATTTATTAATAAGCAATAATTATTTCAGGTACTCCAAAATAATGGAAACGTGCACTGAGTAATCCCACTTTAAATATTGATTGATGATGCCATTCACTGATAAAAATAATCTGGTTATCAACAATTACGTAATCTTCTCACACAAATGGAATACCTACAATTTGAGTGCACTTCTATGTTCTAACTTTAGTCTCCTTCAACTCCAATCACAGTAAACCTAATATTTTAAGCCGAATTTTGTCATAAACATAAAACAATAAAAATGCAATTTGATAATAAACCGTGCTTAGTTTTAATCGTTTTACTAACCGTGGCGCTGTTGATCAGCCAACATGGCGTCAATGGCGTGTGGCTGAACATCTCAGAGACTTACCAACGTCTGACAGCGAAGCGTGCGCACGTCGTGTCGTTGGTAACCTGCTCAGCTGGCAATGTCGCCGATGTCAACGGGGTGTGCCGGAAATCCATCCGATTTCGTCCGAGGGAATAACTCCGGTGCCGGTGGAATTTTGCGCTGAGTCAAAGTCGAATTAAATCAAGGTGAGTCGATGAAATGGTATTAACGTGATCTTGACTTTTAGACTCAATTATGAAATATTAAATAAAAAAATATTTCACAGATGAGTATATGAGATTTACCAATACTCGTATATGAGTAGAATATTATGCGTTATGTGTAAAGTGATGAAAGATTTGTATCCGTTTTAACACGTTGCGCAATGTGTTTTGTTAGTCATTGACGACTTGATGGTATTACTAGTGCATGACAAATTATTATTAATTTAATGATGTCTAGCTGATGACCTAAATTTATCAACCAAAACGGAAGAAAAGTAATAAACATTTGATAAAACATTAATTATTAATGAAAGTCATCTTAAAATTAATAAATTGTAAATAATGACGTCAATTTACACAAAAAAATGTTTTTGAAATTCATTGTATTCTCAACAATTAAATAATAAATATCAAAATAACATATTTCATAATATTACTAATAATTATCGATATTGATAACATTTTTGAAATATTTGGCATACCATGAACATGAAACAATATATTTAAACTCAACGTTATCTCAAAACTTGTTAAAAGTCACTTTTAAACTTTTACAACATGTTAAACATCAAAATATTTAATATTTTAATATTTCTAAGCATTATTTCATTGATTAAAAGCAAAGGTACCGTAAAAGATTTTGAAAATTATAAAGCTACACCATCTGAGCAACTCCTATGGATAAGATACTGTCAAAAACAAATGTTGGATTACATCTATGATGATTTCAAGATGTATGGTAGGAAATTATACTTGGAGGTACCTTATACAGTCCCATTTGAATGTGAATTTAATTACTTGAATCACCAAGGAATCAAAATAAGAATTACTATGGAAATGTGTGGTGTGGAATGGAACGCACCTACGGATACTTGGGCTGATTGTGGAACGGTTGCTGAGCCACCTAAACATACCTGTAATATTACTGGTGAGGCTGTGTTACGAGCTGATATTCTTGAGCATAAGTATACGATAAAATTGGTTAAGGTTGATACTGGGGTGTGTCCTGTTCCGGAACCTCCAAAATGTGATGTTAATAGACATGTTGTTACTGATACCTTGGGAGTAATGGGGGATCTAATGTTTATAAGCAAAGAGTTGATTTTTATTGTGATGGGGATGTTTTGAAGTATAGTCAGGATTTGGTGATATGTGGGAATGGGAGGTTTTTATTGCCACCAGGGTCTAAAAGTTGTTAAAAACCAAATAATAACAAATGAAAAACATTTTTGTTATTATTTTTAGTTATTAGGGTTCCTTTATTAATTTTGTTTGTAATGGGTCGAAGGCCAGAACCGTTAATCTGCGCCCGCAGCTTGCATTCGCTCTTTTACTTACCCCCACTCCAATTTGCGGGTTGACCGCTGAGTACTAGGTTCCCCTTTCTCTTAGGAGCCGAGTTAAGCAGTATAGACTCTAGGTTTCCTTCTCTAAGTAAGCAGAAAGTACTTTATTAACATAAACAATAAAATAAGCAAAGAAAACTTGAGAAATGCTCTTTAAACAGTAAAAAATACTTTTATTGCAATGATAATATCTTGGAGAATTGTCTAGAGATGATTATAAAGAGAAAAATTGATTTTTATTACTCCCAGGGTCAATGTCTACTTAAAAAAAAAAACAATAAAACAATACTTAAACAATACTTAACCTATTCTTCCACAGTTTAAATACCTAATTTGTATTTAACCTCACTTTTAAGCTTTTAACTCTTAAAAAAGTACATTCCACGTGTAAAACTAAACTTTCTCTTATTATATTATACATTCTACTATTAAATAATCTCTAATTGCAATGACAGTATAGCAACAACACAATCTACAAAAAGATGTGACCGGTTTAAATCCGTCAAAAGAATAAAACGCGCTGGATGCACAACGCGCATCTGACGCAACCGGCGATGACAAACACGAGAAATCCCCTTTATCCGCGTGTGAGACTCACTCGACGGTCGCCTGTCGTTTCTCGTCGGCGCGTAAATATTTACACGGTTTTACAGAGTTGAGCATCAGGGAGATCTGAGAATCTCTCGCGCTCGCCCCGACGCCGCCACCGCTTTATTGCGGATCGCACGTCTTGATGCTGCGCGCTATAAATTTAATTAAACCGTCATCCCACACTCAGTATCGTATTGTCTCTCATGCCACGCACGTTAGAACAACTTGCAAATCCAACACTTTTTACAAAAGAAATGAATTTAACCAAGTTTTTAATCGTATTACTATTGATATCTATAAATATCACTAATAGTTATCAATCATCATGGATGGATTGGTTTAAAAGTAGTGATAACACAACACAAATAGAACTCAAACCACAACCAAGATCACTAATTAATATCCCGTGTAAAAAGTGTTATAGAAAGACGTTTTTCGGCAAGTGTCGTAAAATTGCCAACTGCGAATCGTGATTTCATCACATCCAAGATTAATTTTTATTGTGTTGTATTCCGGCGGTGATATAAAGTGTTTGCTAAGCGATTAGGCGTGCTCAGAGTTTATGAGCGTTATCAGCACGTCGACGGCGGCGGCATTCGCGACTTTTCAGTGATAAGTTAACAGTGACGCTGCGCGTGCCGCGACTTGCGCACGATCTGCTTCCACTTACATAATTGAACTTAATTAGTTTCCATGTGCGCATGTCGAATTGCACCAACTGCGAACTTGTGAACGCACATCAAAACACAACAAATCGGTGGCGTATCAGTTAAAAGCGAGCGTTGACGATGAATAACTTCCTTGTATCGGTGTGGATATGCGTGATTATGACGGTGATTGGTACAGAAGAGGTGCCTGCGTTCATGCCGGCTGTGAATTGGTTGAGTATCAAGGGCACGCAGGAAAGGCTCAGTGCCAAACAGGCGCATATTGCTAATATCATTACTTGTAAAGAGGGGCAAGTGTTGGATGCGCAGGGGAAATGCAGGCCGAAATTTGGGGGATTTTTACGTCGAAAAGGATAAAAATAAGGTAAAATAAAAAAAAATTAAAATTTTGTGTTTTAACAAATGGACAATGTTGGAGATGCGGTACAAGTACCGAACATAGCAGATTTCAATGCAAATTTTAAACTAATTATAAAATATTAAATTTTATTCTGTTACACTTTGTATTAAGTTGATATTAATTCAGTGATAAATATGTTTTATCAATAAACAATAAATATCTACTCATACTGTACATATTTTAATCATATCGTCATTGTGAACTCGTATTCACTTTGTTTATATATTATTTTAATCATTTTATTGTATATTTAAACAAATTCAATTGAATAAATTGTGATTTTTTGTTTGTTGCAGATTTGTCGAGGAGTTTTAACCTTTATTAACAACTACCCACGCTTTGAATACCAAATTATAGTATTATAGTAATTTTACGTAAATTATATTTTAATGTTTATTAAATGTAAATTATTCGTTCTATTTATGTGTATTGTTTAATTGAATATTTTGCGGTTTTGTGCAATAAAACAATTTGTGTTTTTTAGTATACCTATTTTATACTGATGTGTGTGTTGGGTTGCATATGTTAGCGAGTAGGTATATTATATCACAATGTAACAAATTAATTTAGTAATTTGCAAATTGAAAAGTTGCCGTGCATTGTTCAAATGTTCACTCTGCAGTAATATAATATTTGTTTATGTCTGTTGATAAAACTATCTAATATAATTATTTATTTATTTATGCTCGGTAATGAAACAGTGAGTTTATAAACTGAATTTTCAATCTTTTTTGATGAATCATTAAATTATTATTTAATTAAATTATTGTTTTATGATTAGAAATAATTGCAATTGCGTTTAAATATGTGAATATAAAAATGTATTTGGTTTATTTTTGTTTAGTTAGTTTCTTTCGTTGTGCGATTTTGGTAGTTTAGTGTTAGTGGTGAACGCTAGGTTGTCATCCTGCTGTGCAGAACGCACCTGCGCACTATCTCTGCGGGTCGCTGTTCACCGGCATTTTGGATTTCACTTAAGTGGTGTTGCTGTGTGGTGCGGTTCAGTGTTGGTGCCTCTTGATTTTGTTTCATTTTTAACAAAGAACTTGAAGAACATTTGTGAATTGCGGCTAGGTTGACGTCTTCTCACCTCCAGGGTATGTATTTTCATAATTATTGCAATAAGATAATTATAATCGGGATCTACCGGTGCAGCACACGAAAATGTGCTTGGGTTAGAAACGTGCTGCTAAAATTTGGAATCCGCCATTACGAACGTATTACAACATATTACTACATATTACTACATAGTACTCTCTAGAATCATACATTACTCTATAGATCTATTGTTAAAAACCTGAGTATTACATTAGAACATAATTAAAATTATATGGTTTCTAACAATATCAGTGTGGTTTTCATTGCACTTACAAATAAAAATTGCATTCAACGCTTGCGTACGTGCGGATATGCGGTAAAGGTCATTCACGGATATTGTAAACATCGAGATATGAGTGCGTCCGCATTGATATCGTACCGATCTGCAGTTTTGCATTGTGTTGTTATTTCATTTAACTTCCAACAAGATTGTTGTGTTTACTTCTCTGTCGACGGAAACAATCGAATTGAAGAATCAAAGAAATATTATTACTATATGCAACCAATTCAGCATGTCGAATGATGCAAAGGCTGGAAGATGTTTCACTCTTTATTGTTGGTTGCATATAGTAAATATATAATTATTCTTATTATTTCTTGTTTTTTTTTTGAAGAAAAATTGAGTTTATTACTAAGTTATTTTATCTCTTCTACAGTATAATGAACACATTACAGGGCCTGGCTATGCAGATTACAGCATCTACAAGTAGTGAGTACAATATAGGAGTATTATTTAAGCATGCCTCGGCTTTCGGTATCCAGTTGGGTAAAATCCATGTAATTGAACACGTCGCGTACTCTAAAAGTCGAATATAAACTACGGAAGTTTTATACTCCTGCAATTGGACTAAAAAACATAAAATCAAAATTATGTTGGAAATAGCATGTTAAATAGTATGATTTACCGAAGAAGTAATTTGCATCTGCTTCCAATCATGATATGATTTGGTGGGCATTTTCGTTTGTTTGGGACATCAATGACACTTGCGAATATTGACGATCCTTTGTATTGAGACATATCAACCAAATCTCCTTCTGTTTTATCAACAATTGAAAACACGATACACAAAATTAACAAAACGTTTAAGAAAATAACGTAGCACTTCATTATGGAAATTATGTAAGTGCAATGTTTGCTACTTGCAAAACAAATGTGGACTGAGATTGTATGAGGGGCAGTTACAGATTATAAGTTCAATTCTTAAGGTCATTCTAGATGAAGTGAAACCATAGAAGAGGGGGGCATATATTTTATTGTTATCGATAACATAAACTTAAAACAATTATGTTTCAAAAGTTTTTTTTATGGGGCTAAAATATAGGTTGGAATCAAAACATTTGGACACTTTTACGTATAGATGGCGCACTTGTTTATATTTCTATTTTCGAATACTTTACCAGTTTTAGAATACATTTAGGACAAAATTCTTCATTACTTCAAGACTCTGTTTGCTTGCTTCTAAAAACAAAAATAGTAGTTATGATTAATCGTAAACGCAATAATAGCAGGTGATGTTATACATAAGAACCTGGCGACATCTTGTCCGAATCCTAATATGACCGGGCGGGCATTTTTTCTCCCTGACATGAATGATAGATCCTGTCAGCGGTGGCTCAGTGCGAACAATATCCACCCATTTTCCTTCTGCGATGAATGAAGCGATGAATACACTCATAACGCAGAGTGCAATCACAAAAATCGCACAGAAACGCGTTAACAACTTCATTGTGCTTGTAATAAGTTATAAGGAGCAGAAATTTAAGCGGCGTTGGCTTTGCTTTAGTACATTACTTGGTTTGTGATGGAGGTTATAAGTTCACTGATTAAATTATTTTTATTAAACGAGAAGTAGGGATCATACAACTTCATCTTACAACGCAAATATACTAAAAATAACTTTATTCACATGTCAACAACTGTAGGCAACCCATAATATATGAAAATATGCGAAACAAGAGTTTTTTTTAAGACAATGAATATTTTTTAAACGTTTTTAGATTAAAAGGAGCAAATTAGGTTCATTAATTTGTATATAATGAAATTATTTCCGGTATTTTTACATCTAAATGGCGCACATGTACAAAATACTACATTTTGCTCACTTTTACCAAAACTATTGGAAAAATTGTTTTAAAACTATGTTTAGTTCGACCTAAAAGCAAAAATCGTACTTATATTCTAAAAATATCAAAAATATTCCTATGTTACCTAGTATATGGTCGGCATCTTTTCCCAATCCTAATTTCTCCTTCCGGACAACTTTTATTTTTGACGGTAATGAAAGCCCCACCTAGCGGTGGTTCCGTCCGAACAATATCAACCCATTTTCCCTCGGTTTTATCCACCAATGCAACCATAATGCACATTGTAATCAGTAACAACGCGCAGAAATGTTTGAAAAACTTCATTTTATTGTAAACGGCTGCTTCACGTTGATACAATAGTTGGTATGAGATCGGGGATCATAAGTTCATTGATTAAATTGTATTTATTGCACGAGAAGTAGGGATTTCATAATGTTAATAGTGGTATTGCGATGTCAATTGTCGTAGACAACCAATATTACACAAAATGTAGACTACACGAACTTTTAACGTACTAAGCATAAGATTATTTACCGTAAAATAGTAGATATTTGCAAATATTTGCACACCAAATGTGGTTTAGTAGGTTAATAGGTTAAGTGATTAAATTAAGCATATTTACCAAATATTAAACAGTTAATAAAATTATAAATAAGCATAAATATCTTTATTAAAGATGTAGAGTAATATAGGCAACTAATTATACATCTTGAGGTGTATACTTCTAAATAGACCAAGTTTAGTATTCATTTGGATTGTATGCAACACAGTTTTTGTCTTTGTTGTCTGTCATGGTTTATTAGCACTACAAAAAAATTAAAATTGTAATACTGGTTAATTTGAATGGCGGTATACTCACTGATAAATTTTGCGACATTTTCCGAACTTCCAAATCTCGTTTGGCTTGGTGCACTTGCTTCGCACATTAATAATAGAAGCTGTTTGTGGTTTGGGATCACGATTTAAAACCACCCATTCGGCTGAGTTGGTGGTTACTAGAGTCAGCAGGAGGAGAACACAAATGCCCAAATAGAAAATCTTCATTGTGCACGACTTTTAGACTATTTGATGTTTATTTCTCGATATCAAAGCTAAAACTGACTAGACTACATTCACACGCCGCCGAATACACACCTTTATCTTTTTATCGCCTACTGATAAGTGATATCATCGCTTGCTACGAGTTCGTTAAAATTAGAATTGAATTGAATTGGCAAATATTTGTTTTGGGAAGTAATTAACAAAAATGATTCAAGAAATTATTTATCGATTGTAAATTCAACGATTAAGAATTTTATTTGATTAATTTAGGATAAGTACAGAAAAGTGAGCTTAAAATTATTCATCGGTGTTGGTACTCATGGTTTAGGCATTTTACTCATATCAAATCTAAAATTAAAAATTATTATGAGTTAAAATATTGTTAATTATTTACTTAAGTCAACTTACCTGATAATTTTTCGACATTTCCGCATCACAAACATTTCTCCATTCTTACAGGTTGGTATTGGTCCTATTGGTTTCATTTCAAGATGTTCTGGTCTTACAATATCTACCCATTTAGCAGAAGTTAATGTTACTAACAATAACAATGTCCAAATCCAAGAGAAATTCATTTTGAAATACAATTTTTAATTAAGTAGAAAAGGTTTAGCACAATCAAAATGTTTTATTAGACTAAAATGCATTTCACGGTTTGTGCGTGATTTTATGTTTTTTTCTCTCGAATCATAACGGAAACCATTAGTGGGCTTCACTTTCTTGATAACAACTTATGAATCATTGCTGGTTAATATTAAACTTAAATAAAAGTGTTTTCTAATCGTGTGACATCATTGAGGTTAGAAGTTAGATAACAAGCATTTTTGCTGAAACAAAACAAAAACAAAATTATATTTTCTTAAATATTATTAAACCAGAAAAGGCGAATTACTACAAGTTTTGGCATTCTGAGAGTGTCAATGGCAACGTAAAAAATTGCCATGGTAACCAAAAACATGACTTAAGCTACTTGCTCCACAAGTTTTTTACTTTGAAAAGAATTACTGACGTTGTTTTGGTTATAAATAACTGTGACTTACATGGATTCTAGTTTTTGATTTCTCTACATTTACCAGCAACGAGCCTATATCCAGCTTGACATTTAATTTTAATTATCGAAGTTGCTGCATTCACTGGTCGCATGCCACCTTGAGTAATCAACAAGAGGCCCAAAAGTAAAACCAAATAAAACCAAAGTGAAACTCGGAAAGCCCTCATTTCGAAATGAAAGAATATCCAACACTAATAATACTCTCAGCAGTTTCTTTAATTTATAAAATTATTTATTTATTGGAGAAAACAAGCGATAACTCTTGATCTCCAAAGGTTAAACAATTGTTAACCTTGATTATTTTAACTTATATCTTTGCGAAACTTTATTCATGGCGTTTAAAGGCATTTAAAGTCACATTGCGATTTCGTGATCCTCGTATCGTGGTTAGGACTCTATTTTGAGAATATGAAGTTGGCGTGTTATGTTTTGCTCACTTTCGTGCTGATGCTAAGTTGTCAAGTGGTTTACGTTGAGTGTGCGGTGCCAAAAGGACTCGGAAGGCCTCGAAATTATAACCAAACCACTAGTCGGCCAATTGTGACTAAACCCACTAAGAAAAGTGGTAAAAACCCAACAAATAGTGGAAATCCTGGTAATCATCAAATCTAACCTAAAAATTCATAAATTTTAAAATGATTAATTTTTAGATAATCTTATTAGCCCAGGTCGTTGTGTAGATGGCTATCTTTCTATTAATGGCGAATGTTATGCCGAGGAATAACACTTACAAAACAAACACTACCTATATTTAATAATTTTTGAGATTTGACCCCAAATTGGTAAAGCCGCCATTTTGACATGTGAACAAACGCTTCCTGAGCGTGATACAAATTTTTTGATTGTTTGTTTTGTTATTTTTAGTTGTTTAAACTTCGTCTGCGACGCAAAACCAATCATAAATGATAACCGATAACCTATGACTTATATCCGCGTATTGCTAGCGTATTAATGCAAATTTAATGCTGTGAAAGAAACAATCGCGAAGTATGAATCTTTCAAGTTGTCTTCTGCTCGTCACAGTTGTGTCCATATGCATGTGGACGGAGGCAAAATTCCGGTTCCAATGGGCGTGCCAAAAAATTATAAATTTCGCACGATTGGCACGACCACAACTGCAAAACCCATCAGCACAACGAAAAAAGATGACGATCGACAAAGTGCGTATTTAATATAACCTCAATTTAACTTTTCTTCGTTCGTTAATTTGACGATTTTTATTTTTTAGTCGTCAGGGTCATATGTATTGATGGTTATGTCGAAGTAAATGGTGTCTGTGAATCGACAGATAAATGAAATCACTATTTATATATTATAAGTGTTTTTTCCGGTAATAAATTCTAAGTACACACCTGTGTTCTATATTTTTTTCATGTTTTGAGTCTTAAATAGACCGAATAATAACGTTATCATTTAGTTTTCTATGAGTATCTAACGAAATAACATCAAATAGCTAAACATGTTGAAATTAATATTTATTTGCTTTTTATTATTCTTTGTTTTATTTTCTCAAGCTCAGTTAGTGAATAGAACAGTAAACTTTGAACATTTGCGACTTATCAACGTACTTTGTGCACCAGGATATAAATTGATTGCTGGAAGGTGTCGTCGCATACATTAAATTTTTCTTTTTGTGAGTACGGCTCTGTTTGTATTGATTTTGATGCAATAGGAACTTTTTAACCTTTATATCTATTTAGATTACGTCAAATAACATCCAAAGTAATAATAATTATTAGTGCTCAGTTGATTTTCTGACCAAGACGTGAAATATTACAGAAAAAAATTATTAGCATAAAAATGAGGCTAATTTTCGTGGTTTTAGTTGTTTTTTTATTAATTGTCTATAATTCTGCTGAAAATAAAAATATCAGTAGACGTATTATTAACGTGAGTTGTTCTGAAGGACATAAATTTATTGCAGGACGATGCAGACAAATCCATTAGGTTACTAAACATTACCAGTTTTAGAATTTTATATTTGTAAGTAAAATATTGAATATTAAATTAATTATTAGTGAAGATAGCGTGGTTATCTTTACATTTGGATGATATTTTGACCTTATATTTGGTATAAATTACATGTACACAATCTGCATTTGCATTTTCTATATTAGAATTTGTTTCTTATTTGTAGAGGAATAATCATGGTACGCAAAAGTAGTTGTTTTGTTCTTTTGTTAATAACTTTAACGTTATTGCATCAAGCTAATGCGCAGCCAATTGATTTAACTGCTGAACATCTTCCAGGAGGTGTGTATACTTTTCTACTAGTACAGGACAGTTAATAAATATTTCACTTTGTAGGTACTTACGTTTTTAATGATGATGACCAAAATAATATTGTGCTATATCTTGGAAACTCTCAAAATAATACCATAAAGCAATCATCTGGAGATACTTAAAATACATATAATGATTTATAACTTTTACTTAAGCTTTAATACTTCATTAGTAATTTTTTAATAACAGAATGTAACAAAGACTTCAATAATATGTTTATTTTGGAAGAGAATTATAAAACTTATTTTTTAATTCCGTCAGTCGCAAACAGTCGCAAGAAATAATACGAAAATAGCTTTTATTATCACTGGTTATGATAAGAAGCAAACATATAAATGCGTAGTTCCTAGAAAAGCAGATTTAGTGTATAGTAGTGCTATGAACTTGCAGCTACAAACATGGCATCTCGATTTTGTTTAATCATAACTATCGTGTCAGTAATTTTATTCTTACACTTGGCATGTGAGGCACAAAATATAGTAAAGCCGATTTGCAAACCTGGTTATAAGTTTATTGGTGGAAAATGTCGAGAAATTCAATAACATCACTCATTTGGGTACAGTTTTTAAAATAACAACGAACACAGCTAACAAATGTATTCTTATTTTTAGAAATGTGGATGAGCAGTCATAAGAATAGATGTTTTGATATGTGACGTGCGGTAAAGGAGGAAATTACAAACCAAAACTGGAAATATTTAATAATAAGAGCACTGGACGCTTGGGTTTATTGAAATCGATGATATAAACGTATAATGAAATGGTTTATTTGCCGTCCTGCTCCCTGTTTGAAAATGTGGGTGGTTCCGCCGCCCCCGAATCGGCTAGCGGATACATTTCACCTAGCGCTGTGAATGTAAACCGAGCGCTTCAACAAATCATTACAGTTTTGCGAGCGTCCATCCATGACAACCCCTTTTGCCATACTCAAAGTACCTTAACATTAAAATCAGTAATAATCTATAGTTTGATTAACTCTATAATTATTCACGTTTCAATTTGTGAATTTTGGTTATGTTGACATTTTGCGCTGTAAGTTGTAGTTGGGTGATGTTTGTTTATTAAATTTGCATTTCGATATCGACGATCGGCGATTGAGAGACGGTCGACGGGCATCCGGTGGCGGTCCGGTCGTTTGTTACCGATGATTAGGATGTGACGATGTGTACGCCGCCCCCGCTCGCCCCCTCGACTGCTGCGGGTCGATGAAAAGCGTCTCGCGCTTTGACATCGCAATCGCCGGGGCCGCTGTGTATATTTTAATTTCCTGTATTGTGATCCCCATTAAAGTCAACGCCGGCGCCGCCCCCGCGCCTGCCTGCTTCAAAGCTACAATTGATTCTGCCACCGGCCATTTCCGGTCCACTTGGCGGCTTTCACAAGGGCTTTCGAATGTCAACAGCTACCAAACTCTGCTCGGGCCGCCGGGGGCGGGTGAAAAACCAGTCAAATCGATGAATTTAATTAAGTTTCGGTTTTCCACAAATTATTAACCAATAATTAATTTTATTTTTTAAATTTTGACGTCAAATCAGCCAAATATTTTATTTTAACCTGTTGACTAACAATTTTCATTACATCTTGCAATAAAACTTGCCTTGCGTTTGTTATAATCCAACAGGAAAAAGTCTAGCTGTTAATTTAGTTTTATCTCACGGTCAGCAGGATTTATGATCCACTTCTGCTCCGTCATGGAAAAACTCATCTTAAGACAAAACGTAATAAACACTCTTACTCTTCGCCGACTTACAAGTTTCCAGCGTAAGATGTAGATGGATTGCTGGCTTGTGCGCGCGTTCGCAGGACAAAATAAAGAGCGAAAGGATTCGACTCACGCTCGCGCGCGAACAAATGTTACTTTTGATTAAATCTTCGCGTGCCATTTCGGCGGCGCGCAGCACACTATCACTTCACCCGCGAGGATAGGTGAAGAAGTTTTATTCTATTACGGGCCAGCGTGTGTGATAAATAAATTAATAAGGATAACAAGGATAAAGATAACGCAAAGTGTAAAAAATGTCGCGAATATTGCGCGCGCGTAAACAAACCGTGGCGAATGAGGACGAAGGTGAGCTATAAACAATGATTGCGGCTGGGTGAAAAAAGGTGAACATCAAAGGCGACAACAAATTTATATACAGAGTGTTTTTATAAATTTTTTTATTCAAAAAATTAATTTTTTCAAAAAATTTTACGTTTTTTAGAATTAAATTAATTATAATTTACATTTCCAAGTCCTCGGTGTTTTAAGATGACACTAAGCGTGAATTATGATATCATACATCCTTTCCAGGATGTCTTGTGGCTAAGACACACCTTGGCCGTTTTGTGCGAGGGCGTACTTCCCTCGGGTGTGCGTAAAGTCGCGCCCAGTAAAGAATAATACAAGTGGGAGGAAGTCACTGCGTCCTGTTCGGTTGTGTGCGCTGCGGATAGCAAACAATACATATATCCATTATGTTGCGCCGGCATTAGAACAAGCGGGGCGAGGGGTAGTACGGGGTGCGGTAACGCTAAAGGATTACCTTGTCGCCTATTCGGCAGGACTAGGCGCACAGGAGGCGATAGATAAACCCCGGCAATAATTATTATAAATTGTCATTTAGCCTATCGCATCTATCGCATCCCCAAAAGACAGATACATGCAGACACTGGGGTTAAACTCGAATTCTAGTTTCAACTCTGCAATAATACAGATTGATCTATGTTTCGCTTGCTATTGGAAAGTGATTTTTACTTGGCGAGTAATAAAAATGTGATTTTGATTTTTTAAGGATTCTGAAAGTCCTTGTGGGATTTTTGTGTAAGCGAAAAACTGAAACTGAAAGCGGAACATTTTCCGTTGAAGTAATTACAACGGGAGTTTCGTTTCGGTGAGGAATTCCCAAAGTTCAAATAAATGTATTTTTCGTCGGTTTGCTGTAGAGAAAAAAATTAGAAACACGAGCTGTGCTTCTGTTGAAGTTAAAGGAGAAAAGCAGTTTCACTTGTTTCAATGCCACGTTTCGTTTCATTTAAAAATCAGCTAACCCCTTGGTGGAGGTATAAGCGGAACTTATTTGTCTTCAGGGGGTATTAAAATACTCCCGAAAATCCTTTGACATTTATCCTAAAATCTTTAAAATCTTTTTTTGAAAATTTCGTTATGTTGATGTTTAGACTGCGTAGACTGTTTTGAGATTACGTTAATGTTTAAGATAAACTCGGCCTCGGGCGTTGGCTCCAGTTATCACTAATGCTAATACCAGTAATGATGCAAAGGTTGCACGAAGTATGAACTCCCTGCAGGACTAAGAATATGAGGTGGAAGCTTGTGCGCTTAGCTTTGCCTTCGGCTTGAGAAGGTGTTGATTTCATTAAGTGCTAGACAAACTAATATGCGGACTCGGATATAAATTACTGAGCACACAACATTAACTATATTTGCGTGCACACTCACAGTTGCGCGGCGAACAGGAGACGGGTTAGGGGCGGCAGGAGATGTTTGCGTAATGTATATGTATTATTGCAGCGTTCGCAAAGTTTTAGCCGAGTAACTCGATCTATAATAGATCAGTGATTTTGGGGGAATCGAAGGCTGATGATTATATTAGGGATTATCAGAGTTTGTTCAATTATTTTTGATTGTAGCATAGATAATAATTATTTTGGAGAATACGAGTTTATTTTGAGTGGCAATGAATTTTTTGGGAAAATTGAATATTTTGCGATAAATTTGTGTTTTTTTCTTATTTTCTGAATAAATTCGAAATTTTATGAAGATTTTTTGCGTATATTTGCGAAAATAATGTAAGAAATTTATTTAAATATTATTTTCTTTTGAAAAAACAAAATTATCAGTAATTTTGTGTAAAAAAGAAATATTTTTAAGAGAATTTACGATTTTTTTCGTTTTTTTGGCTTAAACTTAGGGTTTTATGTAGATTTTTACTTACCTTTTGAAGAACAAGGTACGAAATATTAGAAATGAGTTTTACTTAAGAAAGACTTGAAAAGACTTAAAATTTTGGTAAATGTCTGATAGTTTTGGAAAAATTACTATTTTTTGCTACTAGAAATAAAATATATCATTAAGTATCGTTGAAATTAAATAAATTTAAAAGAAAATTACAATTCTCTTTTATTTTGCTTAAAATTAATATGATTAAAACAAAATTTTGTGATTTTTCTCATTTTTTTGAAAAAAAAAAATTTTTTGGAGTGGTTTAGGTTGAAAAAATTATACACCATCCAAATTATTAAGCAATATTTAATTTTTATTTATTCTTTATTCCATTCGTCGTTTCCTGGATCATCATCAAGTTGTTTATTTACTTATCCTAATCATAATCATCAATATCTCGACATTGTTCACGTTGATATTTACATTGGAAATCATTCAGTTACATTCTTATCCTAATTCATTTAAGTATTAACAAATTTACCAAAACCAATAGAAACAGTTTCATGAAAAATTAACGTTTCACTAAACTAAACAATAAATTCCTTCGGTCTTGCAAAGGATTACAAGGATTATTATTACAATATGTTTGTTTGTCACAATTGTTTGATGATTTATATTTATACAATTTTTCTCTTCACGCACGTAATGTATATATCTACAAATTGATTTGCTCTTGTTCTCTTAGTTTCTCGTTCATTCATTGCGTTATTTAACATTTTTTAACATTTGTCATGACGTCAAAACTTGATAATTCATACCAGTGGCTAGTAGCGTAATGTGTAATGTTCATCTAAGGAATAAAGCATCACCATTTTCAGCTCGTTTGTTTATATTTCTCATTAATTAACACAAAATCACTACGTTTAGTTTATGATTTCAATTGTTTCTTCTTTTGTTGTATTGTTTTTGTTTGTTTTGAAGATTCAGTCATTTTTTCTGTTAGTTTTCACTGTGTTTTTGTTTTATTTAGTTTTATATCTTGTTTGGTATGCCTTAAAATTAGTTTATTACAATTAACAGTATGTTTTTATTTATATTAAGGGATACTTTACATGATAGGTTATTTTACATGATATATAACGATGACAGTGTGGCCATTTCATCTCGACTATGATATGTTTTAATTTTTGTGTTTTTATGACGTTTTTGTTTGTTTTGTTTTGTAGATTTAGTTTTTTTAGGTTAGTTTTGCGTTAGGTTAGGTTAATTTAATAATGTTATTTTGATATATTTTACACGTTTGATGATATGGCTAATTCTGTTGATGCTGTAGGTCCTGAAAGTCCTGTATGTCCTGAAATATTCTTAAAATTCTTGAAATCTACCTCAGTGCTGCTTCCAGCTGTTTGCCTTGTAGTGGACATCTCTGTACATACTCGGACATACTTTTCCAGTCTGCAAAAAATAAAAGAATTGAAAAATTGATTAAGTAGAGTTTAATATCAGGGTAATTATTTTTAATAGTGAAGAATTTGGTTATTTTTGGGGCTTCTTTGTGGTCATTTGAGACTTGAATATGAGATAGTATGTTTGTTACTCTATGGGGCATAAACTACTGAATGAAATTGGATAAATTTTAGTGTTGTGATACTTGTGACATAGGACAATAAAATAGACCGTTTTTTGTTTCCAAAAAATAGTTTAAAGGGTGTAAAATCATAAGTGAAAATTAATGTGAACATTCCATCACAGTTATAGTTATATAATTTAATCCTAGATGGCAATTAATTGGGCTATTAGTTGTTTTTATTTCTTAAATCAAAACTGAAGGTCTTTTCTGAAAGTTTTTTCTTTAAAATAATAATAATTTTAATGCTTTTTGCTAAAATCCTGATAAAGTTTAATTTTTTGGGAGGCAATCTATGATCATTCATGCACAGAATGTTTGATGCATTATCCTGTGATCCTGCAATCCAGCGATCCTGTTTACAGGCTTATTATCGGCGTGTTTGGACAGCTGTTTGTCGATGATTATCGATAAACGGATTAACTGGTTTAATGTCAAATTTATCTTGAATAGTCCCAGATAGTCCTCTATTGCCCTGGGACTATCCACCCCGATTATTCCCCCAATTTAAAAAGCAAAATAAAAGCCTGAATGAGTCAAGTTTTCGGTGAGTTTGAGTTCTTTGAATCTCACGGAATGTCTCTTAATAAGTATTATTACCTGTGAAAATTGCCGGCAATTAAGTTAACGCGAATGCAAAATTGTCGCCTGTCGTGCGGCAGGTTGAGCAGGATTATGCGCGCTGCTAATTTTGTATAATTTCGAAACCGAACTGTACGAATCTGGGGGTGAATCCTGCAGCAGATCTTTACTTTGTACTTTATACTTTATACTCGGTGGGAACGAGACAGAGAGTAAGGAGAGGTGCATGCGTGAAATTAGTCCAACAGGACGCAGATGACTTGCAGGAAAACTGCGACTTTATGAGAAGAAATGCGGGAATAACTGCAAATTGTGCAGAGATCATTTTACGGCTTAGAAAAAATACTGAATGTTTTCATAGTAAAACTTAAATTATTATTAACAATAGATAATTAATTTAACATTGGATTAATGTTAAATAAATTTAATTATTTTTTTTTATTTTTGAAATGAATTTAAGCACTAAGTCTGAAAGTTTATTTCATATGCATTCGCGCAGATGGCACCGACTTCCGGTTTCCGTTTTCGTTATCTTGGCACTGCTGCAGTGCACTTTGCGCCTCGCAGCAAATCTCGTTAGATCGTCTCGACCATTATCTCAATTTGCAAAGCGGAAAATGTGACAACTTTAAGTCATTATGAGTAAATTGAAAAGATGCAATCTAATCATGACATCCTTGTGAGAAACACTCGTTTTTCTCGTATAGTTTCAGGTAATTTGATAAAATCAACTCACAGAAGCACTCCAGTGGAAGGTGCGAGAAAATTACACGGGAAACTATTTCCTAATGAAATTCTAATCATAAATGCGGTGCGCCCAGGGACTATCAAGGACCATTCAGGGTCAAAAAGTTTCGAGGGGCTAACTTTGTTTGCGCTGGCTTGCTTTGAAGCACGCAATATTTGGCGGCGATATTTGAGTGATCTGATAGTGAATTTTCGGCGACGCAAATATTAGCAGGTCCTTGTCCCCTTACCTCGCCGTGATGTTTGACGTTGAAGTCGATGTTGGTCCGCACGGGCCGATGGTGGAGTGGCTGCGGCGGCCGGAAGTTGTTGCCCAGCGGCGCTTTCGGATGCTTGGCGTCGCCCTGCATCAGTCTCCTCAGTCCTAGCATCTGTAAAAGGGGTTGAATTTTGATTTCATTACGTTAATTAATCAGATAAAGTACAATGACGCACAGAAATTTCATAAAAATTGAATTTTTTGTTATGTGCTTAAAATGAGATTTATTGTATTAAATGGGTTTTTAAAATTGTTTCTGGTAATAATTCATAGTTTAATTTTCAGTTTTGCGTGGAATATGCGCAATTACAAATTACACCTATACTTAACCCTCATTTTTCATTCATTTTCGCTGAAAATTCTGGCATCCAGCCAGCTTTTTAGACCGTGCATAGTTTTGTGCTAACAATTTTGTTCGTTTTCTTCCTTTTTGCCTGCTTCCTGATTTTTCTTGGCGTTTTAAAACGATTAGATTGATGACTTTTTACATTATGCTCATAGGTTTTCGTTTCTTTTATATTTTCTAACTTATATTAAGTGACAATATCATCAAAACACGCTAAACGATTAATTTGTCATCGATACAAATTAACTAATGAAGTAATCTTGATGATTAACATCTTATAAATTTTTTTTGAATTTTTTTGTAGATTTATCGATATTGTAATAGTGAATTAGTAATACCGATTCAGTTGATTAACACGTTGTCTGTTTATCACTAGACCGCAAGGCGTGGTGGCAGCGTCTGGGGGCGGCGTGCTTGCCAGGCTCGATTGAGTTATTGTTATTACCTTGTATCATGATAAGGGAGCGAAATGCCCGCCCGGCGAGCATAAATGATATACATATTAATAATATCCGAGCAAGTTGGCGTGTGCCTTGGACGGGGCCGGCAGATCTTTGTCGGCGATACGTTATCCTGTCATAACTGCCTTACTGCTATCTATATTTTGACCGCAGCTGGCCAAGGAACGTGCAAGTCGACCCCAACACCAAAGTCAAGACGTTGGAAAACGAATTAGGTTTCAAATTTAATTTTTGGAGATATTTTCGTCTTGTTTTGAATATTTACGAAAATAATGAGTTTAAAAATTAAATTTTTAATCCGAAAGAAATTTAAGAAATTTATTAAGTAGCCTATTTGCTTTTCCTTGGTCAAGACTATTTGTATACTGAAATTTATCAAAATTGGTTTAGTAATTTTCACTGGAAAGCGTCACAACCAAATTTGTATTCCAATTTATAATATTAATCATAATTTTGTTTCAAGTTTTTCTAGATACAACTTATTTTATACGTCTATTTTATTTATACATAAACCTAAGTGAATGTAACCCCTTAAAACTTTGACGATTTGTGTGCTCTTCTCATAAAACCCTGATTTTTTTCTTTCATGAGGGCTGCGTAAACATGCCGATTAAGTAAACAAGCATAAACGTTGAGTAAATTTAATTTGGTTGATTTTTTCGTATGCTTCTTTGTTGTTGTGTACACAAACGAACTATAAACGCTACAAATTGATACAAATATACTCTGGGTGTTTCAAATATTAAACTATTTTTTATCAAGATAACATATTGCCTTTTCTGAACATTTTCCTATTAGGAAATCATATGTTATTCGATATTAACGCGGAAATCAAAAACGTCCCTCCACACGCTTCTTCTTTTCTCACGTCCGCATTCTTCATTCTTGGCTTTCTATCTTGTTATGCTTTATGAACGCCAACGCTAGATATAGATAAAGTTCATTTTTGCCGTGGAAATGTGAAAAACATGTGCGCGAGATATTGTGGAGGCGCCGGGCTCGCATCGTCAGGATGGGCGGAGACGCGCAGGAAATTTGCTTGCGTGATTGAAGCAACTAAATTACGTTTCCTCCACGTCCAACTCGCCTTACTTCGTCATTCGTTCATTCCTACATTCGTTCCGATCTGATCGAATAGCAAAAATAAGGAAAACTCAGTTTAAACGAACACAAAAAAAAAACACACGAAGAGAAAAGTTTCGCTCTCCGAAAATAGCGTGTGCTTTCGTTTCATAAGAGTGGTTAATTTACGAACTGGAGGGACTGGCTTAATTTACAGGCTGATAATTACTGGATTTTTATTAGGATCATCCGCGATGCCTGAAAGCGTCGGTGTTGAGTCGTTATATTCGTCTATTAAAGCGAGCGCAAAAAGTTGAGTGGGGATGATTTGATGGTGCACGTTACGCGGTTTATTGCCAACTCTACGACGGTGCTCTTAGTGGTAGTAGCAAGTTATCTGTATTTTATGTGATTTTTTTTCGTGTTTTGTTGTGTGCTGGGATCGTTGGTGGAAGCTATGCATAGATTTGTCTGTTTGCTTGCTTTTTGAGGGTAGTTGTCGGCCTGAGAGTCGATTCTCATTTGCATGCATTACCCGGCGAAACAGCAAACAGCAAACAAGTGGATGGTGGGTTTTTGCAATGAATTTTAAACAGATAACAAGATAATTAATAATTTTTGAGGTAATTTTAACTTGATTTTTTTAGCATTTGGCTATGTTTTTGATTTTATTTTGTAATTTAATATTTACCTGTTGCTTGGTGATGTAAATTGGCTTGTTGAGGATCAGCCACGTGACCGTCTCGTAGCACGCCGGCATTGTCGTCGAGCCGTCGTATGTCATGTAGTAGTCCGTTTCGGGAAGTAAACCTCTTACGGAAAGTCTTTTTATTTCCATCTCGTCACCTGTAAGTGCATCAGAAACAAAGATTTAAAAATATACTATAGGCAACCAAATATACATTTAAATACTAGAAAAATATACCTACCACCATATTTAATTTTATCTAGTTGTTCTGTCAATATCCTCAGCTCTGGATTGGACAAGTCACCCAACTGAAATAAAAATAACAATTTAGTTTAAATTTGAAATTGTTTTTAGTATTTTTTCCGCTCGCGTATTTGTGTAGTAGTAGTTTTGTTGCAATATAAAACTTTCCAACGCTCACTGGATGAACTTAAATGAAAACTCTAATCGTTTCAATTTAAACTCGAGCGTTTAGTTATAATCGCGTTGCGCAAACATTCCGCGAGCAATTTTCCAGCCGGTGTGCATCAGTTGCATTCACATGCTCTGCATCTTGAGTCTTCCACATCCTGCGTCTTTGTATTCCTGCATGGTTCAATGGTTTCGGTGTGGAATTTTACTACCTGAACATGTGAATGAACAACGCTCAAGTAGGAAGATGGTTTAGTATTGTTTAAAATTGTTTTTGTTTAAAATTACATTGAGTTTCATAGGTTTTTGGACTAAAAAAAATTCTAAAAAATCAATGTTTGAGTTGCGGTATAAGTATAGAACGTGAAATTTAAAAAAATATAGTTTTTAGTCTTTTTCTTTGATTGTTTGTTTGAAGTGTATTTTATCTGTTGTAATTTAGTGTAACGCAATGTAATAACGTTGTTTTCAGAGTTAATGCAAAACACAATTATTATCAAAGTACACGCTTTAAAAATTTGCATGATTGCACGACGGCGGCGAGTCGCGCGCCGCGTTTAAAAAGTTAGACAATGGCCATTTGCATAACAAGCAGAAGGCAGCGAGGCGATGGCGGCAGGAGGCGGCAAAGTGCCGCCACTTGCGTTGATGTCTCTTTAGTTAGTTAACTCCACGACCACCTTAACGTCTTGCGCGAGTAAAATCATCCACGGTAATGTTTCTGATATAAATAAATTGCAAAAAATTGCAAAAACTGCATAAACTTGCGATGGAAATTATGTGGCGTTTACTTTTCGCTGAGGGTTTGTGGGTTACTTAATTTTTTCCGGCCTTGGAAAGCACTCGCTCGTGTCCTTCTTGTGTTTAAAGTGGTGTAGTTAATGTTTACGACGTCCTGCTGAGAAAAGGGAGAGTTTACCGCGCTCAGAGTGCCGGATGAATATTTAAAAACCGCGGTGGCCGCCTGTGGTGTGGTGGCGCGGCGAAAGTGGCGCCGCATCGAAATTGCCCGACCGAGCATAATCGCATTTGTAAACCGATGCTTCGAGGTGGAGGCGCCGGGCAAGTTTATTTCCTTCGCACACAACATTAATCACTACTTGTGTGCGCGCACTTTCCACTCTTCGGGCTTAAAACTTTAAATCCAATAAACACCGTTTTCTTACTAGGCATGTTCATGTAGTTCATTATTTTCATGACCCAACGCAAGAACTTCCCTGTTTTGTTTAGATAGAACACTAGGACTACAATAATTTATTAAAATTTGGCTGTACAGTGAATTTTTTCTGGTAAAAAGGTTTTTTTTGTTCATTTTGCTCATTTTTTTAACAAAAGTAATATTTTGAACATTAAATTAGTTAATATGAGTGTCCCAACTTGCTATTTTGCGCACTAGTTTGTAAAAGTAATGTTTTACACACTGCAAATACGAAAAAGTTGTAGTTTATGCAGTTTTCCGTTAGAAAAATTTGTTTTATGCCCAAAATATTTGAAAAAAATATTTCGCAATAATTATTAAGTAACTTTTTTATATTTTTGTTTTGAAAGTCCGATTCTGTATGTGAAAATGCCTGTTTTGTAGGTTTGCGCTTTGAGCATGTTTGCAAGTCGCGCTTAATATTTAGTTATGGGTGTAACTTCTTAAAGTTTGCCTCGGCGTCGGTGTCGGCGTCATTTACGAAGGGGTTGGGAAATGCATTATTTATTGAACAATTTTGGGCGAACGAGCGCGCGGGCCGGCCGAAGTCTTGTAGCTCATATTTTACGGCATAAGTGCTAAAAGTCAATAAACAAATATCGCATTAAAACTTTCATCGTACACCTTTATTACTTCGACTTTGGGCGGGCAACTTTCAAGCGGAGACACCCTCTCACGTATTTAGCCGTATTCACGAAACCGGAAGTAATATACCGAATATTCAAATGCGGGGGTGTGTTCATAATGAAAGCACAGCTTTAATGTACTTTTACTATTGTAAAATTATTATGATATCTTTGTTTTGCGGCTTAAATTAAAGTATAAAATTTTAAGGTTAGTTTTGTTTGATGAAACTAGTCTTAAATATTCTCGTGTTAGTTTCTGTGAGGTTTGGAGACGAAATACAAGTTTGAAGTTTATTTCACTTCACTTCACTCATGGCGTTTCTAATGAAGCAAACTAATTAACGTCCTCAAATTAATCCGCAGCAAGTTCGGGAGTTTCTTTCAGTTTCTTTGTGCGTTGGAAAGTTTTTCAACTTGTGACTTGTGTTTTTGGCTAAATTTTCATCTCCGCCGCGCAGCGATAAACGAATTTATACGTTTTATCCGCCCAAAGATCGAAAGCGATCTCTTTCTGGTCGGGGGCGGTTTTGGGGGCGCTTGGCACCCTGAGAAAATTCCTTTTTCTTTGCGTTCGCTACGTTTACCTACGTTTACCTACGCGTTTACCTCGCAACTTAACACCGCATCTTCCGCACGTTTTTATGTTCCGCTTCGGTTTTCGCGCTGTGGCGGCGGGCGACGGTGGTACCGTTAGCCTGGGATGGCTAAACCCACACCTCTCACCAACTGCTGAACGTTATTGCTTTGGCGAGATAGAACCGAGCGCGAAATGTGTTTATCTATAAATTGTTTTCGTTTTCATCCATCGGGCGGAACAAAGCGGGCGATGTGAGGGCACGGGCGGCGGCAGGCAATGAAAGCAATACGTACCTGCAGCAGGAGGGAAATGACGACGATCCCCTGAGCTTTGTGCAGCGCCTCCGAGAAATTCGAATACAGCTGTGAGTTGAAGCCGAAAATCTGGATCTGGAAAGCGAAAAAGATAAAAGTTAAATTTCGGAAAGGGTTGAGGTAGTTTCCGGGCATTATTACAAGAAAAATACTCTTGCTTATTATTAGTAATTATATGAATTATACGCTCGTTTTGAAAATTAACTTTGATTGGTCAATATTCTGGTATAAAAAAACTGATTTTTAAATTTTTATTTGCTTGATTAATTTGAAAAGAATTTTAAACACTTTTTTGGTGTAAATTTCTAGTTGAATGATAGTATAATAAAAATACTGTGTTGGATTGTGTTGGATGACAAGGAGCGGCGTCCACAAAAAAAAGGACGAAAAAGAAATCCCGCCGTAAAGCGAGTATATATCTATAATACAATACGCAATACATAATATACCATATGGCATGTTGCGGCCTGTGTTTGGCACTTCGGAAAAATACCTTTCAAGGGTTTAAAGTATCATTATACAGGATGCTAAAAATATTCCAAGTCATTTAAATATTAAAAGAACGATTTACAACATTTATTAAGACTTAAATAACAAAATTTAATTTTTAAAGTATTTGAAATTTACGAAAATATATTGCAATATATGTATAAATATGTTGTGAGATTTTTTCGTGTTATTCTTAAGGTGATATGCTTGAAAGCTTGAAACTGCTTTGAATATAACACGTTGAACGCGCATAAATAAATCATGTTTGCGTGAAAAGCAAACTGACACGACGGTGTTGAGTGAATAAACTTCTATTTTTCTTATTTAAATTTTCCCCGCCTGTTTGCACCCTTTCAATGGGTATTCCCGGATCTAACCGCAGGATTAATAGTGGTTATACTAAAATCACCATATTCTTTTCTTAAATTTTAAAACCTGATGCAATAAAATACCTACTTAATTTGAAAAAGTAAAAAAAGATTTTTTCTAAATCATGAAACAAAGCAAATGCCAAAATAAGCATGTTCCGCTTTGTAATTAAAACTCTTCTGTTTGTAATGCGTTTAAAACAGCGCACAACGAAATAATCACCTGCTGGCGTCGAATTGCTGTTTTCTTCTTAGCAATCCTCAGCAGGACGGCAGGCGGCACGCGTGGGGTGCATGGGCGTTTAATTATTAATCAATAGAGTCTAAAATATGCGGCGGCGAGTTAAATAAATTAGGGACGTTCCTCCCGCTCCGCGGGGAACTAATTACGCGCCGGCATAAATCATTCGCGGTTTTCAGGACGCGCACTCCTCGTAGGACGAGAGCAGCCGCTAGCGGCACGCGAGCTGTGGGGCTAAATTTATAATTTCGCCTGTTTTCTTTCGGCTTTCGACTTTCAACGCGCTGATTTACTGGCTCCACATTGTTCTCGCATTCGGAATCAACCCTCTTTAGGAAACCACAGAAAAAGCTGATAATTTAAGGATATATCTTAGGGATAAATCATTTTTTAACCGGTTATACAAAACATTAAATTTTCTTTAAATATTTACCTATTTTTTCATGTTAAAGTTTTGTAATAAAAGTTTTAGCCTTTGTAAAAGTTATTTTTCACTATGAAAGAAAGGTTAATATGAACAAAAAAAAATTAAATTATTTTTTTAACTAAAGATAATAATTTGTTGTGATTTAATACAAAATTAGTTTGGGAAACAATTTTTTATTGTGCAGTAAAACATTGCATTGAAGTTTTATTGTCGAATGTTATTATTTTGGACAGTAATATTTTACCTGCCTATAAAATATTTTTATCATTTACGCATGATGTTTATGTTTGTGTTTATTACCATACCTATTTTTGAATGACTGGGCGAATAAATATTGAGGATAAAACGCGAACAAAATGAGCACAGAATTAGATTTCCGCGTTTTTGCGTTTAAAGTAAAACTAACAGTTATTATTTAATTTTCAAATAATTTTAATATCTTTATGATGAATTTATCTTTCGTATTTTCTTTTAATCCTAACCGTGAAAAAAATATACAAAAAGATCCGAAAGGATTAAAATATAAAGCGATTATTCCATTCGATTAGTTTTTCTTGTTGCCTTGAACGTTCCACCGCGTTTCAATACGTTTCAAAGCGATTCAATGCCGAAATAATGGAAAAACGAAACGTCCCCAGCGAAGATATACAACTTGTTCGAAAATTATAGAAAACAAAGTGGCAGCTCAGCTATTTTATTTTCCTGCGTCTCTGACTCGTATTGAAACGATCGAATGTAATTTTCTATTGTATTTTGGGGCGTTGTTTTTTCTGTATTTATTTCTGCTTGCTAAGCTGTACAGCGAGTTCCTGGCAAAGACAACGTCGAATTTGGCGACGCGTACGTGTGGAAGGCAACAGATTTCGGCAGCACAATGAGAATAAAACCATTGCCGCAGATATCACAATTGAATGTTGAGAAATGTCGAAATTTCTATCGTTTTTATTAAATTATTGACAAGCGAGTTGCTCTTTTTTTATTCTTACTGCAAAAACAGCTGTGCTAGATGCAAAAAGAAATAAAAATATTTTGTTTCAAGAGAAATACGTTTTTGAATGCAAAGTTTTTCGAGGGTTTTTTCGCGCGAGAAAAGTTTGTGCAACAATTGAAACAAAACGTTCCCAGCTCTAGGACACGCCAGTGCAAAGTTTGACACAGAAACTCCATTTAAAATCGGCGCCAATGTCGATGCACAATGCGTTCACAACGATTTCGCATTAAAATTTGTATGATTTTTCATTCAAGTGTCATAAACAAGTTTTCCTCATGTTTTTCCGTTTTTTTTTTACAAACACGACGACAAAAATTTCTAAATGAATTATATTGTCCCTGGGGTAGTTTTGAAAATGTATTGATTAATGAATTTTGACAGCATAAACTGTTGAGGCTGTTGACGGTCCGCGAACCACACTAATCCGGTTATATGCACGCTGTAGGAGTTGCAGGATCGCAGGACTCGCGCGCAATGGCAATATGCGCGTGCATTTCGGCATGCATTAATTAAACGCGCGGCGGTTATCTGCAAGATTGCCGTTTGCGGCCGGAATGCCGCTCGATGCCCACAAATATCAATTAAGGATGCGCACAAGACTCCTGCCGAGCGGCCATATCATAACTCAACAACCCACCACACTTGCAAGCTCAAGTATAATCGATATTTGCGCATAAATGACGTTTAAAGTGTTGCATAACGCAAAGATTAATTTTTAAGAGTCTTAACCTAAAATGATGGTTGAATGGTATTTAATGTGCTTAGCAAGGCATAAAGTTAATGTCTGAATGGACGGCGAGAGCGCATTAGAGCACTCTAATGCAGGACCTCGAAAATTCCTAGACGGTTGGGAATAGATTGCATAGACAGCCGGGTGAGTTATTGAATCGTACCAAGCACCGGCCGCACGCCGAGCATAATTTGATGATGGCGGTGGTTATAATACGCGACAATGCAATCGAAAATCCTTTTAGTCCTTTCACGGCTTGACTTTGCGACAAGCGCTCGCTGCAAGACGAATTTCAATACTGATGATTTCAACTCAACGTATTGTTGTTGAAAATTTAATTTTAAGCCGGATAATAATTCCTAGTGCAGTAATAGTAAAGGTGTTCATATTTTATTTTTTGTTTGTTTATTTTGATTACACAAGAGAGTAATATCTTTGCTTTGAGAAGTGATTGTGAAGTTTGTAACGAAGCCACTGACCGTTCCACTGGTCCAATCCGGCCGGCGGGTGAACAAATATGTGCGGCTGGCAATAAGTTAACGAAACAGTTTCGCCGCCGCCGCCGCCGTTTATTGTGCGCCCCGAAGCCGCAGAGAGCCATTCTCCGACTTGTTACAACACCAGCGTCGGCAATATCGCTAAACAAACCTGCGACTGCCGCCGACTTAAAACATATTATAAACAACAGCGCCCGGAAACGCCGCAGCCCGTCTGGCACAAGCAAAAGAGAGTAGATTACAGTTAATCGGGGATATATTTAAGTTTCGTCCATGCGACTCAACTTTGAACTCGGAATTCAAACCGCATCACATAACCTTTTAAAGCAAAAACATCGCATAAACCGATAAACTATCTATCAAACAACTTGATCAAATGTTGTGTGGCATTAAACACACCATAAATTTTTTTTTTCGGCCGAAAAAGTTGTGTTTATGTTTTTATCGTTTTTCATGATGAAAAATTCAGTTAGAGAAATGAACTTGCGCAAAAAGTTGTCAGACTCGGCTACTCATTGCTATGCCACGTGCTCACCGGTTTTCATGGTCCCACCGGCCCGGGACGTCGTGGAGACTAAACTCCTGGTGTGCGGTGGTAGTGGGTCTGAGTTATTCCCGACTCGTCCAGCGCTTTTAAACTTGGTGCACAGACGGTATCATTAAATACTTTGTTGTTTGACTCCGTTTGACCTCAAGAATATTAAGTTTGAATGCGGTGCATGCGGGGCTTTGACCACTCCAGGATCAAACTCGGGAGACTCGGACCGCAGGACGTACGTGTCTCTTCCGCAAAAGGGGCAAAACTGCCGCGGGAATATATAAAAATAAAATATAAATTAAATCAGACGGTTTATAGTATCTATGAGGATATAAATTGACGTTAGGATTAAAAATTTAAAATTGTTTGGTTTTCGCATGTTTTAATTCGTTTTTCGGCGAATTCAAAATGTAAAATCACGTTTTCTGAATATGAGTAGGAGGATAAGGGTTGTGTGTATCGATGTCGAGCACTTTTCATCCCCCGCGCGCGATGCGTGAACTCCCAAATGGCAAATTATTTCATTTCGATGTTTGATTGATTGCGCACTTCGTGCGCGTAACGTTTTGAGTGTTTCCAATACGGAAAAAACCTTTTTTGCAATTTTTAGACATGAAACCTTTATTTCCCCCACGGATATTTTCCTCGTTTGACAAAAAAAACTGCAAAACTATTTTTATCTGTTTTGTTTATTTACTTTATTTTACTTTATACGATAACAATAACAATTGTAACATTTGTGATCAATTTATTATTTGATTGTCGCTTGATAGCGGTTTCAATTCGTTGAATTAATGCCGAAAGCTGCGAAGCTTCATCGAAAGTTTATCGAAAATAATAAACAAAATAAATTAAAAGCATCGCCCTCGATTTTTGGCGCAAAATATGCGCGCTGCGTGCGTTTTGGTGATTGATATCGACAGATGCAATTTGTTTTGCAAGGGGTGCGCACACCCTTTACATCCACCCCTCTTGTCTGCGGTTGCGGTGAAATAATATTGAAAACGCGACCATGTCAAGTGCTTGTCATTCGCAATAAATTGCAATTTCAGGGAAACGTACAAAAACATCCCGTACTTCTATACCCACCCCTAACCGCCAACACATATATACAAATTAAAAATTGATTCATTTATTTAAAGACTAAAGATTTTCAATTTTAAGGCGAAAATTTCGTGTGTAGGTCAAAATTCACATCAGCAATTTTTCTTTGAATGCAATATACAGTGTGTTTTATAAAGTAATAGTAAAATATTTAAAACAGAATTTTTTTATGCGATGAATATGAACACAATGTATGTAAATATTCAAGTGGTAGCGGGAAGAGCTCATGAGCTCACGAGTCTCCACTCGGCTCGAGTTGATTTAACCGCACACGCCACCACCTCGAAGTGGTCGCTTTCGGGGGCGGCAGGTCGGCCGCTCGAGGAGACGCACTCGATTCAATCAAGTGCTTAAAAATTTACATAATTTCAACTTTTCCCATTTGAACCGTTAAGCATTTGAAATTATAATCGCCGCCCCCGGGTCGCAAGTGGCGGCAAATCAAAACCATCAAGGCACTCAACTTGAGATTACATAATTTACTACTAGACTAGAAAAAAACTTTCAAAAAAAAACTGTAAATTTAGCATAAAAATTAAAAATAGAAAAATTATGCTTACCTCGGCAGGAAACGCGTATCCGTTGATGGAATGCTCCGATCCAAATTGATCGTGAAGACCGTAGTGTATGTGGATCTCGTGGAATTGATACTTGTAGGATAATGGTCCTCCCGTCACATTGATATGATGTCTCGTGTCATTTTCAACTGTGAAAATCACACTGTGACCAGTGTTCATTATTGTCCCGCTCACCTGCAACATAAAAACCCAAAAATTAAAAAAAAAAGTTTTGAAAGATTTAAAATTAGCTAATTACAGGTGGATGTGAAACCCTTGGGTGATTAATTTTTTACGTAGATTAATTTCATTTCGCATCGTTACGGTAGTTAGTTAGGCAGTAAGAAATTACGAAATTTGAAATTAAAAATTTAAAACTTTGGCGAAAGTTTGCTGCGCGCCGCGGAAAAAACGAATGAATGAACCGGAAAGCGCCGGTTATTGATTCCATCTTGGCACCTTTCAACCCGAGGGGACACACCGAGTTCACTGAAAGTGTCTGCGAACAAATTTCGTCAATAAAAACTCCAGCGCGCGTCTTAAAATAAAGTTTTAATCGGTTAATGGCTAATGGAACATTGAGAACGTTTTCTTTTTCTTGTTTCAAAAAAATATTAAAAATTACAAAAAATATGAATTATTTTGTTGAAAAATAAAAGAGGTCTTAATTACGACGTTGATTAATTACCAAGGTGCGTAAAACTTCTTATATTCACGTCATAGACTCTAATTTAATATCGTGGGCTGGAATACGATGCCGTTTTGGGGGCGGCAATCCTCCTCGCCCGCTTTAATACGCGCGCGCGCTCATACAAAATTTGATTTGCTTAATGCTAATTAATCATATTATAGACAAGGTAAAGCGCTTGTGTGCTCGTCGTCGTTTAATGCCCGCCATCCGAAAGTGTATATTAGTTTTAGGTTCCGCGCTTCGTACACGCTTGCCAACCTTCGAACATCAACATAAACGTCTAACTATTTTATACAGGGTGTTGCATAATATCAACAAAAACATAAATCTAAACAGTTTTTTGTTGATAATTTTTTTACACAAGTTTTATGTGCGTGTTTATTGTTGTGATGCGGGTTGAATAGTTTGTTAATTATGTAGAGGGTAGCATTGTCTTGTGTGGGTGTTGTTTCCACAACCCTTTTTTGCGCAAGGGTCGAGTGTGTTTACCCAGCGAACGTCGGAGATATTATGTGCTAAACCGTTGCGTAAAGTGTAAACTGGAAGGTGCGCGCCATGGAACCGAGTTGACACAATGCATATTTATACACGTGTCAGACACGTGTACGACACGCCGCTGTAATAAACACACGAAGTAGTCTCACTCCCGGCTCCTCCGCAAACGTTTGTTTTAAGTGTTATGCGTAAACTATTATCTAGTCTTCTTAGTCAAACAAAACAAACAGTTTATAATATCAAAACATAAACGCGCTTCGTGGATGCAAAAAAAAATGTAATTTTAACGTTTTGAGCAAATTTGTTTGTTCAACGGGTTTAATTTGTGGTGTAAGATGCGGAGAGTTTGTGTGTGTGTTGGTGTTAATTAGTTGTCTGCGGTGGGGCATAAACGTAATAATAAGCTCCTTACCCGATGTTTGTCGATGTGCAAGGGTCGAAGGTTCGGATCGAAGAGCAGTTTATTGGGCTCGAGATTAACCGGCGACTGTCGCCGGCCTTTGTTGCACAGCGACCACTCGGGGTTGATCAGCCCCCAGAAGCCGGGACCTGCAAACAATGTCCGGCGCCCGGCGCCTTCGCCATCAACAACATTCACGAAATTGCAGCACACGCTTCAATAATAATTAAATTTTACTATGTCTAAGTACATTTATGTTATTATTAGGGCAAAATGGTTGTTTTCTCGAAGAAAATAATTTTTTTGTTTGTAAATATAACATCCTGTATAAAATAAAAGTACCACTAATTAAACTTCGGGGTTTCGCGCGTTTGGCTAAGTTTTAATTAAAATTTGAACAGTTAAACACTCGTCACACGTGCGCGACTGTTGGCTTTTGCGCGTCGTCGCGTTTTGCATTCGTCATCACTAGAATGAGTAAAATTTAAGAAGTTCTTTGAAAGGTATTTGATTAAAACAAAACATTTTTTGTTTGTTTTAAAAATAATAACAAGAAATTATTACATCTGTTCTTCTACAATAACAAATATTATTCAACGACTCGTGAGGAAGATATAATACTAAATTATGTTAAATTATCTCGAACATAAAAGCTAATAATAAAGGATGTGGTTTATCTCTGATGAGATGCGATGACAATTCACATTTTAGTGTTCCTGCAATAACTTATGCATAATGACGCTGAAAATTCGCACGCGTGACAATAATAGCGGCAAATGTGCGCCGGGAAAAAATCACGAAATCACCTCGTCAGAAGCGACACAATGAACGCGCCGAGCATTTAAATACATTAAGTGCCCTCGAATTGTCGGCGGAGGCTTGTGAGTGAAGTACTAAGATGCTCGAAACACGCGATGCAGGAGAAATTCAAGGGTATGAATAGGTATAAGGATGTGATGTCAAAGAGGCGCCTGGAGATGCGTGTAGATATGCGATGGGGGAGCGCAGAGCGCCGAAAAGGGGAGATGAAAACGACTACGGGGACACATTGATGATTTCGGTGAAGTCGTATAGATGAAGACAATTTCTAGCAAAGGGAAACATTATAATGAATTTCGAATGAGGTTATTTTCAGGTTTTTTACTTTGCTTGATATATAGGCAACCAAATATGCGTTAACGGTTAAAAATTTATTTTTAAATGTAAAAATTAATATTTGGAACGTACTGTATATTAATAGTGATTATTAATGAACGCGTGGTATGTAGACATTCATTTTTAAATTAGCTTTTGAATTGCATGTTTTCGCGTTGGAAATGTTTTAAATGTAAATGCTTTCGAATACAAATGTTTTATTGTCATGATAATGACTCGCCAACAGGCAACTAATTAACTAATTCAGGCGGCTGGCGGTCGTTTTCAGCGCGCGCGGAAGCCAAAATATGGAATTGTTTACGAGCGTGCTGTACAATGACTCGGAAATAACTGGTGCGCGCCGAAAGGAAGCCGGGAATTCACGCGGTACGTGCGTGTATATTACGCACGCGCTTAATCCTTTTTTGATTTATACAAATTGCCACCTTGCCGCAATTTGAATTGGTCACTTTCGATGGTGGTGGGCGGCGTGCAAAGTTTTGTGCGGAAAAGCGATTTTTGTTATGAATGAAAATCGTGCCGGCGCGGTGGTAATTGGAGTGGGAAATTTGATATCTGATATTATCCTGGCGCGGCGTCGCGAGGAAGACGATCGCTCGCAGGCGCGCGCCGCGTTCCTCGGCAGGCGCTAATAATTCCCTAATGAAAGCAAACGTCATTAGGAAAAGCCGCGTTCCATCATCGTATAATTCACAATCTGGCAAGCCAATTTGGCGGAACTAAACGTCCTAATTGCGAATATAATACTTGGAAGAATCCCAATTAAATCCTTCGGTTTGCTAATTTCCTTCCGGCTGAAAATTTTGCATCTTTTCTCCACTCATATCCGCCTATCATATCCTTCTTAATTCGATGGATATTCTTAAGAGTTACTTTTTTTTACTTTGTTTATTCTGTCTGAGAAAAGAAAAGAATTAATTTTTAAAAGTTTTATATTTGTCGCGAGGAAAATGAAAATAGTGCGAATAGTGAGGGCGTGTGACAGTTGCGGTGTCGGTTTGAGGCTAAAGAGAAAAGTTTGCCAATTTTGTCGGCGTCGGCATCGAGGGAACCGTAACGCGCGCGCGGAAAAAGGCAATGATAACAACGCCGGCGACAACGAGTCCTTCGACGAAAAGGACCGCAAGGAATCAAACGGACAGAAAACGACAGAAAGAAAAGCAAAGTCCAGCCCTTCCTAATCAAAGTCCAATACGACGTGACACGAACTGACAATAATAATACCCTTGTGTCCTTGTGCCCTTTGCTCTTTGACCAACATTGGGCTCCTTCTGTCTTCAAGACACACGGATTCAACTAAAAACCATAAGAGAAAAAAATATATAAAACAAAATAAAACAAAATATTTCCAGAAAAAATACTGATAAACATTATAGAGATTAATATTATCCTTCTTTGATAGGATTAACTTAAGTAGGTTTTAGTATCAATATCCTTTGACTTTGTGTTCAAAGGTTACACTTGTCAATATCAATTTGACCCAATAGCACCTTTCAACGAAACACTATCAATGCCCTAAAAGGATTTCAGGATCTCAAAAGAGAAAAACTACTACTTCTGAAATATCCTGAATCTAAAAAATAGCTTTGCTTTATCCACGCTTGATATTTAAATATTTAAATGTGAATTGCTGACCTATTAAACAATGCGACAATAAATCCTTGAGAATACTTGCGGATTATACGAACGGACTTATTAATGGATCGATACGCGCCGTTTACTTGTTGAAAAGGACATCAAACAATGGGCATTATGCTACCACGAAAATAATGCAATAACGCTGGGTGTGGAGCAATGGCAACGCGCGCAGTCAGAACCAAAAGCTCCATCAAAAACTGTCAGCACTTAGAGAGGCGTTTTGTGTTCGTGCGGACCACAATGGCATTCGACTTTTGTCCCGGAGCGTCTTGCCGCTTCTCGGCTCAATAAGCGGGCGCGTTTTCCACGCAATAAACTGCTTTCAATCACGCGAACCAACAGCGAAAAAATTCTAATAGCTGAGCATTCAGTGGATGCGCCGGGCAAAACAAAAAAAATCGAAAAATAAAAAACTATTTATTTCTTTATTTTGCACATTAGGGTTTTATTTCAAGTTGAAAGCAAGTTCGAGGCTCAATTACAACAATTCAATAACATGCGGTCGATGTAGAGACATACGCGCGCTCGGCGCCTCCACCATCGCAAGTCGATTCGTGCGAAATGCGCAACGCGACGACGACGACGCCGGCAAAGTGGTAATTGATGTTGAACTCGACTCTCGACGAGTTTTCTCTATTTCCGCACTGACGGCGCATAAAAAAAAAGCCGCAGAAAAAAAACTTTTTTCCAACGCGCGCAAAAAGAACCATAACATGAAACCCCGAAGAAGTGTAGTGAATGAAGAATGTTAGAGACGAGAATAAAAGTAATGAAAAGACGCACACGTTTTCATTGCTAACTGCGACTTGCAATCGGCGCCGGCAGGAAAAACACACAAAACACGAATCACTCAACGCGTGAGAGTCTCCTCGAGTGTTTAACTCATCGATGTCGACGAGTGTCCTTGTTTGCTTCATGTTTTTTTTTTCTTGCTGCTGCTGTGTTGAGCTTTTCGAGTGATGGTTGTTTCTTTTATCAGTGTTTATTGCCCAGGTTCTTGGCGAGAGGCTTCGGCAAATGAGAGAGGAAAAGGTAGTTAGCAACTCTTCGGCAGTTTTACTACTACTTACCGCGGCGTCGTTACACCGGCCCCGAGAGTCGGAGATCGTGAGAGAGAGTTTTGGCGCGGTTCGGGGGCGAGGGTTGTTAAGCACCTACTTTGCGCAAGAAACTGCCTCGCCGCCCGCGAACGTGTCAATTTGTAAACGTAACAAACTGGAAAAGACTTTCGCAATTACAGACCTCGTTTCCAAACGTTGGCTGCTTAATTTGCGCGCATCGCAACCGCGGTAAACTAATTTCGAAGGGTTGAAAACCAATACCTTGATACCTCACACCGAAAAAAACGACTTTAATTTATAACTGCAGCTTCTAGTAGATAACCACAGTAGTACTTGAAATTAATTAATAAAGTTACATTTTGTACCAAAAACAAGTTTAATTAGAGAAAACTACTCTCGAGAAGTTTGTCTTAGATTTTTTCATCTCTCAATGATAAATTCGTAGTTTTTTAGTTTTATTGCGTTAATTGGTATGATACTCACTCAGTGTGTTTACCATTCACCGTCCAATCATCGAATGCTTTTAATTACAGCGTTAATTAATGAAAGTCAAGCATCGGGCTTGAAAAAAATAATAAAAACTTGCGCTCGCTTTCAGTGCTGCTTGGCGTGTGTCTAAAGAGAAAACCGAAAGACCTGGCGTATTTATGCCGTAATATCGGAACCTAAATGAAGTTACGAGACATGAAAGCGATGCAGGAGGAAAACGCAGATAAAGGACGTTTCGCTGCGTTTGATGTTGATATTTTTATATTTTAATTACTTAGGTCTTATTGGATGTTTGTTGGTTTTGGAGGGAATTTCTTCAAGCAGGGCTCGAGCTGTAAATAGTGGATGAATTGCCGTAGTTTATCTTGTGAATGCGATAAATAGACTGAATTGATGGATTTAATGGTAATTAATGTTGGTTTAGATAAGATATGTGAGTGTTTATTGAGGATTTAACTAAATACAACATTTTACTGGTTTAAATTTTAAAATTTTAAGTTTAGCTTTTGACTGAAACTAAATTTGCTTCGTTTTTTGTATGTTCTGCTGCTTGGTTGGTTTTTTTGTGAATGACCACATGACGAACGTTAGTAAATACCTGCAGAGACGCACTGGTGAAGCGCGTTGCCGGTTCGATTCGCACAGCGAATGCGTGTGCACGGCGCGCTGGAGTAAATAAAATACCGCAAAGCCCCAATTCAGCAATTTGCCTGAAATGATAAATCACCGTAACCGCATGTTGTTTTGGATCCAGGCGCGCCGTAGTCCTTTATGAAGGTGCAAGCGGAGCGGCTGCCTCCACAGCC